TTCAAGTCCTCTAGGTAGATTAACAGTAGCTTTCTTCACCTCTTCCTACTGCAACGAATCACATGGTCTATGATGTCATCGAGCTCAGATTGGATCAAGAATTCGTCTTCCTGGTGGTTGGATATCATGACCACTGCGCCAAGGTCGTCTGAACAAATACTACCAGCCCAAGAAGACTTATTGGAATGTGACGAAAGATCGAATCCAAAGCTGTCTCTTCCTAAGGAGGTAGAGCTGGCGACAGCTGTTGGTGATCTTCCACCACCAATCGTTTGTTGTTCCTCGTCTCGGCATTCGATAGCACAAACATCTCCTCTCCTTGTAGCCGCGTTGGTTTTGATCAGAGTAGAGTTGGTGTTGATAAGTGAGTTGCTGCTGTAAGCGCGTTCGTAAGTTGGTGAGTCTCTCATATTTACTGTTGAATTATGATCCATTTGTTGGAGGTAATTTTGTGAGATTGATTCCGTGCGTTTCAAACACTGCATGAAAACGTGAATTGTTACTTATGGTATGTGACAAGAACAGGACGTGTGACACGATCATTTGAGTCCAACTGGGAGTCAGAGGTAATAAGTGTACTGTGTACCGGTACTGTATGTGTGAACCTTTTTAGGAACTGGATTGTAACAGTCAAAAAATTTAAGTAGGGCTTAGAACATTGTTATTGTTTTCCGAATGCTTTGCCGGTATACCCTTCGTTTCGGCTGTTGCTCAACAACAATAGCTCCTAGCCGGCCGGGCTCCTCTTCCATGCCTCCAGGAACTTCTCCATCATCTTCTCCTGAGTTTCTATCGTCATCATCATCATCGTCGTCGTCATCCAACTCCTCTTCCGCGTCTCCTGATGCCACAGTCATCAATCTAGCTCCACCAGCAAATGTCACTGTGTTTGGTTGACAATTGTCGAGACTAAATTCAAGCTCCCCTTCCACTTTCTCTGGAGAATCAATCATCTGCGCTGGGTAGAAATCGTCATTGGCTGGTGTTCTTCTCGGCACCGAAAGTCGTTCTATATGATCATAGTGGTCGGTCCCTTCCGTCATCGAAGCATCTCCATTCTTTTCCAAATGCGCTGATAGTTTCTCGGGGGTCTCGGGTGTCTCGGCCATGGTTGACATTCTAGTCGCCTTTTTGGAAAAGCGAAACGATTTGAAACGCGTCATATTGCTCATAGCTTTTCCAAAGACACTCTGACGTTTGGCACTTTGAATTTTCTTTTCAAAATCCTCATCGATGTACTTTGTTCGAAGCTTCCGAGCTGTCGAAGTCACATTCTTCCTGGTGGGCTTATTTCCGTTCATATGGTCTTCCACAGCCCATCCGATCTTCTCGCAAATGGTGTCATGAAAGGGAGCGTACACGAAAATGCCAGCTAGTGAAATGAACCAGAGTGGGTCCTGATTCGAGAGAGGAATAGCAATAAAGGCTGCCATGGTGATTCCAAATGTGTATACCAACTCCCAATCAACATACGCGAAGCAGAGGATGGTGCACACCGCTCTCACGTAGACGAAAACATTCATCGATCCCCAAAGAAGAAAGCATTTTTGGAGATTGGGATCCAATACCAACTTGATGCCGTTTGTGATGTTGATCAAAGCGGCAATGGAATAGAGTGGAATAGTAATTCTCCTTTCGCCCATGACTTTAGATAGTGCCATTGTGACGGTGAGAGTGTGTCCAATGCCTGCTGCTCCCATTATGTAGTATAGAATCTGTCGATACATCGCTCGGTCTTCTCCTACCGAAACAGCCTTGATTTCATTTTCAATATGAAAAAACGTGCCAATGTAGATCACCAACATTCCAGTGATAACATGAGTTATCATGACCATTCGAAAGCTATCGAATCTTTTGGATGGGTACTGCCCGCTCATTTTCCTCTGGGCCATTGCAAAGAAAATGTAGAGGATATCCAGAATTGCTGTTGCGTATCGAAACCTGGACATGAAGGGCAACTCGAATCCAGCAGCTCCAAATGGGTTGACATACTTTTTCATGATGTCGTAGACTTCTTCCTCTAGGTTGATCTTGTGAAAACCAGATTCGTCCAAATTCAAACTTTTCAATATATCATCCTCGGTCAAAGATGAGTACAACTCTTGGGGAGTCATGTCTTCATTATAGATGGCGCTCAAGAGGCCTCCCTTTGGAGTTTCAAAGGAAGTCTCAATTGAGAAACAAAAGTCGAGCTTGCTAGCATCCAAATGGGGGTTGACTTTCTCTTGGAAGATGTCTCCAAGACTGACTTGGACTGGATAGACATTGATATCAGTAGGATGAGGAAAATCGATACGCATCAAGTAGCCATAGTATGGATGTCCTTCATTCAACGTCCAATTCGTGGCTCCTGTTGCTCTGTCGCCATTGGTACTATTTGTAGAATTGTCGGCATTTGCAGCACTGACTGGTGCATCCTCAGCTTTCGTCTCGTTTCGAAATAAAGAATGGTGAGTGTGAAAGGTGTCAAAGGATTCAATGGTGGCTGTCGAGGCCAAATCAATAGGAAGTCCCTTCATTGGCTTCTCGGCGTATAGGAAGCGGCCATTCAACTCGGATCGATAGACAGCCCGACCCTCTGAGTTTAGTTCTCTTGATATGGTATGGGTCGCATCATCGTAGCCAGCCAGAGGAAGTCCCACACAGCGACTCGACTGAATCCGTTTGGCCTGAGGAAGGAACTTGGCAATATTCCCAGTACCTTCTTCTTCATTTTCAACAAGATAGGCTTGGCATAGCTCCGATAGTTCGGTGTCTCCCGCACTGAAGATGATTTCAGTAAACATGGCGACGTAATATTCTTCTTCTGGCTTGTCTTTGTCGTTGCTTTCGCTCTTGATGATGGTAGGTTTCTCCACCAACCAATCAGGAAGCTGCTGAGATGTAGACGATGAGGCATCCTGCAGACAGATTGTGATGTGAAATGCCTTGGCATATAGCATGGATTCAAATGTTTGAAACGATTCCATGGCGTTGGCAGTTTGCATCCAATGGGATGACAATAATGCCAACAGAAGTGGCAGCGCCAATGAATGTGATGATCCTCGTATTATGCGCTTATGATTCATGATCATGATGATAGTGGTACGTGGGATGTTCTTATGACTTTAGTAGTGTAGCTGACGGAAAACAACGTTTGAGATGAATCAGAGTAAGTCCACTCGATTTGATTCTTCGTTGCGTTGTTGGTGGTTGTTACCTTGACAATAAATCTCAAATCAGGCAGGATGAGGACAATAGCCGTGAGGAGGATATACGCGTGTGTGTGTAATATGTGATGGTATTTTTTGCCGTTGGACTTTTTGAATTTTCAAAAAACGGTTTATTGGAATGAATGAATCAATCAATCAATCAATCGACTACATTTAATCGGATGGGTCCAAATGGTATCCTGCAACGCACGAATGCGTCTGGGATGCGATACTTGTACCATACGAGCTCCATTTCTCGAAAAATGCAGGTCTCGGTTTTCGCACGAATTTTTATTTTCACGTGAAACACGTACGCAAACAAGTGCCGATCGAAAAAGGATTGACAACGTTACAATAGCTATACTGTAGGGAAGGATTGGAGATCAATAACTACAAGTTGAATTCATTCTGATTCTGAGATACAATCAATACATTGTTACTAAGTAAGAGGTAAGCTATACTGCTGTTGCTGGTGCTGGAGGGTTGATCATCTCTCCGTCTTTCCTAGAAAGCCTAGTGGGAGTTTCATTGTAATCTTTTCGGATATCACAATGAATGCCATTCTCTATCTTGTTTCCAACAAAATCGTTCCCCCCTTCCAATGCAAGGAAGTGTTCTCCAAACGTCCTCTGCTGCATCCCAAATTCCGTCCTGTTTCAAAACATGGAGCCCTCCCCTCTCTCTTGCGGCTGCACAATGACGTCTCGACATGCAGGGGAATACTGACAAGTCTAAGTTGTTCATATGCGGCATTTGTGGAACTTGCGGCTCCCAGTGCCAGCCACGTTGTTCACATTGAGCCTTGCACCAATTAAAGTATTCTTTTTCAGCATGCGGCCCTGCATTGTCACCTTGAATAACAGGAATGTACACTTCGTATTGTCCTCCTGTCGCCACAAGACCATCCAACTTTTGAAAGATGTGATGCTCAAACAACTTCTTCAGTACAAACTTTGGATCATCAGGGGTCCCTTCTGACGATCCAGTGACATTACAATCCACCAAGTACAAGCAGTCACAGCAATTCCCATGACCTTGGAAACATGTGATCGGTGATATGCTTTATAGGAGACTGCATCTCCTGGATAAAACCACGTCCGGCCGGACGATTCATCCCTGGACGAAAATCAGCTCCAACTTTCACATAATCCTGTAATGTGAAAGGAGCCCTCATATCATCCTCAACAACAATTCCACCCTTGCGTTCTGGGCGTTTGGTGAGGGTGGCGTCAGTCTCTGGCATGTTGCGGATCATTTGAATATTTGCAGCGCGCACGAGCACATGATGAGCCTCGTCTCTGGTTTGCCTCTTTGCTCGTCCTGCCTTTGCCTGCGCTTGCTTTTTCACCTCCCGCTCTTCTTCAGCCAGTGTGATTGTTGTTTGTGCTCGTGTGATTGTTGTTTGTGTTTGTGTTGGTATTATTGCCATCACTCATGCTGTTGTCGCTGTTGTTGCCGATGCTGCTGGTGCTGCGGTTGTCGTCATCGTGGTTGAAAGAAATGCTGATGGATAAATTATGAACATACGACGGTCACGATTTCTGTTGCCCGCGCCGTAACTTCACAGCAACAGCAACGACCGCGCCGCTTTTTTCATTGCTTGTTTTTGGAAATGGACACGTGTCACTCCGATACTAATATCATATCCTGCAGTGACAATGTCGGTATGAGAGTGTTACCATTATAATAGGCATTGGACACTTGACAAGGCCATATTGTCAATGTACGTCGGGTGTTGAATTGACTCAGTTCTTCATTGATGAAGACCTCTGTAATAACGATGATGGGATAAATCAAAATCTGCTGGCTGTCGGCTTCGGATTGGTACTAATTCTACGTGTTCTACGTGATAATGACTGAACTTCTGATGAAAATTGTCCGAAAACCGAGACCTGCATTTTTCGAGCAATTTACCTCGTAGGTGTATGTGGTGCCTAGCGAGCAACACTGAGAACTTTGCCATCTACAAATGCATTTTCATTTCCCAAAGTCGTTAAAGTGTTGAAACCGTAATGATCGCAGATTGCTTTGCTCTGTAGATTCATTCATCATCATTGCATTATAGTCTAGAAGCAGTGATGATGACATAGCAGTGGGTTTTATGCGGTAGTAATGTTCACTGTTATTTTTATAAAGCAGTTATGTTCAGTATTGTACATTTGGAAAATTGGGTGAATGGTGTAATGGTATAATGGTGGGTATCGTTTGGTGATCCAATCGGCAAAAGATGATTGCATCAAGAAGTCGTACTGTAGTACGAGCCTGAAGTTTTTAATCAGTACTTGTGATTTCCAGCACTTGGTCAAACAGATCAGTCAGGTCTGCCAAGGCATTTCGACTGCTTGTGGGGATCTCGTAGTTGTTATTGTTGCTCATGAATCCCATCACACCCATTTCTTCAATGTGTGAATACTTTTCGGATCCCTCTTCCTCAGAGGATTCACTCCTGTCGCTGAGAATATCATCATTGTTGTTGTAATGTTCTTCATGGCTGACGCCGTTTTCCATGCTCCACCGACGAATTCGGACCTTGAGAGCATTGTTGGGAACTAGTTGACTTGGTCTGAGTGGCTCTCTAGTCAAAGGGCAGTGAGCATTTCCCCTGTGCAACCAATTCAAAATTGATTTGCGTTCGTAGGATAGGCTTCTGCGATTCATGACGGGGTCTCTCATCAATTCCAAACTGATAGGACAGATGAAGCCATCGGGAACTTGAGAGCTGGAAGATTCAATATCAGACATGTTGTTTGTTTGTTGTTGGATTATGTTATTCAGTTTCCTGAAAATGTCGTTGGGAATTTGTGATTGTTTTTGGTGGGATTTTCTTTCTTGGATTTTTCGCTTCCAAGACCAAGGAGAATCCACCTCATCAGTTCGACACCCGACTTTGTGAAACACGTCCGAAACTTCTGCGTCAGCGTTCCGCCGCCAGTTTCCACTTATTAACAGTTTGGAATTGGCAAGGATTTCGAATTCACAGAGAAGCTCCTTTGATGTACCGCATGTTCCGTAGAATATAGAAATGACCTGACGTGGTGTATTTTTCTTGGCTGGAATTTCTGCTCAGGGAATTTCATTGGTGGAATTCAAAGGAGTCCACGATTGGTTTAATTGGAGGTAAATCTCATGACATTTTGTGAAATCTTTCTTGTTCTCGTGGAAAACTGGCGGCAGAATTGCCTTCATCCGCGTTTGTACCATCCGCCTGCCACTGCGCTTATTGGGCAAGAGTGATTTCAGATTGGGGGATGATTATTTGCTTTAGGGGCGATATCCGCACGACGAGCAGGCAGGCCGAGCAATCATCCTGATCCAAGCATATGATGATGTCATCGAAATAATAATGATTGATTGATTGCTTGAATTTTTGGATACGGATCATCGCTCTCATATCGCATCATCACTATATAAACATCCACAGCAGCAAACAACGTGAATACGATAGGATGGAAGGCTAATTCTACAAGCATACAAACATACAAACACACAAACACATATATAGAATGAAGAAACGATTCCTCCATTTGTTGTTCCTTGTAACACCCTCTGTGACTTGCTTTCAAGCGAGATTTTGTTTCAACAGCAGAGGAGTAGAGAGTCCTCATCAGCTATCATCACAGCTATCATCATCATCCGCATCATCATCCGCATCTAGCCTGCACTCTAACAAAGGATATGGAAACAGCTACCTCGATAGTCTCGGGTCGGAGAGAAACCCCAATCCTGTCTTTCCAACAACGCCATCAACAACAACGCGGTCTGATGGAATAAACCAAGGAATGTCACAGTCTCATCCACGAGAAGAAAAGGATCCAGTATCATCTGCTTCAGCACCAGCAGCATCTTCTACATGGGGCCCTTCCCAACACCAAACACCTGCTGAGGCTTTACTAGATACAGCAGATTCAGCTTCTCTTCCCACTTCGGATGATATTGACATTGATGGCTTCCAGGTGTCTTCCAATGGAATGTACCAGATTCAGACGGAGGAAGAATACCGGAAATTAATCACCGCCTTTCCAAACAAATTGATTGTTGTCAAATTCTTTGCAACCTTCTGTCGTTCCTGCAAGTCTCTTGCTCCCAAAATGCTGGCAGTCATGAAGGACGATCAACTGGAAGGCTTGCCCATTTTATGGGCAGAATTTTCAGCCCACCGGAGGAACAAGGATTGTTTCAAAAGACTCGGTGTCATTACAATACCGACGGTTCATATTTACGACGGCGATCGTGGTCTAGTGGAGAACTTTCCATGTCCACCCAGCAAAGTATCGCTGTTGAAAAAGAAATTGGCTCGCATCATCAATACTCGCGTGGATCCGAATACCCGACAGCTCTTGCTCCCGGAAGCTGCTATTGATGGCGAAGAAGCCTCCTTAGAACCTCGCGTCGAACGAACCATCATGAACAACGAACTCATTTCGACCGAGCACCTGGACTTTTTGAGGAACGATTTGCCATTCTTTCAGGATTTGACAGACGACGAATTTGATACCATGATGCAACAGGCGCGGCTACTGACCTTTGATGCAGGTGATGTCATTATGAGGCAAGGAATGCCTGGAACTTGCTTCTATGTCATCAAGTCTGGATCCATTGAAATGAGTATCAAGTCCCGCTTTGATGACCCGATCTCAACACCCCCAACCTATCTTGGTGGAGTGGTGAGCACCCTCCGAAAGTTTGACTACTTTGGTGAGCGAGCTCTCACCACAGGTGAACCATTTGCAGCATCCTTTCGGTCGTTGGACAAAGTTCGATGCTTTGCGTTTCATGTTGACATTATCCCACCATCCTCCATTCTCAGTCGCAAACGAGAAGCCACTCAGCAAACCATTGACATGTTGAGTCAACGATACGTTTTGCCGGAAGATTACAAGTCCCCCAATTTCTATTCGACCAAGCGGGACGAAGGAATCTTGGATTTGTTGGTTCGCTTCAAGCAAATTCGCCAAGCCGCTAGATGTTTGGACTATGTCATGCAAAATGGAGTGAATTGGGGCGACTCTGGGTCCATTGCTCGCCGGACCATGTTGGTCCGAAAGCTGACCTATGCACAACAGAACGAATACAATGATATTTTCAATATAGTCGATGTGGGTCGCCGTGGAAGAATCAAATTGCAGCAGATTCGTGAGTTCCTAGCCAATGCGACCAAGGAGTTCAAGAATGGTCTTGGTGGTCAAGAAGCTGCCGATCTAGTGGCACAACAGCAAGCTAACCAATATTTTCCGGATGGCGACATTTTGATTGCCCGAGAAGAATTCATGGGAGTCATGGCAGAAGCCGAATTTTACAATCTCTTCAAGGAAACCTTCCAAGAGTTGGATCATGAGAATACTGGATATGTTCGGGCTGGCGATTTGGATCAAATCCTTGGTGGGGTCCGAGATTTGATTGGTGACAAGCGGCATACCAGCATCGTGGATGTCGATGATAAAGATATGCTTGTTGACTATGAGCAATTTTCCAGAATGCTCTTGGGTGCTGCAATCTAATTTTTAGTAGAAAATTTCACGATTAGAAACTAAATGAAGTATCATCATCGTGCTATATATATGGTCATCCAACCGCGGCATCTATTTTTTAAAATCATCCAACCGCAGCAATCCATAAACCAATCCTATACATCTATACATCCATGCATCCACTAATGAATCTATTATCGTAACACTTTCGTCTAACAGTTCTTATTTCTTTTAAAACATCAAATACACATGATCATCTCCTGATCATGGTTATTAGTGTATTCCGTCTCCTGTTGTCGTGCATGTATGTATATACGGTATACTGTATGCTTACATTCTTGCTTTTGCTTTTGCTCTTTTTCTATGGTGGTGTCTTTGGAACATAGGAAATGGTCAAGGACGGACCTTCTCCCGATTCCACAGACTTGAATCGATCCCCCGCTTGATCTTGCCATTCCAATTCGGTCCATTTGGGATCACCTTGCTCGGTACTATTGTTAAAGAGCATGAGCAACAATTGTTTTTTATCGTATCCATCATCGGTAAAGTTGGTGGGATACAACAGATCACTGACATCCATAAAGACCACATCTTGATTGAGTCCCACCGTGACTTTGTTTTCCCCCAGAATGGACCCATCTGGATTTCGATCCACCATACCTCCGTGGAGGGTTTCCACGCGCATGGGGGTGCTGAGCAATTTGCGGACCGAAATGGTGGCAGGATCTCTGCCCGCAAACTTGGAGTTGACGGGCAAATGATTGAGGCGCAAAATGGCCTGAGCGTCATAGTCGTCCATCTGCTGCTTGGTGGGTAGAATCTTGAGGTCGAATTGGATCAAACCCATGGCATCGGCAAATTCATAATATTCGGCCAATCCATTTTGGACCAAAAAGGAATCTTCGTCACCATAGGCTTCGTATTGAAAGAAGCCATCGACGTAGATGTAAGTATCGGCGACCGCATCCAAGGTAATCGTGGGCGGTACTGGCCGAGTAGGAGCTGGTGAAATGGTAGGATGGGGTGTTGGAAGTCCCGTGGGCAAGTTTGTGGGATTGGCCGAAGCCACATTGGTGGGGTACTGGGACAAAGTGGGTTCATCTGTCAATCGGATCCATGGTTGAAAGACATCGGGACGTCCTTCAAGTGCTGGTCGGAGTGCTGGTGGAATGGGATAGGTAGGACGAGGACTGGGTCTTGGAGTTCGTCCACCACTTGAACCCCCACCGCGGCCACCTGAAATGGTCGTGTCTCCGCCTTCGTTGAAGACGAGCATGACCAAGATAAGAACCAAAATGGTAATGAAACAAATGCAGCAGCAACAAACGGCTGCCACAACCTTTTTACCAACATGCTCATTGAGGGCATTGCGTTTCTTGACCTTTTTCACTCGTTTTTCTTCTTGAGCTTCATCGGTACGATATTCGTAGGCTTCTCGGCCCTTGTAGAAGGAAGCTTCTTTCCTCGCTTCTTCGTCCAATTCTTCATCATCCGAATCGTATTCATCTTGAAAGTCGGGTTCCGCATTTGGATCGAAATTGTAAGATCGGAAACTGGGATTGAGTGGAACATGCTCCTCCTCGTAATCATCATCACCACCACCAGCGGCAGTATCTTGATCGTCATAATGAGAGTCGTAATCGTAATCATTATATTGGCGAGTACCAACCGCAGGTCCTGTCGGTCCAGATCGAGGTTGTGGAGCACCCTGTGCAGCATTAGCATCATAGGTCTCTCCAACTCCGGGATTGTAACGAGCATTGTCTTCCGCATCATCATTGGAATACTCATTGAATCGAGAATTGGTATCGTATCCATCGTTTTCTTCTGTATTCGCATCGTAACGTTCACCTACACCGGGATTGTACCGAGCATTGTCCTCGGCACCATCCGCGTATTCATTGTAGGGAGGATCCTCCGATTGCAGGGTGGAATCTTCGTACCCTGAAGCGGCAGTCTCACCGAGTCCATCATCATAATCATCATAATCATCGTCGCCGTATCCAGTAGTGGTATCATCATACTCACTAAAGCCATCGCCATTAGGGTTGTTGTTGTTGCTGTTGTTGTTGTTTGGATTCGACATTTTTTGTGGTTGTTTTCTGGGATGTCGGAAACTAGTTTCAGGAAATCTTTTCTTAGGAAACTTCAGGTGAAAAGAAGGATTGGTACCGCAAACAACTCAGCTAGACAAGAGATATATATAGACAATCTCAATAAGCTACCAAGGATGCAGAAAAGGAAGTAGAAGGGTTGTTGCTTGAGGAAACAAAACAAAACAACACCTGCTGCTATTGTTAGTGTTGGATGCAGTCGTAGGTCGTAGGTCGTAGGTGATCTTGCAAAATTGGGTGCATGGGTTCCGAAAGATGGTACTTTCTCTACATAAAAGTCTACCTGCTACGCGATCTGGTCATAATGGAGATGACCATGTCTGTTGAATCCTACTGGTCAATTGGAGGTTCTATTTGCTTTGTTTTGATTGGCTGTTAAAGACCGATACCTGGTAGTTTTTAGTTGGTGCATACCAGTACACACACTTGTACGAGTATTTACTGTACTATGTATACTGTTTTTCGATCCGTTGGAACATTCCAGCCAAACTAAATGTCATTACTCATTGCACTGAAACAACCTATCATAGCTTCTGCAAAGGTACCCATCACATCCATTACAATACATCCATTACAATACATCTATTGCCTAATATCTATTGCGATTGGTAGCATCAGAGCACTAGATAGACAGAGCATCAGAAAAAGCAGGCTTATTATGAGAATCGTCCTGAAACAATAAACTGTCTAATAAGAGAATCAAAAGAGAATCAAATCAAATCTGTTGTGATTGTCGCACGGCACAAACAGCACAATAAGAAGACAAGAACTTCAACCATGAGCAGTCGACCACGCCGAAAACACAAGCTGCGGCATCCCACCGGTGCCACACCTCCGCATTCACCGTTTGCACAGTCATCCTCCTCTTCGACTCCCTTTTCATCACCCTTACGGTTCACACCCAAAAAGAGTTTGCTGCGCATCAGCAGTCCAAAGGCCACCAAATCACCGAGGTTGTCTTCTTCGAAATTGGCCAGAATGATGCTGCCCGGATCTCTGCCATTGGACGGGGATACTACGAATGATACTACGAATAACTCGAAAGAAAACGTGGTGACGCTGCCATTTGATGACTCTCTTCGCCATTATCATCATCAGGATGAAAGTTATCCAGAAGTTCCCAAAACACCAGTACCCGAACATAAAAAGCTTCTGAATGGTGATGGAGATGGTGATGGTGATCTTCCCGATGACATCAGTTCGGTATCGTCCGGATCCAAGAATGGGAAAATATTAGTGACATCACCAGATGAAAAAAATGATGACAAGAGTAGAAGTGTCAATGGCAGCAGCAACGGTGGCGGAGAAGAATGGGAATACAAACAATTCACTGGCACAGCCACAACGCCCAAACGATCCAAAATGGGCAAGCTATTGGGGAAGCACAAACGACGATTCATGTTTAGGAAGAAGAAAAAGAATGCTACGAATCCTTCCTCGTCTGGTGCTTCTGCTGGCGGCCACCAAGAACAACAGCAACAGCCATCGGAAACGAGTTTCGAAATGCAGCAATCACAATCACGATCGCTGCCATCACTAGAGCGACAGCAATTGTCCTTACAAGACCTTGATCAATTGCCACAAGAACAACCGCGGGCTCCGCCTCCAGCACCACAACGACAACAACAACAACCACGACCACCGAGGCAACCAATGCTGTCGCCCATTCGTATCAAACGTCAACGCAAGGTGCAACCACAATCGAATGCTGATGCAGCAGTAAATGGCGACGACGGTGAAGAACAGGATAATGATGACGACCAAGAAGATGGGGAAGAAGAAGAAGAAGAAAGTCCACGCAAAACGCCCCGTCGGATTTTAATAAAGGGACGGCATCGAGCGGCCGCAGCCAAGAAAGCAGTTCGAAGTGATGCATTATGGACACAAACCATTCTAATAGATTCATCGTCGTCATCAGCAGACGAAGAGGCGAAGGAACAGGTGAATGATAAACATGATGATGATGATAATAATAAGGAAGAGGAGGAAGAAGATATTCCTATGAAGGACGAAGCAGAGAAAGAGGAAGAAAGCGAAGGCTCCCCCCTTCCAATCACCACTCCACAGAAAGGAGAAGAAAAGGAACAAGAAAATGTCAAGGCTACCCTTGCCACAAATGATAGTGGAAATGCTCCCATCAATGCCAATACTACTGTCGATACACCTGATACCGTTCGCAGCGATTCGCTTTGGGCGCAAAACATGATGCTGGGGGGGGATGATCAGAATGACGATGCCGACTCGTATGACAACATTTTAACACCCGAAGCAATCATGTCACCAAAGACAATGACAACGGCAAGTCCGGCCACCATAATAACGTCCACGGCGTTGGCTGCTTCCAAAATTCCAAACCTCGAGGAGCATGATGAACAAGATGAGAATAATGAGAATGGAGAAAAGAATGACAATGACAAGATGGATACTAGGGATACTATTAGTATGGGACGACGAGTCGACAGTGATAGGGATGATACTACACGATCATCCAGAACCATGACAAGTGCACCAGGCGAAGATGGGAATATTGTGGACGAGGATGATTTACTGGATTTGGTGCCATCGGATGAACAAGAAGATCATGACGACAACGATGACGACGATGATCAATACGGTGAAGAAAAGATAGTGGAAGAAAAGGATAACAACTCGACGGATGGCAACTATTACTTGCAACAAATACTCTCTGATGATGAAGACGACGAAGGGGGTGTGGTCAGTGAACATGACGAAGAATTGATATTGGAAGAACAGAATAATTCTAGGAGGGGTCCGCGATCGGGATCCTTCGATGATGGAGACTTGATACTTTCGGATATTCTGAGCAGGGATGGTTCGGCCTCCTTTGGCATTGGCCCCACAGACGAAGAGTCGAATGGAGACAATAATGGTTCCGTTGCCGGCCAAGACAATGGCGGCATTGTTTCAGCTCCTCAGTCACCGGTACTATCCGAAATCGAAATGGACAAAGATGACCAACACCATTTGCCAGTGCACCAGCATCCAGAAATCTGCGAGGAGCCCTTGAAGGCAGCCATCCCCGAGAATGAAACAGTGGCGGAGAATGTGAACACCAGCTTTGACAGTAATTTTACCTTGAATGATTCCGATTTGGCTGACATGGAAAAGGAAAAGCCACTTTCAATATCAGATCGGTCTTCCATGACCAATATGCAACATCGACTCCTATCCATGCGAACCATCAAGGATACCTACAAGAAAAAGCTACTACTGCAAGAGCAAGAAACGGAACAATTGCAACTCCAACTGTTGGCCAGCCAATACGAAGCCAGAGAAGCCAAAATGTCAATCCAAGCATCGGAAATGGCCTTGGCGAACGAACGATCCAAACTCCGGGCCAGTGAGAATGATCGCGAACAACAAAAGGCACTTCTTTTAAATCTGCGGGAACAGTTATCCATTGTGCAGAGCCATCTGAACAAGTCGCAACTAAAACGGGAAGACGGACCCGCAAGGAGTGGGGATCACTCGGAACCACCACAAACCACATCAGCGTTGTCGTCATCATCATCTTATGACATGAAGCTTGCAAGTATGGAAGAACAGCTTTTGGTGCAAGACGAAGAAATGGATCAACTGGCGATGCAGATCCAAGACCTGAAAGGCAAGACTGCAGAGTTGGAGGTCTCGAAAAGAGAGGCCGAACAGAAATGGAAGGAAGCCTTGGCTCGAGAGAAAATTCTGAAAGAGCAGCTAGTGTCATTGCAAATGGGTCAGCAAATATCCAACGAGAAGCAAGGCGAAAATGGTTCTGACCAACAGCACCACGAGATCCAACGACTGGAGGAATTGATACGAGCCAACGAGGAACGATACCAATCCGAATCTGTTGCCCTTCGCCAACAACTGGAGAATGTCCAAAAGGACCACGAATCGGAATTATCCAAACTGCGAGAAGCAGTCGAATTGAATCAGAAACTTGTAGACTCTTCGCAAAAGGAAGCCCAAGTTGCACAGACCAAGTTGCTCCAAGAATTGGCCGAGGCCAAGTTGGAGCATGCTCGAACGATCGAGGAACTGAAAGAGTCTCTTTCCAGCACCCACGAACAAGAGAAACGTAAGCTACACACCCAATACTCCAATGAACTGGAGAGACTAGAGGACGAAATTGCTGGTTCTAGGAGCGAACTATCGGTATGAACAGATGTATGATACATATGAGATTGATTTCCCGTGATGGGAAGGGCGATAGGGAACACCGAAGTAATCGAAAGAATACTGTAGAGGGTTTCATCATGCTACCTATTGTTGTGTTGCTACGTAAACACTGTCTTGTTGCATGATTTGTTCCTCAGGGAATAACGAATTGTGAACGAGATTGATACGGAATATCACTCATTCATTCAGTTAGTAGTCCAATCATTGTAGTGTATGATAATTGAATCATGATCAGCATTCCTACCTACTGGACTGCATCAAATTGCGATTGTGGATAACAGCTGGGTTGCTACTCCTACGACAGTGAAAAGGGACTTAATTATAAATGCTATGCTATGCTTGTGACTGGATATATCAAATTTCTTCTATGATTCTAGTATTCCGTTGAATGTCTTGCGAATACCTTTGAAGCAATCGTGTCAAATCTGCTTGGAGTGTCGTTTGGTCCTCGAGTTCTACTTGGTGTTCCAGTCGTTCCATTAGAGTTTGAATCATGGTGAGGATTCGATCCTTCAAAAGTTGGGTGTACCCGGGAGTGTAGGCATGCTCGGATCGTTTCTTTCTTGGTCGATCCAGTACCACATGCCTCCAAAGGCAGGCAATGCTTTCGTCTCCTATTACGACTCGAGCATTGGCTTGTTGTAGCAGAGTTACTAAACCTTTGGCGGCCATTGCACCAGTCGGCATGTTGTTGGTACTCTTGCCTGTAGTACTAATACTAGTAATTGTAGTACTGTTGGTCAATTCTTCATAGGCCAATACCAACTGGACACGATACGGAAAGCTACTGCTGGTATCGTTCCTGTTGTTGTTGTTGTTGTTATTGTCCTTCGTTTGGATTCTTTGTGTCCATGTCTGAATCAATTCTTGATAGGTCTTGACTTGCTGCTTCCAATTCTTGTGTATCCATCGATTCCATGCCTGTTCCGGTGCTTGGGTGGTATGCGCCTGAGTGGTGGTTTGAACCTCCCACAAATGATTCAGTCTGGATGGAAAGGCATGAATGGGATTCCGAATGAGCAAAATGGCATTGGAATGATAGTCTTGTGGATTTAAAAGTGGAGAATGGATTGGGAGTAATGGCCAATGGGTCTTGCAGGTGGCAGCCTTGGAAGAGACACAATCTTGATGGGGTGGATCTCGTTTGATGTAGACGGAACCTCCCACGAGACCACCGGTCAAGGCTTGCACGAGGTCACGGACCATTTCGGAACCAGATCCAGGATAAGAGGCAATCCATATTGGTTTATGAGGCACTTTGGGCGACGTGTACTTGAGATTGGTACAACGACCAAACGTAGTGGGTGGTGAAGTATGAGAAGTAGATGATGATGATGATGATGAAGGTTCTTGTACCTCATGTTCTGTCATCAATTCAGGTGTCAGACCCTGCTGTAAAGTAACCAGCAATAATACGCTAGACAACAAGACGAATATTCGTGATATTCTTTGCCAAGAAGAAGCCTTGTTGGGTTTGTCAGCCTTGTTCAGTTCCTCTTCATCAATCGCCGTTGCTGGCGAAGAAGGAGAAAGGATGCGACGTCTGGTTTCCATTTTGTATCGCTTTCCTGAAGCCTGTTGAAAGGATCATTTTCGTTGCATCCGTAGATACTTTCCAGTCTTTTTCTTCTTCTTGCTGTTGTTACACTAGTCGTCAATACTTCGTTCCAACCCAGCCAATAGCTCAGAGCCATCAGGAAGCCACACGCAAGGCTTCAGGCCGAACGTCGTTCAGATGAAAATTTCATCTGAAGTTCGAAATATTTCGACTCGTTAGACTGATATGTTTTCCATCGTTGTCACAGACACGTGCCCGCAACGGAATCCCTACCTGTACTTGCGTACATTTTCTACTGTAGGGATACAAGATCGGTAGTTTTCCGTTGTTTGAAATGAATTCAGTTTTGAATATCGAGGATGCCGTGCTTCGATTCTGCTTCCATCCCAAAATCCTTGCAATTTTGATTCCATTTCAGAGCGCAGAGTCCCAATTACACACACTTTCCTTCTCGAAACCAAGAAAACCAACCAACCAACCAGCCAACAACATGTTCAAGTCCGTCTTCTTCATCCTTTCCATGATCGCCGTCATGGTCACTGCTGCTGACAAGGAAGTCACTTTGAGCACGGTCCAAACAAGAAAGCTTCAAACCGTGGCTCCCGTCGTCATGGTTCCCATTGCCGTCCCAGTCATGGTCCCAGTCGTCATTACCCCCCATCCTACTCCTCATCCTACTCCTGGCAAAGGAAAAGGTGGAAAAGGAAAGGGAGGAAAAGGAAAGGGTGCCAAAATGGCCAAGAGATCTTATGAATCTTCGTCGTCTCGAGGACACAGATTGTACTATTCTTCTTCTCGCCGTCACCAAGTCCGTTAAATTGCATTGCTTTTATGAAAAAAGCAATGCAACCAAGCAAACGAAGACTGGTGTTGAATATCTATCTATATATATATATATTAGGTTTCGGTGGAGCTTTATATGAGTTCCTTTGTTGGGATTACTACACGTTTGCAGCAGAAAAAATGAATCTGATACGGTGATTTATGGAGGATGCAATCTATTGGGCTTGTTATTCTATCATCGTTCAATTATTTTGTTGTTGCAAGCTTGCTGGGGGTAATAGGGAGCTAAGTTCTACTGGATAGTAACATGATTTTACGTAATTAGGTGGTTTGACATGATTGTTTGAATGCGTTGAGATTTTTGAATTTGTGAGGCCTAAGTAAATTGATTCGTTGGACCTATACATGTGGCACGTGCACTTGGCGCGCAAAACGACTAAAAGAATTTGAAAAAAATCTGAGTGCCGTGTGTGACGGCATCCAATCCCTCCAAATTGGTTCCCTCCAATACTGAGATAGCTAGCGGTAGACACAATCCCTTGCCTTGTCTTTCTCTTCTTATTCGATATCATTCATTCTAACAAACATCATGTTCAAGTCCCTCCTAGTTTTGTTGCTTGCTTTCCTTGCTGTCGTCTCGGCCACCGTCCACAACGAGGATGACAACAACCAGAAGAGACGCCTTCAAACGAGTGCTCCCGTAGTGTTTGTCCCTGTTGCTGTCCCAGTCGCTGTCCCCGTGGCGGTTCCTGTGATGGCAACTCCCATCATGGTTCCCACCATGCCTGCTGTTGGTACCTCCAAGTCAGGTAAAGGTAAAGGTAAAGGAGGATCTTCCGCCAAGGGCCCCAAGTCCGCGAAGGGCCCCAAGACCGCCAAGCGAACCTTTGTGGCCGAAGCCAGAGGTGCTAGATTGTACATGGACGGCACTCGAAAGTAAGAAGCGCGCGCATTTTCTCTCGATACGTATACGCTCTACATCCATTGAGCGTACGGTGTGCGGGTGGGTGTGTGGGTCTTTGGTTTTTTTGGGAAAATACTGTCAGTCGAGTTCTTGGTGCTATATGGGTTCTTAGAAATTCCTTTATTTTAACCTTTTTCATGATGGAGTTGGTTTGCTTCAAAAGGAGAGAGAGAGAGACATTTGGTGAACTGTGTACGTGATGGAGCTTTTTTGTTTCATTGCGGTTCACTTGTGTCTTCTCTGTTTTTGGAGGGACTTATTGTGTTTGGGAAGGGCGGTATTGGAAAGGCTAGGCTCTACTGATATATAGATAACAACTATAAATGTAATGTATATTGATGAGAGAGAGATTTTCAGCTGCTGTATTATGTATGTTGGCCTGTGTGTACAGTATATGTTATTTGTTTGTTTGTTTGTTTGTATGACTTTTGCTCCCTTCGTTCGTGGATGGAGACGAACGAGAATGCTGCCGTACAGTGAAGTGAAAAAGAAAGTGTCGGTGCAGCTGGGACATTATTTGCAGCACAATAATCTTGCTAAAGGTACGAGTACCCACACAACAGCCGCAACCCACACAGATCGTTTGTGATATGGCGCCCCAAAGTGGTGTCTGCCATATTCAATATTGGACGGTCTGTTTTCGCTGTACCACCAACTTCTCAGTAGCAGTACTGTAGTATTGAGGGAATGACTCAATGAATGAATGAATCAATCGCTTAATTAAGTGTAGCATCCAGTATCTACACAACACTGGAAGATCATTGGCAAGCATAAAATATGCAATTGCCCCCTTTCGTCAACTAATGTAGCAATCCACCACTAGAGCGGTCGCGTGCTAACGCAAAAACACCAGGAACAGAAATTACACTTATAATAATTCAAACTAAAAGTAACGACTTGCTTCAAACTACTAAAACCCCAACCCATAACTCCTGCAGGTATTGATTATCAACACATGTGCAACAAGTTGGTTGGTGCTGTATGGATGGATGGATGAATCCATCCATCCATCCATCCGTCAAAGATTATTCGTTGTGGTGTGCTTCTTCCCGACACCACCATCATTACACTTCTTTTTCTTCGTTTTATCTGACACAGTACTCCTTCAAGTTGAAATTACCCGCAAGCATGCAGACTTCTTCCAATTCGGCTTCATCAAAGTCCGAATCAGAATCGTAGAAACTACTGTCATCACTGTCGTAATACGTCTCACTTTCATCCGAATCAAACGTCGAATCATCGTCCATCGCCAAGAGTTGGGCCTCTTCCACAGTCATGTCACCAGCAGACAACATAGAAACCTGATTTATCGTGAGAGGAATATCCTTTTCACGGAGTTGTATCGAGTTGGGTCGCATCGTTGTGAGCGGGGGTGGTGCTTGTTCGCCGTCCGTGGTGGGATTTCGTCTGGGCCAGAACTCGTCCATGATGGAGGCGAGGAATTCGTTCCATTTGATAAAGTTCTCTTCCTTGACGTAAGACAACGGCGTGGTGCCTCGAATGTCTCTCATGCGGACAAGATGCTTGTCCGTTTGAAAGATGAGTCGGATGACATCAAAGTTTGGCTTGGATTGCCAGCACGCGTCGTGCAAGGGGGTTCGGCCATAATCGTCAGAAACCTTGATGGAACAGCCCGCGTCCATCAGCATGGTGAGGAGGTCGTAGTGACCTCGCCGACATACCAAGTGAACAATTGATTCCCCGAACTTGTTGCAAGCATTTGGAGAGATCCCACACTCCAATAATGTTCCCAACGCTTTTGTGTTGTTTGGTTGGTACATGGCCTTTGTGACGATGCGTCCATAACTTGCCAGTTGATGTTCGTTCGGATGGGTGTAGTATCCGGATTCCAATGTGGCGTAAGACTTGAGGTTGTAGCCTCTTCGCTTGAGCTCTTTGTTGAGAAAGGCTTGAGGAGATCCAGTTTCTATTTTCTGCAAGACAAAAAGGGTATCACGATTGACGATTGAAGGTTAGACGACGGTTTTCAGGTACCAATTGTTTTTGGCAGACACAGTACAAATCATTGCAACACGTACCTTTGGTTTGGTTCCCTGTGTAACAATGTGGTGATTGGTAGCCGTGGCTGTAGAAGTCATCGTCGACAAGGAAGCGGTAGAATCTCCTGATGATGACAAGCCTGACATGGTCGACATGTTGTCGGATCTCATGTTTTCTAGTGATGATCTTCGGGGTGCTCTCATTAGCTCTGGCTTGGGGGCCTGCTGATGGGCCACCTTTCTGTGGACATGCACTCGAAGACCTCGGTTATTGAAGACTTTGAATCCAGCACCATCGGTTGGTGCTGCGATTTGTGTAACATCAACTCCTGTTTGGGATTGAAGAAAAACATTCTTCAATGCTTCTGGAATTCTGCCGGGCATGATGGATTGATTGATTGATTAATTAATTGATCGAGTGAGATTTACTCGGAGAGGAAACTTGTGATCTAAATGTAGATGCAGTGGTGATGAATGATGGCTTTCTGAGGTATGCTGTACTGTATGTTGAGCTGGGTTTCACGATCTGTGGATGTGGTATCCAAGTTCACGTTTGCTTTTATTGAGAATGAGGAAGGATTGACAACGTGTGCGAAGGAAACCCGGATCAACGTGGCAAGGTGGTGCGATCGCACGTTGATGACATTTAAGTCCGAATATCAGGACAGAAATCTGATTGCTGCAAGTGACCATTTTGCACGTATTGTATTTTAGATTCAATTAGGGAACATGCAGAACTCTCAACTGACGTAATATTCTACCGGTATGTAACTACGACCATGACGTTTTCGCGGAGAAGATTCCGAATGACCAAGAAAATGAAGGGCGGTGAAAGGAGCGAAAATGAACGGCTTCACTGGTACCTGGTACAGTAGAGACTCTGGGTCATTTCTTGGTAGACGACTAGGTAGTGTACCGGTACGCACTACCAGATACCAGGAACGATAGAGGGAAAATCTAAACTACTGTATGCATTCATCAAAACAAGATTTCGAATAGCGCTAGAAACTATAATATCTGTTGCAATAGTTATTAAAAGAGTGTTCTACATGCATGATGAATTGCTTGTCAAGGAGGAGGATGTATTGATTCTGCTGTATCCTTTTGAGATGCATGATGCATGCTGGCCATGATGGTGAGTACTTGTGTACCGATTGTACCGTACTAGGAACTTTAGTAGTTCAGCCAAAAATCGTCGTCTGATGCTGGTGAAACCAAACAGCAGCCAGCATCTTTGTTTTTGGAATCTTGCAGCAGTCAATCGTCTTGCAACAAGTCTTGAAAAGGTGGGATGGAACCTTTAGTTTTGCCGGTACCTGGTACCCCCCAGTAAGGCTAATAGTGTCACTTGTGGCTTCCAATCTGTGACCGATGTTCTTCATCCCGTGGACCCCCCTCGCGGAAATCAAATTATTTGGGGGACAATATTGAATATGCTTGTTTTGGAGGAGAGTTTCAATATCATCCCTCCAAAGGCGAACCTCCGTTGTGATTGGCGTTCCCGCGCGCTTTTGAACTGTCACCGCTGCCGTCTCGCTTGCAAAACAATAAATCACGGATTCAAATGGTTGTCCGACTGCTGTCACATACCCTTTTCAATCCATTTGAAACCAATTCCACCACATTCAAGTGTGATATGGAGTGAGAACATCTCACATCAATCTTGTATCTGAGATTCATAACACATCTATTTCGTATCAGAAAGGCGGCAAAAAGTTGAGACTCGCAAACGCTTTGTCAGTCTCACAAAGTGAATCTCGCATCAGATTGAAATCGATCGCTTCCCTCTAAACGGAAGCTACTCACAATAAAGAATCAATCCTTCAGATCTTTCGTCATCACATCAGATTTCATCAGATCTTTTCAGATTCCTCAAGGTCCAAGTCACAGCCGCCCAATTCTTACATTTCTACCGCATTCCAGCCATTACCCATTACCATGCCACCGATAGTCCAAGACTCAGTTATTTCCGACGTCATGTTTGAAGCTGACTTTGGCAACAGTGACAACTGGACTCACTTTAACAATGATGGTAATGCCTTTAGATCTGATTTTAAGTCGGTGTCGTCTTCACCAAACACAACCGATACGTCACGAACTTGGTCGGCATCTAGTGATTCCTCTGAAGAACCTGCTGCTTCATCACCGCTGCATCATGGTGCCTCTACAAGCAACAGCAGAAGCAACAGCAGTCCAATGAGGCAACTCATGTCCGAACAGGAGGAAGAACAAGTTCAACATTTGGTGAATGTCATGCGCAAAGAATACAAGGACGTGAATACCGAAGCGGCTCAACGGAAAATGGTCAACCGCCTCAGCCGACTCAAAATACGGTCCAAGAAACAGGACTTTGCGGTCCAAGAGTTATCCTTCCAGGACTCTATTGATGATCGAGTTTCCTCTATCGTTGTGAACAAGACGCAACAGAAAGCTACGATCGTGGCCGAGGAACCAACGTTTCAAGCTCCTGAGGCTCCCAAGAAGCAAGAAGTCTTTGATCAGTTGAACTTATCCCGAGAACTTGAGGATGACGTTTCCGGCAAACCGATTTCTTTCTTGAACACTTCCGGCGATGATACCTATACCTTTGGTGATGACGATACTCTGACACTATCCTTGGGAGAAACCGAGGCATCTGAGTATGAACGAGCCGAACGGGTGGATGCTATTAAAGAATCCGTCATGGATATTCTCATGTGCTCTGTTTGTACCAATCCCATGTCGATACTGACTGGAAACTACAATGGGCACAATGACAGTATCAATATTTCCAACGACGATATTCATCTCTCTGTCGATCGAAGCCACGATGATGACATCGAAATATAATGCATACGACATCCGCCTTGAACAAACATAGAATCATAGCTATTCTTTTCATGTTGGTATTTCATAATTATTGTTTAAAAGTTAACATTCTGCATATCTACTGTGGCATTATCTAACTAGGCACCCACCATTGTTTAAACGATGATTCACGTTGCAGGTGAGAAAAGACTAAAACAAGTGAAAAGAAACACAGAAGTTGTTTAGTTATTGACTGTGGTCATGTCTGTATGATAATAAGAGCATGATAATAAGCCTATCTTTGCCTTATTATACTTGTTATAAATTGCGCAAATGCTATATGCATAGCCTGTTGGGAGACAGTTGTTCTATGGTCTCCACCAAGGCTTCTTCCAACTCTTCCTCCAATGTATCTTCCGATTCGGATGCTCGCAACGGAGAGTAGCAGGTGTGGGTTCCCAACATAATAGTATCTTCATATGTATCATCGTCATCTTCGAATAAAATCATAGAATCCTCGTCGTCCTCCAATGCGAGAATAGTACTTCTCGTCCGCTTGGATAATTTGGAAGACGATTCCGATATTAAATCTTCCATGTCATCACGTTCCACCATGCTTCCCTGCACCGATAAATTGTCTCCAGTATCATCATCATCTCGCTCACTATCAGCATCAAAGCCATCACTACCAGACTTGTTGTCACCGAATAGATGCTTGGATATTGCGGATTGGGCTTCGTCACGGACATCCAGCTGTCTTCCTTCTGATGACAGGTCTTCTCGCTCATCATGCTTGTGGGCGGGTGGATCATCTCTCATGGCTTGTCGCAATAAGCGATGTGCTCGCTTCCAATCCGGAGTCGAATCTATTTCGTTTGATGCAAACCTGGGCGGTGGCGGCGTCATGCCCGCCAAGGTTGGAAATTTGATTGGAGTTTGTGATCTGTTGCCGCTTTGCTGTGATTGCTCTTGTTGCTGCTGCTGATGCAATTCTTGTTTTTCACGAAGGAGTTGACGTTTGCTTTTCGGCCGAGGCAGACGAAAGAACTTGGTTCCTTTGGCAAAGCTGACAATCTTTTGGTATGACGAATTCTTGGACAGTATTGCTTTGGACGATGGGACCACCGATTCTTTGCTTTCTGCAGGCGTAATCATGATTCGACAGCCAGATTTCTGATAAGCTGATGATGGACTTAACGTACTATCCACCAGCAACAATAATGATACCAGCGTCAGTGTAAATATCACCAACACTCGCAGTATCCAGTCCCCAAAGGTCAATTTTTCCACTGTATACCCCATCCAACACATGGAAACTGGCAGCAGCATTTGGACCATTCCCAGAAGAAGGGTCTTGACCGGGATTGGCACACCCCATATTGCCCACGAAGAAGGAACAAATCGGCGAGACGAGTGTCTTGTTGGTTTCAGAATTCCTCGTCGTCGTCTTCGATAAAACTCATCCGGCTCATTATCATCATGCTGGTCGTATGATGGTTGTCGTCGAGGTCTCGTCTCGGCCATGGTTGAACGAACGGGACTTGAAAGTAGTAGAATATGCTGCTGCAGAATGGATTGTGGAGCTCGCTGTCAGGTAGGTAGATTCAAATCGATTCAAAAGTAGCAGTCCTTACAAACTGGTCCTGTCAAGTTGTACAACTGACCCTAAAAATTCTGAAATGTGATCGTTGAGTTTCTAATCGGGCTGGCGTGCGCTCGCATCTTTCGGCGAGTAAAACAAGACGGAATTCAGAACTTGGAATCACATCAAGAATTCCATGCATACGTCAGCCATAGATATCTGTAAACGTACACCAAGTACACGTGTACCGGTAGCAAAGATCTTCAGATGATTGATTGATTGATTGATTGATTTATCCATTGATCACTATTGATCAACCAGGGGAATCGAGAAAGGTTGCATGTACTTTCATTATCTGAAATGCTGTAAGGAAAATTTTCTGATCTCGGCGGATCCTCACTTCCAGCACGAAATGACTAGCTTTCTTTTCTGCAAGTACGGACTGGTGCTGGGACTGCCTGGTGGTGGCTGGCTACTAATGGCTGTTGCAGAACTGCACAAACTCTAGTGCTACTGCAGATAGATGTACTATGTTAGGATTTGGAGTATAAGAAACAGCGATCGGGGTAGGGTATGGTTTTATTTAGTGCTGGCAAGACGTTGATGGGACCTCGCTGTGGTCGAGTTTGGAGGAAGAGATGTTTTTGTCCGACGGTCGATTGTCGGCGCGACCGTCATTTAGTTTGGTGACACTTCAAACGTAACACCTTCGAGGAGGAATGAGTGGGCAGGAATTATTGTGAATGATCGTGAACGGTGAAAGTCTAGGTTCTCCTTCGTGTTTCTATTTCGCAGAACGAAAATTCACAACGTTTTGTTTAGGGTTGCAGTTTTCTTTGTTCAGAAACCGGCTGTTCGTTGAGCAGAAAATTCCAAGTTTTATAAGGGACGCGGTGAAACGCGAAAGTTTTTTGTCGCCATCGGATAATTGTGACACAAATGTTGTTCCATTGCAGAGTTTGTGCCGCTATTCGTGTCAAATCCCGCCATTGTGGGTGTCAAATCAACGAGAGCGTTACAGCAGAACTAAAATTCTGGTCTGAATAGAGGCATGTCGGCTCCTTCAGAGAATCCAGAGAAGATACCACACAACTAACTTCATGATATTAGTTGCGCCTGTCAAACGAACAAATTCTGCAGGTCTGATCACAAAATAGAAAACGCAGCAATTCAAAGGTAGAAGCATATATAGTGATACATACTGGACAATACGATGAGCTCTCCACTACATTGTTTCCTCAAAGCAATGATAAGTCAAAAGGCAGGCCACTTGCCGACCACGAAAGTGGTGCTCGTGGTCGATAATGCCAGTACCACAGTTGCGCAAAGAAAAGTCATAACGAGGACCAGCCACTCATTAGAGATCAGCAGTCCTCACCGTCGAAGAAAAGCCCGAAGGGTTGCCAACGGATCCAAGGAGTTCTTAACAAGTAACCCATTTGATGCATCTCACCTTCACGAGATTACGCGACGTCGGACGTCAAAGGAAGAAAGGTCTATCCTTTATAGCATGCCAACTGTATTGGAAGAGACTGAAGTCTTGGCAATATGAAAAAAAATGCATATTGAAACACTGCTATAACATCACCAGCTGTCGTGTAGCTTGGCACAAGGTGGCAATATACCTCCTTATAAATTCACACTGATACAATGTACATAAAACATAAATTATAAGCTTTCACAAAGCCCTAGCATATCCAATCTATCTCGTATTCGGTGTTGCAGCAGACCATGTGGTATCAGGTGTCTTTTCACGCGTTCGAAGACGGTTTGAAGCACTCCCGTCCCGTCTTCAAGATTGAACGCAATTTCCCAAAAATATGTAGCACATTAACAACGACCTCATGCTAAACAACGTTTCATCGTTTCTGTATAGTCCTAAAGAACACTGTAACGTTGACTTCTTAGCTCATGTTCCGGTTCGAACGTCTTCCATTCGACTTCCGGTTCCCTTGGGGAACCTTGAAGGTTTGTTCCCCGTTGGTGATTTTCAAAGTAGACGGTCGCTTTGGCTTGTCTTCTCCATTCGTCAATTGCAAATTATTGCTCTTCCTGGGGGATTGACCATTCGTCAATTGTGGCAACTTGCTCTTCCTCGGAGAAGGACCATTCGTCAATTGTGGCAAATCTTCTTTTGGCTTTGCTTTGGGTTCTCCCATGGTTAGCATCGGCAACTTGAGCTTCCTTTCTGGCTTCGCTGGTACTTCAGGATCAGCAGGTTCTTCTGGATCATCCTCCACGGGCCACAAAAAGATCATAAAGGCAGCCAACAGCCAAAAGACACAAGCTCCCAAGTTTAGCCCGGAACCACTTCCCCACTCGCAGATATACTCCAATGGATCCTCTCCTCCACACAATAGCGAATTCCCATAGGCGCAAAAGACAAGGATTTGTAGAATGAAGCATACGGCAACAACACCAGCCAGTCGTTTGAAGATGTAGTTGTTATGAAATGTCAGGCAGCAGGTTGTCATTAAGATGAGAACGATCATACCACCAATGAGCATTGCCATCCAGTTAAAGGCCGTAGCAAAGCCCCATGCAGCATCAATGTGTTGATCGGCTTGAAAATCCGAGTAGCGACCACATTTACTGAACACATTATTGTCAGCACCACCACCTTCTCGGTTCATAAGGCCATATCCCAAAAAGTTTAGGGTAGGTTCATCTTCTTCTGGGATAGGACGAGCGTTGATAAAATAGCAATTGTAGATTGTAACCAAGGATAAGGACCAAGCAACCAAAAGCAAAAATTGTGCTATCGAAGTATAGATGCAGCCATAGGGGTATCTAAGTATGCGATTGTCGTCGTGTGATTATATAAAATAGTGTCATCATTTCAGGTGATGGCGAAGAAAGAGAAAAAAGGATTTAAGCGAGAGAACTTGAACTAGTAACCAAGACTTCAACAGCAAGAAATGGTGCAAACATTGCACAGCAACGGCTCATGGTTGCATACGATTTTTTCATCTCATCATGCAATATACCCGTCGAGCGAATGTATCATCCCATGTGTGACAGCAAGAAAAAGCATTTCAGGTGAAACTTACGTCAGTGGTTCTTGACAACTGAATCGGAACTCTTGCTTCAATTTATAAAAGAATCCCATTTTCCACTGTCGATTTGACTTGTATGGAATGTCTGATGATGTTTGATGAGGGTATATGGATGACTGACTCTTTCAGTATTATGCCTGGTAATTTTCGGGATCAGAATTTTCGGCGGCACATAAATTCGACGTTCGCGCGGCATTTCGGTTCCACCGCGCGTAATAAAAATATTATATCCCCAAATAATAAAAGTTGGACTAATTCGACATCAAAGGACGACAGCAGTGAACAACGAAAGCCTAAACGAGTACCAATACCGAGTACCATTTACTCGCTTGCTCACTTGCTTACATTAAATCAAACAGTACCTGGTAGCACACCGGTACGCGAAGCTGCAGATCGGCCTACCCTTCTCGGCGCCAGATAAAGCGTTGACGCTCTGTCAAATGTTTACCCTAATGTCCCTTCGTCATCAGCAATGATCATTGAAGAAGCAAGAAGTAGTAGCTGCTAGTGCATTTTCTTGCCTCCTCTTGCCGCTAGTACTGCTGACATGAACTAATCAGTGGATTGATGTGGATGCGATAATTTAAGAAGGCTGTCAACAAACTCTGAAAAGTTATCCCACTTATGCGTGTCCTGCCGGCATTGAATATCGATTGATACGGTGCTGGTACTACTGCCAGTACCGGTACCATACCAGGTAGCTGCTAAGTGTGACCGCTACTGTAGCTACTCTAAAGCTATTTTGAATTTCTACAACTGGCAGTCCTTCGTCAAATTTGATACCAATAACTAGCGCGAACAATGAGGGAGGCCGTACATGGTGCTTTGCGCTATTCTCTATTTCGCTCTGACAGGTGCCTTTTCCCTCTTTCGGCAACCTCAACATGAATTGTCTACCAGTATATAACCGTGTGAAATGACTGCAATCAAACAGGCAACTCGGGACTGATCCGTGAGCCCATTGTCAATCGAGACCGGACGAATTGCGCACACTTATGGTTGAGAACCCATCTTTGTCGCCGGTTGTATGCGGCTTAAATAGTTTTGTCTCCACGAAGTTCCTTCTCCTTTGTTCAAGGGAACGCGAACGAATTGTTGCCAGCGCAACTTTTCATCTTCCATAAAACCATCGTTGTTTCGCATTATTTTCACTCATCATGATGAACAGCCCACTACAGTCCTTCCTTCAAGACATGCTTAATGAAAAATCAGGACATTCACAGTCTAGTCAGGTGAAGATAGTGGTGGACAACGCCAAGAGTCCGCCTTTGAGGGGACAGAAGAGAGTCGTCTACCGTTCTGATTCTCTGCTGAGTCTGGATGAGAGAGACAGCTTGGATGGCAGTGATCGGAGCGCTCGCTGGGTCAGCAAAAAGTCTAGTGACATTTCAGATAGCCCACTTCCTATATCAATGCGTACTATCTCACCCGAAGTGAGCATGTCGAAAGGGAAATCACAGGGTCAAGCAGGGGGGCTTCTCAGCTGATGTCGTCCAACGAACACAGCACACAATCTGGAATACGTGCAAAAGCAATATCACAAAGCATGACTATTGCGAGGGGGCGAGCATACAAACGGCATTGTGAATTTTGGCGCTGATGTCGGTAACGACGACTGATTTTCAAGGGATATTTCTTCGGAAACATTTCGATACAACGGTTTTCAGCATTACTAAGCAGAAGATAATGCAAACTAACACAATTTTACAATAAATAAGATACAATCGTATACTGTGGATTATATGTGTTTCAATGCACACTGTAGATTACATGTGTTTCAATGCAACTGTTCATTAAAATCTGATATCTTACCATACAGTCGAATCAATCATCTTTGTCGCGTGTAAAAATATATTTAGTCCGATGAGTCCATCTCCAACATAGCGCAACGGAAAACTCGACAAAGATACCTAGGAGTGAAAGCCAAAAGAAATACGACCGACACTGGCAACCGAATCTCTCGACATGTTGAGTGGCCAGTTTTCTCTTTCCATTCTACAGACTTCCCATCTTCAGGATCGCTGCAGTCTTCAATCAAAGCGCCTTCGTTAACCATCACGATGGTAGACAAAGAAGAAGACTTGTCGAAGGATTTCTCAGATCTTTTGGGTCGAGCTTCCACTTTAGAGGGCCAGGGCCGAAGAGCGGAAAGGAGAAACCGAGTGAAGAATCTTGCCGATGGCTTGGGAAGATCTTCCCCAAGGAATTCTTTGAGCACTGAGGACAAGAATGCGTCAGTTCGGAATCTTGCGAAACGCTTCGAAGCACCATCGATTCCTGATACTCAGAGCATCTCGAGCCAAGGAACAGAGACCACAGCAAGTACGACCACTACAGCAACAACGACAAACAATTCAAGTTACCAGAACAAGCCTAGTGTGCGCCATTCCACACCATCTTCCCAGCCATCTGCAAAAATGCTCATGGCTCATGCAGCTTTCGCAGGGACTCCAACTATCATGGACAAGCTTCCTCCAAAGCGAACATCAGGAGCACCGACAACAATCATGGACAAGCTTCCTCCAAAACGGTCTTCCACAGTTGCTTCAAGAGCTGCTATATTTGCGGCAGAAAATAAATCTTCTGACATCAAGTCCTCGCTGACTCCAACGATTACAGCTGCCCCAGTGCCATCACCAAAGATGAAACTGACCCAGGCGTCATTTTCTCGAACTCCAACCATGGAACAAATGCTCCCCGAAACAAGACCATCAGCGATATCACCAACAAAGCCATCAAACACGGATTGTACAGAGCCATCACAGTTCTTCAAGCTAGCACAAGCAGCCTTTTCTGGATTTTCTAGCACTCCACCTGCTGCACAGAGTCCACCTCAAAAGCGAACGCCCATGTCAACAGGAAAGGTAGCATCTTCTCCAGTCCGTTCACCCAAAATGAAGCTAGCACAAGATATGTTTTCGGGCACTCCTGCTATTACACAGAGCCTTCCGGCCAAGCGCGCCTCGGCATCTGCGGGGGCTCAGAAGGCGTCCGCCAACCCTGGATTCTTTGCAGCATGGAACAATATCAATGCCTTGACACAGCCTTCGAATAACCCAACACCTCCGATGTATGGCTTTGGAAAGTCACCCTCACTAGCCATCCCGGCTGCGAAGAATCCAACAACAACTCCGATGTATGGCTTTGGAAAGTCACCCTCACTTGCAATCCCGGCTGCTACTCCACGGAGAAGACAGCCTTCTACGCAAACTACACCCGCCACAAGAGATGAGCACTCCTTCCTTCACTCGCCAGAGCAACAAGAAGCCTATAAGCAAAAGTCTCGAATTCTAAAAGCTCAGAGCGTCAGTACCACCGATAAGCTTCGAATGTATCTCACATCCGTCCAAGAACCACTGACGGAAAAGAAAACTGGACTAGATGCTGAACTCGATGCCATTGATGTTCCTTTTTCGTATGGTGGAAACAGGAACAATCAAGTGCCTGCCTCACAATCCGCGCCAAAGAGCCATGAGAAATTTGTTGACGAGTCACATCAAGGCCAAGACGGTGCTAGCGACAGCTCCGATTCGTCACCAACCTTCTCAGGTGTGGTTTCCAAGTCAATCGACAAGATCATTTGGAACTATAGTGGGACCTATTCAGATAATCCTCGGGATTCACCGCCAGCTGTTCCAGTGGTGGACAACCCAGACTCGGCGAAGCGTTCCGGATTTATGGAGGTGGACATTTCCAAAGACGGTATTGATGACTTTGATTTTGTGGAAGACGACGACGATCTTTTCCATGACGAGTATGGAGTAATCACACATGCCAAACAAAAAGAGAAAAGGCGCCGAATGATTACATGGTTCTGTGTCTGGGTCGGGGCAGCGGTTGTGGGATCATCTTCCATTTTTGGACTTGGATTACTCGATGCTTCAGATGACGGTGTACGTGTACCTTCAAAGCCATGGACTGGTGACTGCTTCGGCAACAAACTGGAATTACGTATGGCAATTGATCGATTTCTTCAAGACGAATCCCCAGCAAGTGATCTGGCTGCAAAGTATGGCTGGCCCATCAATTCATGGTGCGTCAGTGAACTTGACGACTTTAGCTACTTGTTCCGAGCCCAGGTCGGCGATGGCGGTAGCCCGGTGCGGCTATCGAGCTTCAATGAAGATATCAGTGCATGGGATGTCAGCAATGGTCGATTCTTCAACGAAATGTTCTTGGGTGCCAACTTCAACCAAGATTTGTCCAAATGGAATGTTGGAAATGCTATTAATATGGAACGAATGTTTGATGCCTCTAGCTTTAGTGGCGACTTGTCATCTTGGGATGTGAAGGTACGGCAGCACTAGCTGGCATGTTATGGGACAATCACTGCAAATTTCAATACTACAATCTCATTCTTTTGAATCGTTCTCAAATTACTTTCAGAATGTCAAGAATACAAAGTTCATGTTCCGAAATGCAAGGAACTTTAACAGCGACTTATCGAAATGGCAACTTGCTCCAGAGACCATGGAAGGAATGTTCTTGAACGCGGAATCGTTCTCTAGTGACCTAGGAGGATTTGATGTTTCGGATGTAAGTCTATATTTCGAGGCTTTGTGGGAAGACACGTTGTTCCGGTCCCCTATCATCTAACGCCTCGGTTATACAAATGCAACTATAGGTTCGAGACTTTGCCGATGTCTTTTCGGGTGCTTCTTCCTTCAATGGCGACATTTCCACTTGGAAAATGAATAGCGCGGAGCGACTCGACAGTCTCTTCAAGGACGCCGAGCTATTTAATGGCGATATTTCCAAATGGTCGATGAAGCCAAGTTCGATGGATAGCACATTTTATGGGACCAGTTCCTTTACTGGCCGTAGAGGCCTGCAGAACTGGGACACGTCACAAGTGAATGATATGAGTCGGCTCTTTGCCTATAGCAAATTCCAAGGCGATATTTCATCTTGGAACATGGTATCCGTAACCACCACCAAAGAAATGTTTTTGGGTTGTCAGTCGTTTGATGGAGATGTGTCCAAGTGGGACGTATCGAATGTAAGTGGGCTAGGTGTCAGATAGATGTATCCAATTCTGAAGGCCACGTGGGTGTGGATACTACTTGCTGATACAATTATTTCTTGCTGTTGCAGGTCAAGGACTTTTCGTCCATGTTTGAGGGAGCCGATGCCTTTTCTTCCGACCTCTCCAAATGGGATGTTTCCTCTGGAACCAAATTTGATCGGATGTTTGCTGGCACGAGCAGTTTCAACAAGGACCTTTCCATGTGGAATATTGCATCTGTTCGAACCATGACAGAGATGTTTGCCAATGCTACCAGCTATTCCAAAGACTTGTGCACCTGGGCTCCCCAAGTGAATCAAACTTTTGACAAGCCGAGTGATTTGGACCTTTCCCAATGGTCTCTATTCGAAGGAACGAGATGTCCAGAGAAAAATACTCTTCCTGATTTTTCAGCTACCCCACCGGGCCCGTTTTGTCATCCATGTAGTCAATAGCCAGACCAGTTCACACAATAAAAGCTACTACCGAGTTTCGCCCTTCACATTCGCATCCTTGTCAGGGTGTATCTTTTGAAAGTATTTCATTGTATTGGACCAACTGTGAGTGATTGCAATCTTGTTTCGATGACCTCGGGCAATCTGTTTCAACTGTCTTGTATCTGCATGCATCCAGAATATTCTTTTGACTTGTTTCAACTTGGATAGAGATGACACGACCTTGAAGTTGTCATCAAAGAAGACTGATATTTGCAACTTTTCAACAATTGCGACTTTATCAAGATACTGACGACAAAATATCAAGTTGGATCTTTTCATATTCGTCTTCTGGAAGAACGTGGCGTCTTTCAGCCATTGTGAAATGCGCTGTTGCATTTGTGGTCCAGCTTTCGAAACAATAAAGACATGGTCAGAGCCAAACTGGAAGACTAGATGCCGAATCATCTCCAAAGAGTACGGGTATGCTCCTGCTGAATCAGCATGATCCTCGACTCGTCCAATCGTTTCTCCAAAGTCTATTCCAATTCGACATTTCATGGCCATATGTTATTGATGTATGCTGGGAATTAATCATCAAATATTTGACTGCGTTGTCGGTTTGAAACGTGCAAGCTTATTGTGCGGGTTGAAATTTGACGATTTTTGCCCATGAATGTGAAGTCGAACTAGTCATTAGAAATTCTATGTGGTAGTTAGTAATTTATTTTAATATTGAAAATCATGACAAGGCAACAATTGGAAGGCAACAAGTAAGATCAATAATGCAATGATTAGCATCGTGTACAGCAAGAGATTGCAAGCTCATTGTCTTTGCAGTTGATGGGATATCCTCTTGTTTTTCACCGCTAGTCTAAACTTGATCGGAATGTCGACGATCTCAAACGCAGAGTCTTTTGATGATTTTCGTGTCATGGCCAGAAGTCGGATGTGTCGGTTCGGTCATTTAAAATTTCTAAACCAGTAACTAAATTAATTTCTATAACGTTATAGTGTCGTTAGAAGATTGCCAAATCACGTAACCGCTATTTTGTTGACGGTTACGTGAATGGAACCCACCTGCTTCTCATTTTTTCGCATCGAGGAAAGTAATTTTGGATTGAATAATACGAGATAGTCTGGGATAGGAAAATAACCGTCAGTGATCACTTTATAGAAATAGTTTCGCAAATGATGCTTTGAGAAAATGATGCTAATGTCATTTCGTTACGAGCCTTACCTGCTACCAGAAGGCTTTTCTCCGACGGAGTACGATGCGATTTGTGGATGGGCGAGACAAAACTTTGGCCATTGTGAGTTTTTGTATTTGATTCTACAATCTGCAACTGCAAAAACGCACGCAAGATATCTCACTCAATAACTCTCCTTTTTTCTTCCTCTTCTTCTGCATGCTTTAGCTGGGAATCGGCGGCTACGAGACATTATTTCCCAGAATGTTCCCGTGTACAAATCAGCAAAAACAAAGAGTGACAAGGGAAAAGTCATTGTGGACTTGTGCAAGCAACTCATTATGGCTTCACCAACTCGCACAGGGTTTGTCAAACTAGATTCCAAGAGTGGTCGATGGTATTTTATTGGCTACGAGAAGTCTAAGGATAAGATTGGGCATGCTTTACGGAAAGCAGCTCAATTCCAAGCCAAGAAGAACAAGAAAGAGTCGGAATCTGGAGGGCGATCGTCTCATGATGGCGGAGAGCAATCACCCCAGAGCACTCCACTGCACCAGAAACCGCGAGAGATAGCGCAACACTCGTCACCCCAGGGATTTCCTCAGTCTCCAATGACTGGAGAGTCCAGTAGGGAAGATACATCTTCCGATGAGGACCGGGGCCGCTCCCATTCCATTCACTCGGACACTCGACAACCGATATTATCTTCCGCCCCTTCCACATCACGAGGAGACTTTGCTGCTGGAGATCCAACGCTGGAGCCGTCTCCGATACCTTCTCCTCGATCCTTGCCAATGAAGCGCACAACGAGTGAAAGTCCACCAAAGGCGGAAGACGCACAAGTACTTCGCTTCTTGATTGGTCCCGGTGGTACCGTTGGTACAATGGCGGCACCAGCGCCATCAGATGTAGCGGCCGTAGCAGCACAAGCCGCATCGGAAGGTGGTGGAGCCAGTGACGGCAGTAGTGGTGGCGAACAATCCAAAAGTTCCTCCAAAGTATCCTCGATTTTGGGCAAGGGATCTATTGGGAACTCACCCATGGAAAGTCCAGTTCGGCGTAGCATGTTTGATTCACCAATGAAGGTTTATCCCATGCAAATGGCACAAGCAAACGGAACGCTCTTGCGCAATCAACCAAGTGTTTCCATTCCCTTGCCATTGTCTGGTATCGGTGAAGGAGGAGAATCGTATCATCATGATCGGGAGGAGGAAGAGGTTGATCGAGTCACTAGTCTACCAGCTCGGGATCCATCAGGCGCTTCATCACCCCATCAACCAATGTATGCTTCTCATGCGGTTCCTCCGCCAGCCTCTCATGCAGTTCCACCAGGATATCCACCAAGCTACTACTATCCTTCACCCTATCTTCCACCGCCACCTTCTGGATACATTTACTATCCCGTTCCCGTGCACTATCCGAGTTCTGGAGGCTATCCACCACCACCACCACCACAAGCTAGTCCCTACTCCTATTATCCCCCACAACAGCAAAATGAGCCACTACAGCAACAACAGCAACAGCAACAACACAGAATGCCACCATCTGCCTTGCGAAGGGACCCAAATTATCCTCCACGAAAGGGGGGAGATGAGGGTGAACTCAAGCAAGGATCTCCCTCTCGCATGAGAAATCATCATTCGGGGACACCACATATGCCTTCGTAACGAGGATTGTCACTGGGACTTGAGGGGGGAAAACAAATGAAATGAAATCACAATACATGGATGCTGCATGGTGGAAATAGAGGATTGGACGAAAATATATTTTGCAATAGATACAAACAATACTAAAAAGAGATTACTCTGTTTCAACGGTATTCGTTGCTTCTGCTAGCATGCGTTCGAGCCTCCACCATCGTCTATAATACTCTCTTATAATTGATTTGATACGGCCTGAAACAATAAAAGATTCCTCTTGGAACTTGGATAGCTTCTTTTTCACGGCCTGAACCGCATCATTAAAAATACATCTATATCTATACCAGTAGTATAAAAAACGCTGAACGAAACCACCAAACAGATTGATAATGATGGATCAATCCATCACTTCGAAGCTTAGTGTGATTATTGTTGCTTCCGGCTATCACCAACTCCATATTGACAATATTAGTGTTGGCCGTAAAAAAAGGGCTTGTATAGCTTCTTTTTATTCCCAAAAAACCGTAGAACCGCGCATATATACGGATCATCCTCACGATCGATAGAGATACAACAACAATCCATCCCTTCACCGCATCCCATGGTGGATCCAATATATTTTTGTCTGGAAAACAATGCCTAGCTCAGTATCCCAATTGAAGCATCATAAGCTGTCAAACCCGCCGCTGCGGAGACTGGGCCATCAATGTTATTGTCTTATTGCACTTATTCTTCTTTCATCATCATCATCACCATCATCATCCTTCCCTTCCGTCGCATCCGCTGCCAATACAATAAAGGATACACCCGTCTATGGCCACGATGATGCCATCTTTGGAGGAATAGAAGAACAACAAGGCGACAAGCCGTTTGGAAACGTATTGGATGCCGGGACTGGACGATATTCCCTTCGATGGCTGTCTACGTTATCATTGGGATCCAAAGGAATGACACAGCTGACTGCCATTACGGCAGACGACAAAATGCTTCAGAGCATTACACCCCTGGTGAAAAAGCTGGGAATCGAGGACATTACATCTTTGGTAATTGGCAATTGGTTTGGTGAGGAGGAACCAATCCCCTTTGAGAACGATCAATCATTATTATTATTTGATACCATAATTGCCGATTATCTGATTGGCGCCATGGATGGATTTTCACCCTACCAACAAGATTTAATCATACCTAAGTTGGCCAAATATCTCAAACCAGGTGGAAGGTTGTACATTGTCGGCATGGAACCCATTCCCGACTCTTCTGTGAATAAAGATGAAGATATCATTTGTCAGGTAAAACGGGTACGAGATGCCTGTTTGTTGTTGGCAGGCCAACGACCGTATCGCGAATATCCACTGGAATGGGTCACACGACAAGTGGATCGTACTCCTGGAATTCAATTGGTAGCAAGCAACAAAGGAACTACTAAGATTACTGCTACTACTACTACTACTACTACTACTACATATCCCATTCGCCACAGTGGAAGATTCATCATACGTCAAATCAACAATGGTCGTCGATGGTTAAAGATGATCAAGCCCAAATCACTCGAACAGGAGATGAAAAATCTATTGGACGACTTGGAGAATCAAGCTCTGGAAGCCACGAAAGATGGCAAGAAGATTGAGCTATCCTTCAACTACGTGGTGTCTGCGGTCAAGTTGGAAGAAGTGATCATTGACGCAGCTTTTTATTCTTCATGATAGCGGTGACTGGCTGGCTGAAATCATCATTGTATAAATAATATATGGTGAGGCAAGACACCGAGTATGTGTCTATAGTCCGTCATCCTGAGGTTCGAATGAACGAATGGAGAAATGAATGAATGAATGAATGGTAGGTGTGACCCTAGCTACTAGCAGTTATAGTGGAATGACCATACCTTCTAATCATGTGACGGAACCATTGGTGGTGGATTCATCCATTCCGTTGCAACAAAAAAAAAAGGCATTATTTTTAGATTTTGGTTCTTGGTGAAACATCGGAGGATACCTTATTGGCTTCTTTAGACATGCTATATGATGGGCTATAGCAGAAGGTATTTGTAATAGTATACTTACTATTGGGTATTATAGTAGCATGTAAGTACGTATCATCAATCATTGGCTTCTTGGAAACCAGGCAGCGAGTGCACTACTAACTACTAGTGTAGTTAGTAGTAGATATATAACAAATACTACACTACCTGGGAAGGACGAGCTGTCGTGGTTGGGGTACTAAGAAGCGAGGTTTCCAATATGTAGCAGTTATTGTATTGATTCCAGTAGTATGGTACCCTACACGATTATCATCAGCATCCAGTATCCAGTATTTTCCGATGTACTGTACCATTGTACCCTCTAGCTAGTAGGTAGGTATTATTAATAATTAAAAATATTATTCATTTGGATGAATGAATCAATCAATCATCAATCGTAAACTTCCGACCATGGCTTCCAATTAATTTAATCCCGCAGATCGAACGTTGAACTGATGTCGCATTTGAACCACGTATGTGAATATTCTGATTAAGTGGTTAAGTGGCAAACATACAGAATCAATCCTTCATCGCTATGATAGAATGTCCTTGGATTCTTTGTTTCTCACGATGACTCCGACGTTTGCAGTTACATATTGAAAAAAATAGAAAATCTCGCCTACGGTACGAGGGATCGATTTATATCTCCGAGTGAGGTGGCAGCCTTCAGAAGCCTTCCGGTCACGTACGTAAGAAAAGTACTAGGACAAAGGGTGCCACGCATGTGAAATGCTGCCACGAGATCATCCAAAGGAGCCTGGACCCTCCGCAACTCGTCCGTCCTTCGTCGTTTTAAGGGGGATTTTGCGTATTGAATTTACGGGGAGCGAATACATGATTCTTTAGGGGGAGTTGTTTAAAAGGGGGCATTACGGTTTTCCAAAAAATATTTTGTCGTGTTTCAAATTGATTTGTCGTGTTTCATTCGAGTTTGTCGTCTTTCGAATTGGTTTGTCGTCTTTCGAATTGGTTTGTCGTCTTTCGAAAAATCTTGTCGTCTTTCGAAATTTCTTGTCGTCTTTCAAAAAATCTTATCGTCTTTCGAAATTTCTTGTCGTCTTTCGAAATTTCTTGTCGTCTTTCAAAAAATCTTGTCGTCTTTCGAAAAATCTTGTCGTCTTTATTTCAGCTTGAAGTTGTCGGATGGAAATACATATGCAGCATGCTCGCCTATCTCTCATGATCTTATCATCGGACGAAGATCCGCCCATGAACCACATCCTCACTCCATCGGAGATGACGAATATCACGGCCTTTCTCCATTGGGGATACGTGTGGAAGGGAATCAAATGTGCGAAGGGGAAAGGCGAATGTCTTCCACTTCAAGCACCGACCTGCAACTAAGCAACATTGCAGACACCAAGATCAAAGAAGGAGACGAAGATCTCAAGTACTTCTTAATGGGGCTTTACTGTCTTCGAAAAGTAGTTTTTTGGTCAACGATCAAAACATGGGAAACGATCAAAAAGATTCAAGACGTGATTTTGTTTGGGAAGAAACTGTTCAGAAAGGTATGAGTTGGGTGCTGTCGACGGATGGTAGTCACCGTTGGATCGATCAATGAGCCTTCTCATTCGGACTGCAGTCAAGATCCCCGATACTACCTTCATAGATACAATAATAAGCCACTGGTTTGGAATTTCGGTAGTGGACAATCGGCAATTGTGGATGCGTGGTCCCATTCCATTCAAGAGCAGTCTTCGCCACTCTATAATATTCTGACTGAAGATGCTGTAGATAGATGTAAAGACAATAAATAAGAGTTCTAGACCAGCAAAAGACCAGCGTATTATACATATATCCTACCATCCCTGCTACTTCACACAACATGTGATACAAATCTCAACAGACAGATATAAAATGTTCTTTGAAAAGCATTTCTTTCAAAATTCTGCTCGATGATGCATTTCCTTTGACATGTCATCTAAACTGATTGTGACACTCGTCGAACCAGTTGAGGCGCCAGTAGCCCGATCATAGTTGGAGACAACCGTATCTGGGTTGTAGTAGAACTCAAACTTGAGAACGGGAAGCTTGGCAATAAGAATATTGCGAGAAGTCGGATCATGGAGCTTGATAATAATCCAAATCCTGTTTATTGTTGGATTCGAGTTTAGTAACAATTGTCGTCACATCTCCAAATGGAATCCTTTGTGCCTTTCAATGATGCCACTTGATATTAGGCTCCTTCCCGCCTGGAGCCAATGTTTCACCGGGTCCTCCAAAAAAGGCATGTTGTCGCCTTCCTTCATGACCTTGACGTAGCGATAGTTCTCGCACATGAGCGTATTTTCCTGGTTTTTCTGCCGTCCGTCGCTTCTACTTTGGACCATGAACAAGTTTGGGCGGGCGTGATGAATTTTGTGAGGACTTCACCAACGTAGCTTTCTCTTTGTAGCCATGATGATGATGATGATGAAAGGGTCATGAGCTGCATCTTGTGGGTGAGTCGAAGACGGATTTCGAACCAAAGAGTTGGCCTACGGTCCTTTTTCGTCAATTGACACATCAGTGATGATGAGTTCGAGGTCGGTTTGTTGTCGTCGTCTTTTGAATTGATTTGTCGTCTTTCGAATTGATTTGTCGTCTTTCGAAATTGATTTGTCGTCTTTCGAATTGATTTGTCGTGTTTCATTCGAGTTTGTCGTGTTTCATTCAAGTTTGTCGTATTTCAACTTGATTTGTCGTGTCTCATTCGAGTTTGTCGTCTTTCGAATTGGTTTGTCGTCTTTCAAATTCTGTTGTCGCGTTTCGGAATCTGTTGTCGTGTTTCGAACTGGTTTGTCGTGTTTCGATTCGACCCAAAAGTAGAACTTGGGGCCCCTAAATTTGACTGCAAAACATAATGGGGGAAGACTAGAGAACAGTGCTTCCCCCCCGTTTAAATTGGACGACAGACAGACGAGTTGCTGAGGGTCCTGAAAACCGAAAACTTCCACTATCAATCGTAACTACCATACAGAGCAAGTACATATCATATCTTCTTCTCCTCCTCAAGTGAAACAACGATACGAACAAAAACAACGTTCTCTTAAACTGCTGCCACGTGTTCCTTGATTCATTCATTCATCCACAGTACTCGAACCCAAAGCTCACAGGTCATAATCACCTCGAACAACACTACAGTGCAGTATCTATAATACTGTAAACTGCAACTTTCTCACTGTACCGTACCGTACCGTACCATAATGAGAATCCCATTCGCATTGCAAACTGTCTTTCTTCAGTCTCAGGCTGGTGAGGATGTCGAACAGATTGTCGCTCCTAAGGATGGAACAGCACACAAGGCTTACCCTCCCAAGGTCCCCAAAGCCCGGGGTTCCGATGTCAAGAAGGAGCCAATGAAAAAGATTGGATACCGACCTGTCACCAACCGACAAACTGCCATGTCGCTCAAGATTTTCAATCGTCTCAGCAAGCATGTCACTACTGCTGCGGATGCCACCAAATCAAGGCTCTGGCAAAAGACGAGCGGTGACGATGACGAGGATCTATGGGTAAGTAATGTGGTGAATCGATCAATCCATCAATCAATCGATCAATCAATGCATGAATCATCACAAGTGTTCTCACATCCTAATGTTACTTTCTACTTGCTGCTCTTTCTCAATTTCAACAGATCCCCAAAACAGTTGCCGCTTCTTCGGAACCCTCCTCGACGACTGCCACGGCTCCCAAGAAGAAAATCACCAATCCTCAAGAATATTTGGACCAAGAATTGGCCGCCAGAGGGTACTCGGTCAAGAGATATCCTTCCTTGCCCACTGGTTATCACTGTCCACCCAACCCTTTGCAGTTGGCCAGTTTTGGCAACCACCTCAATCAAGCCGTCCGCCAAAAGGATCCCCAACTGCTACGAGACTTGATGAAGCTCGGTGTCTCCCCCAACGCCTGCAACAAGTTTGGTGAATCCATTGTCCATTCGGTCTGTCGCCGGGGGGAAGCGGAAAAGTTGCAAATTCTACTGGATCACAATTGTTCCATTCAGGTCAGCGACGATTACGGCCGGACGCCGCTGCACGATGCCTGCTGGCAAACGGACGATCCAGATTTTGATACGGTCCGCATTCTCTTGGCCATTGACCGCGATCTCATGTTCCTGACGGACATTCGCGGATCCACCGCCTTGACCTACGTCAAGAAGGAAAACCACCCGGCGTGGATTTCCTTTCTTCAGAAGGAAATGGATCATTATTGGCCCAAGGGTGGCATGGACAACAAACAGCGTGTCCCACCATTGACCAAGGAAAAGCCAGGATCTCGACAATTGCCATCTCAAATTACCAATTTGGGATTGGACATCATTTCTCTCTTGGCCACGGGACAACTGTCCGCCACGGAACCACGTCTGTTATTGGCGGTCCGACCAGCAGGTGTCATGCCCACAACCGTCGTCGAACCACAACAACAGCAACAACAACCACAGCAACAACCTTCGATTGAGAAACCCTCGGTGGAAAAACCCACGGACGAATCCGAGCACACCATGGCCATGGACGATGACTCGTACGATAGCTATGATTCCGATTCGGATTCTGACTATGATTCCGATTATGATAGTGATGAAGACTATGATTTCGATGATGGTGATTTGAATGAAATCATCATGATTGGGAACATGAGGGGACAAGAAGTCATGTAAAGAAAAAAATAGAGGGGCAAGCCTATAATTGTCTTGTCATGCTTTCGACCCGTGTTGTGCACATAATCAAGTACGCAATGCAGTAGAACCAAAAGAATAACCTGTACATAAACACTTGCATATATACATACAAACATACACAAACATACACACATGAGATCATAGGACTATATTGTTTCATGTCATGCAACTAGCTAGTCTTCTGAGCAAGTCATGGCATAGGCAGTGTTGCCATAAAGGTTTGTATACAATACATTACAATACATTACAATACAATGCAATACAAAACAAGTTTCTTGCTTCATTCAGAAGTGTTACACTATTAATTTTTTATATATCATCGTTTATACACAGCATGGTTCTTCTACTCGTATACGGTACACACACACACACACACACACCATTGCTCTTTTATTTTTTCTTGAACATTCCAAACATGGATGTTTTTGGCTTTGGCTTGTTTTGGGACAGCTTTTCCATGACTGCCTTTTGACGATCTTTTACCGCGGCATCATTGTTGCTTCTTTCACTATTATTAGAACTACCACTCAAGGGCCAAGCATTATTGTTGTTGTTGTTGTTGCTGTTATTGTCTGATGCACCGATACCACTACCGGCACTAGCACTGGCACTGGCAGTAGTAGCAGTAGTAGCAGTAGTTGTAGTACTATTGTCAGTATTATTCCGCGCACTCCGCATCTGATTGATTTGGGCAATCCGCTCGCTCCGCGTCTTGGTCTTGGTGGAAAGCGCATTCTTATGACCTCGCAACTTTTGTCCAAATTTGAATTCCTTCTTGGCTTGCTTGGCCTTCTTGGCCGATTCTTCTCCTCCACGATACGCTCCATAACCAGCAGCTCCTACGACAGCCGTTTCGATAATCACCATGATTCTTGTTGTTGTTGTTGTCGTTCTTGCTTTTGTTGCTGTTGCTGTTGCTGTTGCTATTGAATATGTATGTATGTATGGAATAAGGCACACGTCTTACATTGGGCCGTTGATATATACTGCGTATTGACGCGTACCATCATGCTGTACGGTATGATGCGTAGGAGTATATAAAATGTATGTATGTATGTATGTGCGCGTGAACGTACGTTTGGACCCGTCCGACTAAAAATTGTCAGCATACACACCTACATTCACAACATTCTAAATCTACAGTATGTTCGCATGCTGTTTGTATATGCTGACTCTGGAGAGAACTAAGTGTGAGGGATCCATGCTCACTAGTCAACTCGTATACCATGATCGATCAGCAAAACACCAACGCCTCAAATTATTGTGTTTTTGAGGTGACAAGAATATTTCAGAAAATGCGACCGTGTCAATTTGACACGTTGACACTATTAGTGTAGTCACAGCGGTTAAGATGGCGGATATAAATAGGTTCGCAACAAGTTACTGTAGATGTTGCACATGATCCAGTCTGAATTATTTTAGGGAAGGATGCGCATGCAGCAACACGAGGCTTCGGCTGCTATGCCTTTCTATATAACCTTGATGGTGCGGGGAAAGAAGCATCCAAGTCCCAAAATGGCTTTTTAGCTACAGCAGAATCATCACCTCCTAGTAGTAGTACTACTAGTTACACCATTTAGTATTTCTCAACAAGTCAACAACTTTGACATGATTCTGCTTAGCAGCGAACTTGAGAAATAGATCGCAATAAGCCTGTGATGATCAATCAACTTGCGTAGTATGATCAATTTGAGGTCCAAAACTTGCGATCAAATTCAACGTGAAATAGAATCCCACATTTTGGCGGATTCGATTCTGAGAAAACCTCAGATTTAATTTCCAACTATTCATTTTGTCATGGCGGTTAAGATGGCGGATAGATTTGGACGACTGCGATGCCTATATATGCGGTTCGAACGATGTTACAAATGAGACTGTACAAGCGTATTGTATTAGCTAGGGGCGTCAGACGAAAGATGCTCGTACATACTAGATACTAACAACTCAGTCTTCTATCTTAGTACAGCATGCACACACCAATTGTTCATTTGCAAAGAACAAACAAGGTGCCTCTTCTTCGTCGCCAGCTGGAAGAATCTTCATGCTGGTGGAATTGCACAAACCATCTAGGGAACCGGTCAAGTCAAAGTTGCCACTCAGATCCAATGCTACAAGATTTGAAAGCAAACTAAATTCATTGGGTACTTCACCAGTCAGATAATTGGAGCCTGTGAGGATGATCAAGAAGAGATGGTGGATGAGGAGGCCTGGAACACGAGACAATCACATTGCAATCAGGCGAGCAAGCTGTGGATGACATACTGAGATCGAGCTGAACCAAATTCGCGAGCGCTCCAATTTGCGACGGCAGTGTCCCTTCCAGAATGTTTGTTCCTATTCGATTTTTGGATGTAGATCATGTTAGTCTCCTACTATACTCCTGCTGGGACTACAGCTCATTATCGAGCAAGGACTTACCTAGTAGAAGATGCGTCAAGTTCGTATTGAAAATTGTAGAAGATATTCCACCTTCGATATCATTAAAACCTGTGAAATAACGGATACCAGTATCAGTGAAAAGCATGCTAATACAGTAAAACGCAAGACCTCTTTTCGCACTTACCCAAGTCCAAGAATTGCAGAGTAGACAAGTCCCAAAGTTGACGAGGAATCGTTCCATAAATCTTGTTCGATGCTGAAATGGGAATGGGCAGAATGAAGGTAAGACGCCAGTCCAGTCCAGCACTTGAATGGCAAAGAAGGGAGGGCGCAAGTGGCGATGATACGTACTCAGTTGCAGCACTTCCAATTGGGTTAGCATTCCAATTGTGGATGGCAAAGAAACTTCCAGAAACGATTGATCTGTTGGTACATAGGTAGTATTCGTAGAAATATTTAATGAGCGACACATTTTGAATTCGAACCGATGCGGAACTGATGACAATCATAACGTACACAGCTGTAGTTCTTTCAAGTTGGTCAGCTCGAACAAGGAGGACGGCAAGCCGTTGATTTCTGTTCCCAATCCCCATGGGTTATCACCTAAACCAGCACGATGAGAGTCAGAAAGATAGAACATGAGTCGATAGCGGATGGAAATGATGTATCGGTATTACCTAGTAGAAGAGACTCAAGCTGAGAACACTTCCCAATATTTTCGGGCAGACTGGCTAAGCTGTTGTGACCTAATTTCAAAGAGAACAAACACACCAATGAGTGAGTTGTGATTCATCGAATTTGGTATCCGATTTCAATGCAAAAAGTACGTACTAAAGTCAATATGGACCAAGTTGGGCAAGCTGCAGAGTTCTGGAGGGAAGAATCCTTCCAAGAAGGCCCTTGGAAGGACAATATGCGTCACACCGATGTCACCATTCGAGTAACCGGCATTCTCCCCCCGACAATAGATTCCTTTGTTGCCTTTTGTGTGCCAGGAGCATACGCTATTTTCTTGGACTCGGAAATCGAAACGTTCATTCGTAGCAAAGTAGAGGACCGAGGCAACATAGCGCTCCAGAAACGCTTGCTGTTCATGTGTCATTGCTGTGGAGTTGTTATCCGCGGTTTTTACAGGGACAGGAAGCTGCAGCGGGTCTTGAAAGGCCAACCAATGCAAGGCTCGATAAGGCGCACTTTCCAGATCCTTTAGGCTTTCAGCATCCGATATTCCTTCATCTAGAATCCAAGCCCAAAGAGATTCTAATAGCAAATCATCCTTGTTGTTGCTCGGAGCTAAAGTGGGACGGAGCAAAGGGACGTCGTCGCTGGGATCAGCATTGTTGGGGGGCAGAGTCGGTGGTGGCAACCCTGATGGAGAAGATTTCCGAGCGCCAACGCCAACACCGAAACCAATGGCACTTATCAATACCAAGGCAACCACAATGCTCCAAAGAACACGATTCTGTTGATGGCAGCAGTTGTCATCGGCTTTGGAATTTGGTTCATCGTCCCCATCACCGTTTCCAACGTCGTCACCATTGAGGTTACGATCGCCAATGACGCGGACCATGGATCTTCCAATCGAGGCCATCGAAGAGTCCAAGGAAACAGAACGAGACGGAGTAGGAGTGTCCCCTACTGGGCCTTCATCTATCAATGATGGCATAATGCCAAGATGCATGGGAGTTCGACCGTGTTGGCTCCCTCGCATGATTGGAGGATCCACTTGTTGTTGCGGTCTTCTCGCGGCAATTGTACCCGTCACCCTTGGTGTATCTCGAGGAGAATGAAGGCTGAGGTGAAGTGAGTCCCCAAAAATGCGATTGGAATTGACATTACGATCGTGGGAACGAGGACCATGGCAACTTGCACTGGTAAGTTGTTGCTCGTTGGATTTCCGCCTATTATTTCCCGCTGCTGTTGGGAGTGGCGAGTCATCGGATAGAAAGGGCGGCGACAATGGTGGTTGAGGGTCAGGAGAAGTATTGGGATGCTGGGTTAGTTTCCCCTTTGCGTGTTGATCCACAGCACCAATGGAATGGATGCTAAAGGCACCGGGACTGACTAGGTATTCGAACGAATCATCATCATCATCGTCATCATTGTCTGAATCATCATCATTTCCGTGATTGTTTGAGGCTTCCTTCGTTTGACTTTTCCGTTGTCTTCGTTCGACTGACTGCCGGATTCGTCTATCTCTTGGGGTTTGTGGTGAAGACTGATAAACACTGCTCCTGCCGTCTTCATTTTTACCGTACTTCCCTTTCAGATACTTTTCGAGATCGGACGAATCCATAGCAGAGGCTCCACTCTTTCGTTGTCGTCGCTCCACCGACTGTCGAAGTCGTCGATCAATAGGACTTTGAGGTGAAAATTGATGATTGGAGTTATTCTCTTCCATCAGCGTGCCCCCCTTTGCATACTGATCAATATGATGGTGTGACGACCCATCGAACCCAAAGGCTCTAGGACTTGTTATTGGCTTCATTGGTGATTGCTTCTTTCTTATTGGACTCAGCACATCATGGGCGGGTGAAAGTGGACCGGAGCTACTGTCCGCAGCAAAACTTGAACTACTGTTTCTTCTTTGACGCTCGGGAGACTCATTTACCAATAGTGCGACTTCTTGTTGTTGTTCCTCGCCATCAGCTGGTGGATGGGATCGATGGGGACTGTCGATGTCTTCAATACTGTCATCCGAGTGAATTGCACGGGTTATTTTTGGACTATCACTGCGGTGATCTGTTTCCACGTCATCGTCATCGTCATCGTAATGACGGTGATTGGAGGCTCTACCTCCTTCGGGAGCTGTCATCCAATGATGTGTGGCGATTCGAGAATGGTACTGGTTCTGCTGACTAATGCTGGCGTCTACAACTGGTTTCTTGGACAAGGGTGGTGACGGTAGTATGCCCCCTCCTTGTGTCTGCTGTTGATTCGACGCACTTGATGCTGATACCGTTCCCATCGCTTTCAATTGGTTGGAAAATAGATTATAATGCGATGATGGTGGTTGTGGCGGAGGTGAAGCTGGTGCCAATCGAAGTCTTGGAGAAAAGGGTTTCTTTCGAGTAGTCATTGGACTCGGAAAAGATATTCGTTGTGTCGTATCATGTTCTTGTTGCTGATGAGCAAGCAGGCTTTGGCTGCCCGTGAGTGGTTCTGAAATTCTTCTTTCCCTTCCCACAGTATTGGTATCCGTATCCTCTATTCTTAGTCTATCGCCGAGAACAGCTCCATTTGAATCAACCATTGTGACGATTTCTTTGTTGTAGAGAGCAGTTGTGTGATGTGATGATGATGTTTATTGAATAAGCTAAACACCTACTCAAGTGTTCATCAGGAAGTTGTTGTCAACCGACTGTTATTTTCAAAGATACACGAACCGCTGATAATAAGTGTTACGGCAGATGCGTACAAAATCATTCGCTTTTCGGACCTCGTCGGTTTTTTCTATTTACGGAACATAATGCATGTGTGTTCCTGGCTACGATACCCGCTACTTTTCCCGCCCCAATCTGCCGCTCCCACCCGTCTGCCCGCTAAGAAAAAATGATTACTTCGAGTGACTGACTGACTGACTCAGTGAGTATAGGTCAAGCGAAGATCGCGCGACGAAAGCGTCACTACTGTTATTGTTGGATTGAAGATCAATCTTCATATGGTGTCATATATATTGACAGCTGTCAACACAAACAATCTCTCTCTCTCTGTCGCCCACTGCTTGCTTTACCATGATGATTGCTCTCTACTCCTTTGTCTTGGCACTTGTTGCCACATCCTCGGTCCATGGATTCGCACCCGTCGCCAACAAGGCACCAGTCTCCACCACCACCACCACAACAGAATTGAACATGATCGGAGGACTGTTCCAGGGACTCTTTGGAAAGACAGATGCGGAAATCACCAAGACTGTCTACTTCGATATCGCCATTGATGGAGATGCCGCGGGAAGAATCGAGATGGGATTGTATGGATCTACTGTCCCAAAGACTGCTGAGAACTTTGAAAAGCTGTGCACTGGCGAAAAGGGATTCGGATACAAGGGATCCTCCTTTCACCGTGTCATTCCAGGCTTCATGTGCCAAGTAAGGAAGGAAATATACGAAAAACATCATATTCTTGATCTGATGAGAATGTGAAAATGAAGATTTTGACTGACTTTCCTATTGCGATTCTATTGTTAGGGTGGTGATTTCACCAATGGAAATGGTACGGGAGGAAAATCCATCTATGGACGCACCTTCGACGACGAAAACTTTGATATTGCCCATGGTGGACCAGGAACTCTTTCCATGGCCAACGCTGGACCCAATACTAACGGAAGTCAGTGTACGTTGAAATTTATCTGCCGTTGTTGTGCTGTTTGCGGCTGATAGGTCCTATGATATTTGGCAATAGTCGGTTTGTAGACGAGCATAATTTTCTTCATCTCACCTTACTCATCCTGCCTTCCACTCCTCCTTTCCGCTCACTTGCATATACAGTCTTTGTTTGCACCGCTGCCACTCCTTGGTTGAATGGCAAACACACAGTCTTTGGAAAGGTTACCAATGGAATGGAAGTCGTTCGCAAAATTGAAGCTTACGGAACTGATTTTGGAAAGCCTCGAGCAACCATTACCATTGCCGACTCGGGAGCTTTGTAAATTGGAAGAAAAAACAGAATAGGAGCCTTCGTTACTATAGATAGCTTAAGAAAAAGAGTATTGATTGGGTTCTCGCTCGTAGAAAGCTGCTCATGATGGGCAAAGATCTCTCAGTTGAAAGGATGCTGACGATACGCCGGGCCCCAAAAACCCAAAAAAACGTTTTCCTTTTCGCCAGCGACATGTATTTCTTAGCAGGCGAAGATAATGAATCAGCTGTCGGACTTGGCTACGATGTGCCCGCTGGTCGCACTCATCAAACTGTCAATCTTGATTGTTTCCAAGCACTCCAAATGCGGTAGAGTCAAGAACATGCCTTGCATATAGATTGGTGCAAACAAGAAGTGGATACAGATTTGGGAGAATGCTCGATTCCTTATCTTGGACCGCATTGTTCCCACTATAGCTACTATAATCTCCTTCGCATTTGAAATCAGTGATTGCTATTTTCATCTGTGCCATTTTCGGTTGTTACTATCCTTACTGTTGGCTTTAGTCCTCAAGGTGAGCCATCGATCAAGCCGCTGATGCATCAGTTTTCGCTGTCGACGGGGTGTTCACAAGAGATGCCAAAGGTGCAAATTGCATCCGGGGCCCACAATAATTTTCATCATTGGAATCAAGGACTCCAAACACTTAAGTTGGTGTCGAAATCTTTGTCATCATCTGATCCATCATGGCAAGGTTATTGATCAAGACGGAACTGGAATAGTACGTTGTTTTTCATATCAGGTATGCCAACTCATACAACCGTTGCTGACATGTGGTACGGTATATATGCCATTGCCGTGTTGAAGATGAGTATTGAGTATTGAAGTTTGTTTCTTTGTTTCTTTGTATATATTTATATGTCAATTTCTATAATTGCACTCTATGCACTCCAGCTGACGTGCCAAAGAGGTTGTTGTTGGTGGTCGATCATGCTGCAAGTGCGGTATTGATAGTCCATGGAAGATTCACTAGAAAGCCTTGTACATGGCGCAAGTGCATGTCGCATCCTTGATCCACAAAAACCATGAATAGTGACATCAAGTGCTCCAAGCACTCGTTTTGCTTCGCAGTGTTGCCTAGTTTTTGATCAATCACGATCATGTTATTGATCACAGCAAACCGAAACAAAATATTGTGATCCATGTCATATGAATTGTAGGCTAGCCCATACAATCGTCTTGCTTTTTGCAGCACTTGATATTGCTGCTTTTCGATTGCAAGCATTTGATGAGCAAGCGCAGTGTTGAAGAGAAGAATGGCTGTGACAGTGTCAGCATCACTGACTTCGCTCTGCAACGAAATGCCATGTCCGTAGATGAACACTACGCGACTCGCCTCAAAGCTCGACTCATCCTCGACCTTCGAGAGCAGCATGCATTGATCCAAGCAGTCAGAATGAGCATACCTCCTCTCATCACAACGATCCTCCTTACTCTCAGCTGCACACTGGAGTGATCGGAGGCACTTCAGCGCTGCTGACAAGACCTCGATGGCCTTCGAGAAATCCTGGTTTCTCAAGAAAGCAATAGCCTTGCTGTTTTGCCCAATGATGATATCCATATTGCCGCTCACTTGAAAAAGGAGAAAATGAAAAAATGTGGGAAGATTTCGAACGTGGGAATAAGTTACCAGGAGTTCTGCTTCCTGACGTCATTCTGATTCACAGTTCGGCACTCGAATCTTCGTCTCAAACAAAAATATGCTTCAGAAACCTGCTTCATCAGAGAACAACGATGTAATGACCTTTTTTGGTCGCATAAAAAACAGTTCAGAGCACGACCAACGACCAGATCCATTAGTGAAGGCAGCATGTAAACGTGACAATAACTTTTTTTAATAAAAAGAACAGCAGGAATGTGACGATCGTGGCTCGTCGGTGTATCAACTGGAACACTCAGGAAAGATATTTTTGCCTATGCCAGAAACTGATGGTCAAAAGCCTGTGATAAGAAGAGTTCGTTTCAACGCTCACCTTTTCCTATTGATCAGGATTGCCCTGCGTACCCCATGCACCCCACACAGCACTCAATCCTTTTTTCACGGTTTTTACTGGAACGATGAACGGCACTGTAAGAAAAATACCATCGGAGCACAAACGCATCCTCATAACGTACCTACTATTTTGGCTAACGTAGTACCCACCAAATCTTAGAGCCGACCTTTCCTGATTCAAACCAGCAAGAATGGAATGTCCTCCTTCTAATACCTACTGCAACAGGATGAAATGATATAAACTTGCTTCCTCTACGTTCGAAAGATATCGTACTACGGTACCAAGGTCTGTGGGATATGCACCAGCATGAGTATGCATTATTGTCTATCTATATTTGTGTATGCTATAGTTGGTTATCAACGTTTCGTTTGCTATCCATGCCTATTCAACCATAGTTATCACAACAAGGGAGATCATAGTACCTTGCTTGTTGATTGTACTACTGTCCTCAACCTTTACTAATCTGCACTCCACCAATCGCTTGATGAGCGAACATTGTTGTTGGTATGGTCTATGCTACAACTGCTGCGGCATCAGCAGTGGATGGAAGATTCACCAGGAAGCCCTTTACCTGGCGCCTACGAATCTTCATTCCAAAGCTCTCTACTATGTCTATACTATAATCTCCCTCGCGGCATTGGAAATCAGTGATTGCTATTAGTATATATATCTGTGCCAGTTTCGGTTATTACCATCCTTACTGTTCTATCATTAAACCTCTGAAGCCCTTGACTTTCGTCCTCAAGGTGAACCATTATTGGCCAGCCAGGCCGCTGATGCATCCGTTTTCGCTGTCGACGGGGTAATCACAAGACAGCCTGTTTGTACATGCAAATTGCATCCGCAGCCAAGAAAAATAAAGGCTCCAAACACTAATCCATGTCAGATGAATTGTTGCATGCTCCTCTCGATGGTCTAGGATGAGTCGAACTTTGAGGCGAATTGCGTAGTGTTCATCTACGAACATGGCATTTCGCTGCACAGCGAGGTCAGTGATGCTGACACTGTCACAGCTTCAACACTGCGCTTGCTCATCACATGCTTGCAATCGAAAAGTAGCAATGTCAAGTGCTGCAAAAAGCAAGACGATTGTATGGGCTAGCCTGCAATTCATATGACATGGATCACAATATTTTGTTTCGGTTTGCTGTGATCAACAACATGATCGTGATTGATCAAAAACTAATATAGGCAACACTGCGAAGCAAAACGAGTGCTTGGAGCACTTGATGTCACTATTCATGGTTTTTGTGGATCAAGGATGCGACATGCACTTGCGCCATGTACAAGGCTTTCTAGTGAATCTTCCATGGACTATCAATACGGCACTTGCAGCATGATCGACCACCAACAACAACCTCTTTGGCACGTCAGCTGGAGTGCATAGAGTGCAATTATAGAAATTGACATATATAAATATACAAAGAAACAAAGAAACAAACTTCAATACTCAATACTCATCTTCAACACGGCAATGGCATACCTGACAAGGTAGAATACTGTTAACGATGCTATAGATCCGAGACCGATATAGCCAGACAGTAAGATAAAACAGAGATTCTATCCTTTTAATGATGTGATGTGATTTTACGATCTCCACAAAAGAGTGAGAGATGGAATTCACTCAAAGAGAGAGAATTCAGACAGTAGGTCCGTCTCACGTGACACTGACGTGGTGACGTGAGATTGGACAATATGTATGTTGAAGTGCGCGTGCCCGAATGGAACACGGAATCTCAAGCGAAGATCAACGTCCTATGAGGAAGCCAAAACGGGAGGAATATATCAGCAGAATTCCACCCTAACACTCCCTCTCTTCCGAACATTGGACTTGACTTGAGTCGTATGATGTGCTTGACAGATAAGAAGGTTGTTACCAGCCGCAGAGTAGCTTTCTGCATCGAAGAAACTTGTCCTTGGTAAGACCTTTGGTAAGTATATCAGCCTTCTGTAGGTTGGTTTTGATGTAGACCACTTTAGTGCGTGTCGGCTTCAAGTACTGCCGAAACCAATGGGACCGGACCCAAAAACTCTTCGACCTTGGAGTATGATGGCCTGGTTCCATACATGCCAACTTCTGGGCACCTTGGTTGTCTTCATGAATAGTTGTGCTGAATTGAGTGCAGAACTCCTTGCCGATTCCAACAGCGTGGCCAATCGTCTTGAATAGTTCCTGCAAGGGTAGCACGTCCCTCATAGATAAAGCGAGAGCATTATACTCCGCTTCCATAGTAGAAGCTGCAATAGGTCGCATCAATTGACTCTTCCAAATGATCGGACAGCCACAGATACAGATTGCATATCCTGCTCTGCTTCGTACAGACTCAGGATTCGTATGTTCCTCGACGTTCCATAGACCCGCGAAGTCAGCATCGACGTAGCAGTCAATATCAAAGTCCTCTCTTGGAGTAAGGATCAAACCTTTGTCCATCGTGCCCTTCAAATACTGTCCGATTCGTTCGATCGCTACTTCGTGACTGCGTCGATTCCCGTGGATGAATCGTGCGACTTGAGAAACTGCAAAACAAATATCTGGACGACTGTGTCCAGACAGATACAGGAGCATTCCAACAACTGAGGCGTAGTTGTACAAACCATCAGGTAGATCTCCCTCCGCATCGATCGCCAATGGATCAACGTGAGCTGGTGTAGGTGATGTCTTCTGGACACCAAGAGCATCGACAATACGCTTGATCAGACCTTTCTGAGTCAAGGTGATAGCTCCAGTTTCTTCATTGCGTTCGATGTGTACGCCCAGAAAACCAGCAACAGACGCCTCTTCTTCTAGCTCCATTCCTTTTTCTCTCAGCTTGGCGATGGCTTCATCGATATACTTCTGTTCAGGTGAGAAGAACAAAGTGTCATCAACATAGACAAGACAGATGCAGTTTTTCGAGATGAAAAGACATGGATCGACTTCGGTTTGAGGCTCGAATCCAATGTCCTCCAAATTAGACTGCAGGAATTGAAAGAAATTTCTGGGGCTTTGTTTTAATCCATAGAGACATCGTTTGAGTTTCAATACCTTGTTGGGTTCCGAGAACCCGCGAGGCATCGCGACATAGACTTCTTCCTCGATTGGCGCATGTAGGAACGCCGTAGTGTAATCAACTTGCTTCGTAGAGAGGCCAAGGACTTGAGAAAGAATCAGCATGAGGCGCACTGTGTTCCAGTTGACCACAGGTGCCCATGTTTCGTGGAAGTCGACGTCTTGGATTTGTCGATCGCCACGAACACAAAATCTTGCCTTGAGTTTTCGGACACTTCCGTCCGGGTACCTTTTGCACTTGAACGCCCACGTGGAAGGTAGAACATTCATGCCTTCAGTGCGATCAACGACATCCCAGGACTCCTTCTTCTTGAGAGCCTCAATTTCGTCTTCCGCTGCCTTCCAATACCCTTGTCGTAGAGGTCCATTCATTGCTTCATTCCAGTTTGGGTTGTCTTCACTGTTTGCTTTCGCAGCGAGAATCATGGGATGCAGGTCGTCCTGGAGCCCCGTGTCGTGGTCGTGGTACGGCTCACATGCGGCTCGCCACATTCGACCAAAGTTGTCGCCCTTGATAGTGTTGATGGCCTCCGCCCACTTCAAATTAGCAAAGAATTGTCGATCCAAGGCAGAATGTCGGATCTTCTTCTTGCCTAGCTCGGCAACATTTGCAAAGTCATCCCCGAAGTACTTGGGGTTTTTCTTGCGAACACGTGATGTCGGTAGTGATGGAGCAGCAGCTCCCTCTGATTCCGACTCCTCTCCTGGATCTTCATCTTCGGCCTCATGACCTTCAACCACAGACTGCTCGTCGTCTGAATGAATCGCTGGTTCTCCATCGGAATCGTCGTCGTTCAAATCATCGTGACTTGGAGGATTGGGCGGCGCAGATGCGGGTTTGTCTTCAGCGTCAATATTTCCTCCCTCTGGAACTTCAAAAGTGACATGTCGGTTGCGTGCAGCGCGATGACGACGCTCTTCGGCGATTCGCTGACGTAAACGCGCCTCGCGAGCCGCCCGGCGCGACTTGCGAGCACGTTTCTCAACGGGATTGAGCCATTCGTTCGCCAAAGTAGGACGTTTTCTGCGATCATGGCGACTTCCACTCGCCAATCCCTCCTCGTCCAAATGCTTTTCGTAACCAGTTTCCACGAGACTCTGCCAAGTCGTTGCATCAAACTCGGCAACATCAAACAGACCTCCTTGATCGGCATTTGGAACTGTCGTGAAAAGGTCATCAATCACAACATGATACTGCGGACTGACATAGCCTGTCTGGAGATTCAAGACACGGCTCACAAGTGAAGAATGAGTTGGGGAAACGCCGACATACATGCCACGCCGCGCCCGAACATCCCATTTTGGAATCTTCTTCCCGTCCTGCAATCTCGGATCCAACACATACACCGGTGATCCCCAGACATGGAGACGTTTGAACCATTGGTGATGGTCGATCTTAGCCCCTCCCATGAGCTCGATTGGCGCTTGCTTGGTATCTTCGCGTGGTAGATGGTTCCACAAATAGACTGCATGATCCATAGCAAAAGGCCACAACTTGTGATCGGCTTCGTCTGGCCAATGCAACATTTGATGAAGAAGCATGGCACGAGCCCAGGTGGTGATAGTTTGGATTGCTCTTTCGGCAACTCCATTCTGATGTTTAGCTCCGACTGCAGAGTAATCAATAGTCTGCTTGTGCGACTCGATATCATCCAAGAATCCTTTCGAGCTGAAAGGGTGGTTGTCAGCACGGTAAGACTTGACCTTGTGTCCGTATTCACCAACTTCACTCTCAAACGAATGTTTGCTCTTGACTGTCTCTCTCGTGCCAGTCGAAGTCTGGTGTTTCGCGTGGACGAAACCGGTGGCATGGTCCACGAACAGGGTCCCGCCAACATATTGCTTGGAAGTCTTCTCCTCGCCAAAAGTATGCGCAAGTCGACCAGGGACAGCCGAGAGATATTGGTCAATCGAGACCTTGTCGCCTGGCTTGAGGTTATCGACCATCATTTCCTTTTCTTTTCGTTGTTTGCCCGTCTTCGAGCCAGGTTGTTGTTGAGCAGCATCGGATCGTGGACTGCGGCGACGCTGTTTCGCAAGTTGACAGACAGCACACTTGGGACTTTTGCAAGACTTGAACTCGTCTTTCTTGGCAGGTAAAGGTCCCATCACTGGATGTCCCTCCGTCTTGGTCCACTTGCAGAGTTTCAGAAGCCAGTTCATATTCGCGTGACCTGTCTTCGCATGCCAGAGAAGCAACTTCTTCTCAGCCTTGGTAAGATTCGCATTGTTTTCATGAGCAACGTTCAGAAAAACGCTCATGTCTTCCGGCAAAAATTCTTCTTCTTCGTCGGTGATAATATGTGCAGCCTCGTCTACAAGACGATTCGCCGTAAGCATCATGGGCAGGTTGTTGCCCGCTTGGTACGGAAAGAACAGGGTGTCGCCATCAGGCAACGTCATCTTGACTTGAAAACTATCGAAACAGACCTCACCCTTGCCGTGCTCTTGAAAGTAGGACTGCGGCGAGAGCAATCTGATGTTGGTGTCTGGAACGTAGTAAGCACTGACGCGAATCGACTTGATGGTCCCATGCATATCTCTGATCTTCCATTCCACCTCTCCAATACCCAGCACAGGAGTTATGGAGGACAAACCATTCAGACTTTTTGTCCCACAAGCAATCGGCTTGGTGACAAAATCTTCTAGATTCGGAGTCAGAGAGAAAGATGCTCCGGTATCGATGACGATTGGTAGTTCGCCCTTGGAATCAACATTGATGTAGACGCTGCGAAGTCGATCAGCACAGGACACATCGGACACGAGGTCGTCTGCTGCAATAAGTGCTTGAGTGACTCTTGGCAGGGATGAAACGGGTTGAAGGAATGTCGAACTGAGGACATCCTTCATTGCGTGATGCTTGGTATTAGGACGAAAATCCGCAAGAAGCTCGTCGAGAACAACCCCATACTGCGATTCGTACTGGAGGTAAGAGTGGTGCAAATATCGGTTCTTGGTCCGCTCGTAGTCTTCTAACAACTCCTCATCGCTTGGACTTTCCCAGTGACTAGGTTGCTTGACGTCGTAATCTCCCCAGAAATCCTCTTCCTTGAGACTCTTCAGCTCCCTCTGGAGAACATCTTGCTCCTTAGGGCTCTTGGCGCGAACTAACTTCTTCAGTAAACGAAACCTTGTTTTCTTTCGACCCTGTGCAGCACCCTTTCGGCGCCGTTCAGGACGTCGGCTCTCATAATCTTCCTTGCGGCGCCTCTCTTGGCGCTTCCTTTCCTGCTTCTGCTCTCGAACCCCTTCCTTCCGTTGTCGCCGGAGTATTTTCCTAGGATCTCCTTTGACGCGCGCGATACGAAGTCTCAGATGGTACTGACGCGGGTAACGATATCGACGAATGCCGCACCACCACGGGTACGCTGACGGCAGTTCCACAGTGATCTTCCTACGCGGCTTTTCAACTGATGGCAACTCCACATACATTCTTCTTGGTTGATGTACATTGACATATGCCTCTCCATGGGCAAAAAGTACTCCAGATGGGCGACACCCTACTCTGGGCATGGACGGTGGTGCCACGAGGGCATAAAGTACTCCAGAGGGGCGCAAACCCCATCTGGGTATAGACTGTTTCCATGACTGACATTTCCGTTTCAAATGTTGATCAGGTTGGATGTATTCATCGTCGAGGCCTCGGAACAGAACAGAATCGTTCCGATACTTCAGACTTGAGTACAGGTACCAGATCACTGCAGCATAAAGGCCAAGCTGCAGTATGCATGCCCACTCACACAAAGTCGTCTCCGCGACAGACTTGTAGGCGGACCAAATATCGAGAGTCAGGCCTTGACTCTCAGGGACGTAGTGCAGATGACACAAGCCAGACATCGCTGTCTTGTATCCAACTGATAGTAGCTCGTTAAACATAGTACAAAAGAGTAACACAACTCCGAGCATTGCAAAGGGTGGCATGAGGGACCAAAAATATCGTTTGATCACGTCTTCCTCACGCCACCAGGACCGTCACTCTTGGCCCAGGTTCTTGTTAAAGTTACGGATTGCCCTGTCAACGGCATTCTTGAGTAGACGCTCTTGCAACATGACTTCTTCGTTGGTAGCATCTCCGACCTTGACCTTGGAGAACTCTTCAGAGAAATATCCACTCATTCCCGCGAATAGACCGTTCCCGTTCCAAACACCGTTTGATTGCGCGAGGTGCGCACTGGGGCCGGTATTTGGCGACGGTTCGTCTTCTCCAGTTGTTTTCTGCTTTCTGCACTTGTACCACTTTTTGTCTTTGAAGTGATAGAAATGCAAGGTTCCATTGATTTCTTGTTCCTTGGGATCATCTCCCTTTGGAGCTGGAGGCCATTTGCTCTTTCCGGTCTTGTTGGTCTTGTCTCCCTTCTCTGAGCCCTTGGAAACTTGATCGCCCTTCTTCCCAGATTCCTTCGAGGCTTTCTTCGCTGCCTTGGCTGCATCGAAAGCAGCTTTGGCCTTCTTCCCTTCGGGATTTGCTTCCAGATTGTGACGAGGACAAGTGGCATTGCTCTGGCGACAGCTATCGCGTCCACACCCGAAGCACTTGGATCCTGATTTCCCTTTGGGTGGACTGATGTCGGCGGTGAAGGCAGCCGCTTGTGTTCCCTCCGTCTCCCATTGATTTAAAAGATTGAGCCTGTCATAGAACTTGCGGGCTTGGATTAAGATTGTGCTTCTCATTCTTTCGCAACATAAGGATGGTAGACTCAATTTCCGTGCAGAACTTGCGGATATTGCCATCATATACCTTGGAGTACAAATTGATGCCATCACCTTCTTCGAGAGAGTCCCGAAGTGCCTTGAGTGCGTGATAGCTGCTAGCAGAGATACGATCCATAAGAACTTTGTAGATGAGTGGACCCCACCCCCAGAAGTCTTTCGAGATCCCTGCGCTCTTCAAGTCTTCCTCGATACGATCGATCATATCGCTCGTGCATTGATTCTTGAGATATGTTCCAGACCATTGAAGATCTGTTGGCATCCAAGAATTCTCACCCTGACTTTCGTCATAACCGTATCCATAGAGGTATACGACTGAGTCGAAGACTTCTTCCAAGGTAAGAGTTGCATAACCTGACAAAAGATTTGCCGCTCGATTCTCAAGCTTGCTTTGTTCAAATTCCCCGTTCCTGTTCTTGATGGGAAATACTGTGTTGACAAAGAACCAATCGATCCCAAACTTCGTGAGATGCTCCGTGATGTGGTTCTCAACTTTTATTACATCGTGGACTTCACTTGCTGTCTTGGCATAAGGTATGTCCTCGATTTGCTGGTTGCGACTATCGGCTGATGTTCCGCTAGCGTCTTTTTCCAACTGATGATACGCTTTCGGATTTGCTGTTCTCAACAGTTCTCGTTCCTCCTTTGGACAGATCACAGTTGACTTGATTAGATTGATCTGAAGCTTTGGTCCTTCGGTGGTGGTGGAGGAGTTCCGCTCTGTTGCGATTTCTGAGAAACACTCGCTGCAGGAGTATTCGGAGGTATGTTGAACTGAACATTCCTTGGAACTGGACTTCCCCGACCGTCTTCTGTTACCATATCACTAGGATTCATGCTGCTGATCACTGAATCACTGATAGGTGTCGATAGACCTTCAAATTAGTAAAAGCGTTTTTGACTTATTTGTGGACGATATTGAAACAAACTTTCAATTTCCTTGTTGACAATCACAGTAAGAAGCGTAAAAGCTTGGGCTCATAACCTGACAAGGTAGAATACTGTTAACGATGCTATAGATCCGAGACCGATATAGCCAGACAGTAAGATAAAACAGAGATTCTATCCTTTTAATGATGTGATGTGATTTTACGATCTCCACAAAAGAGTGAGAGATGGAATTCACTCAAAGAGAGAGAATTCAGACAGTAGGTCCGTCTCACGTGACACTGACGTGGTGACGTGAGATTGGACAATATGTATGTTGAAGTGCGCGTGCCCGAATGGAACACGGAATCTCAAGCGAAGATCAACGTCCTATGAGGAAGCCAAAACGGGAGGAATATATCAGCAGAATTCCACCCTAACAATACCGTACCACATGTCAGCAACGGTTGTATGAGTTGGCATACCTGATATGGAAAACAACGTACTATTCCAGTTCCGTCTTGATCAATAACCTTGCCATGATGGATAAGATGATGACAAAGATTTCGACACCAACTTAAGTGTTTGGAGTCCTTGATTCCAATGATGAAAATTATTGTGGGCCCCGGATGCAATTTGCACCTTTGGCATCTTTTGTGAACACCCCGTCGACAGCGAAAACTGATGCATCAGCGGCTTGATCGATGGCTCACCTTGAGGACTAAAGCCAACAGTAAGGATAGTAACAACCGAAAATGGCACAGATGAAAATAGCAATCACTGATTTCAAATGCGAAGGAGATTATAGTAGCTATAGTGGGAACAATGCGGTCCAAGATAAGGAATCGAGCATTCTCCCAAATCTGTATCCACTTCTTGTTTGCACCAATCTATATGCAAGGCATGTTCTTGACTCTACCGCATTTGGAGTGCTTGGAAACAAACAAGATTGACAGTTTGATGAGTGCGACCAGCGGGCACATCGTAGCCAAGTCCGACAGCTGATTCATTCTCTTCGCCTGCTGAGACTGCATCTCCGATGCTTAACGTCCAGTTTGTAAACGCCCAAATATCGTTCCTTAGCGTTTTCTCTAGGCAGTCGATACACCAACGAACCATCATCGTTATTGACGTGTGAATTGTCGATTTTCTTCAATTGATTCTGCTCACATTCTGCTACCGTATAAACACCACCGGAGCACAAATGGTACCGTAGTAGTACCAGTAAACAGGGGATGGAGTTGCCTTTTTTGGCCACGGATTAAAATACGGCACCGAGTGCCGTACCGCGGTATCGTCACGCTGAAATCGCATGTGGCCAGCAGCCTGGTCATTCGACGAAATCATTGCCGATGATTGGATCTGATCAATCAATAATGCCCGATGAATCATCAAATCTTCCAAAAAATGGGGACCTCACTTATTGCCAAACAAGGAGCTGAACACTGGGCAATCATTGGGCTTCCCCCGCACTAACTGTGTCAATTGCTGCCGCTCACACTTCCTCCCTCAAACCTCATTCCTAAGATATATTTCTATCCTGATCTCTCCCGCATTCAAAATAAGCAGTGGTGCCTAGATTTTTTGAAAATATCATGTAGGTAGATGTAAATAAATCTATTACTGTCTAGCGTAAAATTTGGAAGTCCTTGAATCATCGTTAGGCCGCTGATGCAGTTTTCGAAGCCAGTGATGGGATGTTCGCAAGGCAGCCTTGTGCATGATGAAGGTGCAAACTGCATCCGCGATCAACAAGAATCATCAATACAGCCGTCAAATACTCCAAGCACGAAATTGATTTCGACATGTTTCCCATCTTTTGCTCAATCATGGCAAGGTTGTTGATCAAGACGATCTGAAACAGTACGTTGTAGTCCATATCATGTGATTGGTATGCCAACTCATAAAACCTTCGTGCTTTGTGCCATAGTTCGGGCGAGGTCGTGCCATAGGCAGCTTCGGCTGCAAGGTGGTGTGCTAGAGCCGTGTTGAAGATGAGTATTGAGGTGACTACTGATGGGTCATGCATCGATCGAGGAACGACAATGCCGCGGTCGTAGACGAAAGGTATGTGATCAGCGTGGTCGCTATGTGGCGCACTTCCATTGATCTTGGAAAGAAACATGCACTGGTCCAAGCAGTCGCTTCCACTGCAGCTGTGGTGGAGTGGACTTTGATCATGCAAAGCAGCCTGTCTAGCCTTGTGATATTTCAGTGCAAGTGATGATGAATCGATAGCACCGATGAAATCTTGAGCTTTCAGGAAAGCGAGGGTTCTGTTGTTTTGCTCGATGAGAAAATCGAAAGTCATGATAATCTTCTGTTCCAAAAGAATTTGTGGGAAGAGACAAAACGAAGAGTAGTCCTGATCAAAAAGGAAAAAGAAGGATCTGGAACGGGCGTGTTGCAATCAGCTGTATCCATGACGAAACCGTTTAGTCTCACAGGTCTTTTACCTCCATTTACCATATGAAGCGTTCCGGGATTCCTTTGAACCAGTCATTTCCAAAATTTGAGCCCTTTGACTTTTGAGCCCTTTCGGTCTTAACTCGCAATCTCGGATGCTTAACGTCGAGTTTGCAAACATGACCTGATATCGTTCGTTGGTGCTCCAACTTATACACTGACGAAGGTCATTTTATCATGCGGTCACATTGAACATTTTGAAACACAATCGGCTCTGAAAATGGAGGAGGTACTAGATTTTTCACGGGATAACGAATTTCGAAGAAAATTCGGGAGCACATAGTCACATTGAGCATGCTTGATATCTAGTTTGTCCTTTCTAAGAGCATCCCAGACTTGACAACATTTATGAAGCGCACCAGAAGGTGTTGCCACAGGGGGAAGATGCCAGGTGTCGACCTTTCCAGTTGTTTGGCTTCAATGAGCATCCCGATTCGGTCACAACACTAGTTGAGGTGGCCCTTGGGGACAGCGATTACGGCGACTTCGGTCCCGCTCACCATCAATATATTGGCTACAACAAGAAGGAAAACTTCCGAAGAAAACTACAGTCAACCATGATTAATGTTTCTAGTATATGAATATTTCAAAATTTCCGCCCTATGCACTCCAAGTGAAGGTGTGCCAAAATTGTTGGTGGTGGTCTATGCTGCAACTGCGGCGTCAGCAGTGGATGGAAGATTCACCAGGAAGCCTTGTACATGGCGCAAATGCACCTCATGCCCTTGATCCACCAAAATCATGAACAATGAGAGCAAGTGTGCCAAGCAGTCATTTGGCATCGCCTTCTTGTTTCCCAGCTTTCGATCGATGATGAAAATGTTGTTGATCACAACAAACTGAAACAAAATGTTATCATCCAAATCACCACATGCGTTGTAAGCCAGCTCGTACAATCGTCTTGCTTTCTGCAGGACTTGATGTCGCCGCTGTTCGATTGCAAGCATATGGTAAGCAATCGCGGTATTGAAGAGAAGAATGGTTGTGATAATATCAGCATCGGCGACCTCACTGTGGAGCATAATACCGTGCCTGTAGATGAATTCCTCATTGTTTGCCTCAGTGTTAGACTCATCAACCTTCGAGAGAAGCATGCATTGATCCAAATAGTCAGAACAATGAGCATACCGCTCATCACAACAATCCATACTGTGTGGTGCTACACACTGGAGTGATCGGAGGCACTTTAGCGCTGCTGACAAGGCCTCGATGGCCTGCGAGAATTCTTGGTTTCTCAGGAAAGCAATAGCTTCGTTGTTTTTCCCAATCATGGTATTCATCGCCGCTCTGTTGAAAAAGGAGAACATGAAAAAGTGGGAAGACTCTGAATGTGGGAAAGTGAAAAATGCCATTATCCTGGAAGAGTTTTGTATGCCGTAGTGACGGCATTCTGACTCACAGATTCATTATCCCCCCGTGTAAATGGTTCTTGTCGGAATTGTCGGAATGAATCTCACACGATCGCTCTACGTGAATAAAATAATATGTTTTTCTAAATAGACTGGCATCGTGTAGTAGGAGTATGTAATTTATTGAAGGTTCCTCAATTTTCCATCCATTGTGAACAATGACCTTTGTTGGTCTCATCATTATGTGTAACGGCACGATCAGAAGTTCGAGGCTGGCAATTTCGGTTCTCGCGAGATTGTAAGCAAGATCAGCCAGCCGCTTACAAATTCATCATTTTTTATCTCACAGTCTTTTGCCCCCATTTTAAATTTTGCCATATGAAGCTTTCCGATATTCTCTTCGAAGCAGTCATTATTGAGACTTTGAGGGCATAAAAGCTTCCCAGCACTCTTTCTCGGATGCTTAATGTCAAGCTTGTGGATGCACAGAAAACCTTCTTTGGTGTTCCAACTGATAAGCCTACGAACCGTCGTCTTTCTATTGAAGTGTTCGCTTTCTCAGTTCGACCACTATCTCCATTGAGATCACACAGTCATTAGTCGTTTGGGGAAAACGCAAACTTATTGGGCAATATCTGATTTGTCAACGTTTCGTTTGGTTCATTACTGCTTGTAGTCTGCTGTATCTGGCTATTCAACCATGTTGGCCACAGCAAGGAGGATAACTTGCTTCTTAATTGTACTGTCAACCATAACTATGACTAATGTTACTTTATATATTTCGAAAATTTGCGCTCTATGCACCACTCCAAGCGATGAAATGCCAAAATTGTTGGTGGTGGTCTATGCTGCAACTGCGGCGTCAGCAGTGGATGGAAGATTCACCAGGAAGCCTTGTACATGGCGCAAATGCATCTCATGCCCTTGATCCACCAAAATCATGAACAATGAGAGCAAGTGTGCCAAGCAGTCATTTGGCATCGCCTTCTTGTTTCCCAGCTTTCGATCGATGATGAAAATGTTGTTGATCACAACAAACTGAAACAAAATGTTATCATCCAAATCACCACATGCGTTGTAAGCCAGCTCGTACAATCGTCTTGCTTTCTGCAGGACTTGATGTCGCCGCTGTTCGATTGCAAGCATATGGTAAGCAATCGCGGTATTGAAGAGAAGAATGGTTGTGATAATATCAGCATCGGCGACCTCACTGTGGAGAATAATGCCATGCCTGTAGATGAATTCCTCATTGTTTGCCTCGGTGTTCGACTCATCAACCTTCGAGAGAAGCATGCTTCGATCCAAATAGTCAGAATGAGCATACCGCTCATCACAACAATCCATACTGTGTGGTGCTACACACTGGAGTGATCGGAGGCACTTTAGCGCTGCTGACAAGGCTTCGGAGGCCTTCGAGACCTCTTGGTTTCTCAAGAAAGCAACAGCCTTGTTGTTTTGCCCAATGATGATATCCATAGCTGCTCTGCTGAAAAAGGAGAAAATGAAAAAGTGGGAAGATTCTGAACGTGGGAAAGTAGAAAGTGCCATTATCCTGGGAGAACTTTGACAGATTGCATACGAGTCCAAATACTCGCGGCAGACCTGGATATTTTCCTTCATACCGGAATAATCTTAAGTATTTCGTGACCGCGAAACTTCACTGTCTGCCACGACAGAAACCACAGCACTGACAGCATTTTCCTCCCCCCTCATGCATCTAAATAGATCGTTCAACGGGAACTGAATTCGAACATCAAAATATGGAGAACCTAATTTTTTTTCCTCTTTCGTCGTGATCAGACGACCTTTTGAAAAACGGCCAACAGTAGTACAATAATAGTCGATGCAGTCAATATTGGAATGTTCGCGATATTCGTAGAATATTCTGAGTGTTTTTTCAGCGCAGTGAGACGGGACAGCCTGTTGTCTTTTCTGCCGCTTCTCATCTGTTATTAGGTTGTAACAAGAGTATATGGTTGTGATAGCTTGAGTTCTTTTCCAGGTCATACAACCGTGTAGACTATTACGTTTTCCTGTTTGGAACATATTCTTGAGTCCGATTTGGAATCTTTTCATTCCTAGGACTGCCCTGTAGTGTCGCGGTGTCTGTTGTTTCCCATCCATTGTCTGACTGACTGACTCACTCACTCACTCACATCATCAGCCACAGTACGAGGACCTAGTACTGTTGTACATACGCATACCGTAGAGCAAGGCATTATTGAGTCGTTCTTCTCCCCCGGGCCACCAAAAACATATTTATTGTAGTGTACTACCGGTACTGTACTGTAAATTGCGCTGCGGAAACTCATCATCGACAAAATGCATACCTATACTACTGTATATATATTATTTTACCATCTGTTATTACTTGCCACAATCGGCTACCGATATCATAGAAAGCTTGTTAAAGACAAGCCGATGTTCAGAAACCTGGAGAATGTTCAAAATGAGGAGAAAACGAACAAGTGACAGTGATGACTCTTTGAGCAATAACTCATCTTCCAATAGTTCTGCATCACAATCAGGAAAGAATAGTCAGAATTCGAACCCAGGAGATTCATCAGTTTCGAAGGATCATCAGCAGTCTGACCCACATGACCTCATAGAGCGGTTTGTGATGAACCAGAAGGCCCGATTTCCTCATGCAATTGCTGAAATAAAGCAAGGAAAGAAACGAACGCACTGGCTTTGGTTCATACTGCCAACGCCACCCTATATTGTCGATGGCAAAGAACGTGGATCTGAAATGAATCGCTACTTTGCACTTCGAGGGGATGCCCCACAAGCCTATTTGAAGGTTGACGCTCTACGGTATAATTATCTAGAAATCTGTCGAGCTATGGAATGTCAACTGAAATTTGGAAACACTTTCAGGAATATGTTTGGCCCATATGATTGCCCAAAGGTGATCAGTAGTTTGAATATGTTCAATGAGACGGCGCTACAAATGAAAGATGATGAACTAGCTACTGTCTGTAGTAGCTTGCTGTCAATGGACAAGAAGAAGAATCCAAACTCGACAAAGCGATAGAATAGAAATGTGTATTTTGCAAATTTGATACGCTACCGCTCGCGCTGTAAATAATTTCCTTTTCTTTTAAAAATGCTAGTGGGTTCAGGATATCTGATGTATACTGTAGGTAGCAAAAAGGCATACACAACCCGATTCCTGATCAAGTGCTGTCGTCGTCTACCACCTCATCCCCAACATATTTGTTGCGGCTAAAATATCCACTGAACACTTGTTTCTTGCCGGTCTCCTCGTCAGTGACTGACATCATCCCAGCTCCATGCAGTTCTCCATTCCGGAATTCTCCAAGATATGTGTCGCCGGAAGTGAACCAGAACATACCGTTTCCATGCATGCGACATTGTGAGTTCAATGGACCACTGTAATGTCCGGAATGGACATGAGCTTTTCCGTTCAAGAGATATCCAATCTGGGCTGGGCACAACTTGACTCGAACGCCATCTTGAAGTCCCCGGAAGCAAAATTGCTCGTTCACTTCGCCGTTCGTAAGCACGCTAGACTCAATCTTGGAGGCTAGAGGGAGAATTTCGTCACCGGCCCAATTGTCATTGTCATTGTTGTTGCTTTGTTTCGATTGATTCGGTTCTTGTGTATCTTCACCAGAGTGCATGCTGTGGGTCGAAGAATCAAAGAGGATATCGCGATGGGCTCTTGCGGTCGTATTCTGATAAGTTCTCTGGTTGTCCGTGCTGCGAGTATTCGCTGATGGGTTGAATACCTTCAATTGGTAATCCTTCAAGGAAGATGGTCTTTTAGATTCGCCAGCCATTTCCTTTTGTGTCGCCATAGCATCCACTGGCCCCGAAAAAGTTTCTGCGTCTGGTTCATCTTCGAAGCATACAGCGTCTTCATCGTCCGACATCAGAGGTGCAGGGAATAACAGCGGATTGGAATCCTCTTGGGGTCTCAAAAGACCACCAAGTCGACGTGGTGCGGCTTCACTGTCATCGGCAAACGGTCCACGAAGGCTAATAGCCGGTGGAGGATCAGCCGATTCACTAGTCGATAACTCATCAATGTTTTCCTCAGAATGAACAGATTTCGCTTGTGTCGCTTGCTCTGGCATGTCTCCGCTACCATGAAAGTCCAAAGAGCTGTGTAAGGGCGCATGTGATGGGGGCTTTGGATATTCGAAAGCGGATTTTGCATGGAGCGAATTGAATTGACCAACGGAACTGGATGGCTCCATGCGATTTGCCGCACCGGATTTGGCTCTGTAGGATTCCGAATGCCGCTGGATACTGGATCCAACCTTGTCATTTGCAACGATTGCATCATGCAACGGGGCTGTCTCGGCTTCAAGATCAATGCTGCTATTGGATGAGTCGAACACAATATCTCGATGACTGTTTTGGAAGTCCTTGCGATGGTTGCTTGCGACAAAGACGTCAGGCAAAAACTTCCGTCGATTATCAACGCTGGGGGTAGCTGTTACAGCACTGAATTGCTCTCGTATCTTGGACTTGGAAGGACTGATAACTTTTCCCTGGTCAATTGCTCGCTGATGATCCGATTCGTTCTGAAAGTGTTCTTCATCTTCGTCGTCCGATATCAAGGGTGCAGGGAACAAAAGTGGATTTGAATTATCCACCGGCCTCAAAAGACCACCAAGTCGAATTGGCATGGCGTCGCTATCACTGGCAAAAGGTCCACGCAGACTTATCGGCTGGGGGTCAAAAGACTCACTTGTCGACAGCTCTTCTGTGTCGAGATCGGAGTCCGTAGTTTCGCTATTATCCGTTTGGCTCTTCTTCCGTGCTGAAATGCCTTCCTGTTTCACTTTCTCCTCATTCTCTAAAATAGCTTCCATTTCGTGCAGTTGCTGTGCCCGACCGCTTTGAGTCAAAGTTCCCTTTCGCGTATATGGTTGCAAGGCTGATGTAACTCCACTGGATCTTTCCGCAAATCTAGCTGCTGTCCCGTCAATCACATGGTCGTCATCCGGGCTACGTTTCCGCATTGGTGGTGTCGGACTCTCCAGGGCAATTGGAGGTCTTGGAAAAGTATTAATTTGCGAGGTTGGATCCTCCTGAAGTCGTGCCATGAGCAATTGTGGGGCCCGTGGGTCCAGAACCATTGGTGTTGCTGGCGGTGTCGTCAAAATAGAACGCCCCGAAGTCTTGACATTGGTATCCATGGTAATCTCGGAAACCATAGACTGCGTAGAGTCTTTGCGATTCAAATAGTGAAGTTGCTCCTCCGAAAGCAAAAAGTTACTGCTGCTCCCAACAAGATCATCCGATGCCACCCTTCTATGTTGACTCTTCAGCAGAGTGTTGCCGTCGTCCAGCTCTCGTGGTAGAACATCCAATTCAACGCCGTCAGGAATAGGCGATACTGCTGGCTCGTAGCGAGATGAGATTGATAGACTGCGACTAATGTCATATTGAGACTCGGCGACTTGCTCTTGTTGTTCCATCTCCTCCCATTGTCGGTTACGTATTCGATAGGAGTGATCTTCCTGCTCATTCAAATTGTTTGGCAAGGGCCTCGAAGATTCCGAATCGGGTTCGGAAGAAGCACGTTGCTTCCGTTCTTTCATATGCTGTAACTCCTCGTGATCGAGAGATCGACTTGAAATTGTGGTATCCCCAAATGATCGCCATTCATTGGTGCTGCCGCTTGCATTGGAAGCCAATTGCCCGCTTACTACTCTATCATTTGGTGAGGTGGAAGAATAGTACGATGGATGATCTTCTAGGCTCAAGACCTCATGTAGGGTGGATTCGAGGACAGCGGAAACAGCACGCTGGGTCTTTTTTGATAGCTGACGCCAATCCGATGACGATTCGTCCAAACCTTCAGCATCCACTATGGATTGAAAGCCTCCTCCTCCCTTTTGCATTGTAATCTCGTTCAATATGCCGGAATCTTCGATAAGTTCTTTAAGTTTGGGTGGTTCTGGAGCCATGGTACCAAAACTAGACTGTCGCTTTGGCCTTCTGGCTGGTACATGTCGTATTTGAGATTGCGGATGCCTTATTATTGGATCCACTTGTTGTAGTTCGCCCAAAGGATTCTTGCTCCGCTTGGATGTCTCACTTGCTGCAGTATTGAGATCACTAATGAGAGATCCTGGGCGTAAGGAGATCTGAGACGGAATGAATGCGATTCCTTCAGGTGCAACTACTGGCACTTCAGATTCAACATTATTCACATTATTCTTCGATGCCAGCCTTGTACTTGTAGTAATACGTTCCATCACCTTTGATTTCTTTCGAAATGAAGAATACAAGTTATTCCCCAAGAGACGCCGGGCAGATTGGTTCGTCCTTTTATCTGCCAAATTCCCATCTGTCGCAGTAGTAGTATTCTTAAGGTCACCTTCCACAAACGCGAATTGACCTGAAGCAAGATGAGCCATTTGATGACTGGTAGTAGTTGTTGTAGTTGTTTTAGCATCAGTGGCATTGCCATTCAACATGCCCTCTTTGCGAAAAGCAATGTCATGATGTATGCTTGTCATGATACAAATAATGATGGAAGCATCGGCAGCGTTTTCAATTTCTATGATGCGGTTGACAGACTATTATTTTTGTCACACTGCCTGCCTATAATTACTTTCTGTAGAAGGTCACGAATATTTTTGCTTCTAGTAGTTCTCGTGTCAGCAGTGAACACACCAGGCTTGGGATTCGCACCGTTATATACTTGTGTCGATGATGAAGCTGATTCCTTACTGTTCAGTTTATTTCTATTGAGGATGTCACGTTGGGGGGTCACAGCAAAATTCGGAAAGCATTTCATCCGCAGCCGCGCGAACACTACATGTGTACGTAGTACACGTGTACGGCACAATATTGACCAATCTGACTGACCTCTGTCAATAATAACGCGGCAGCCGATCTTAAATTGTCTCAACAACAAACCACTATTTGGAAGCAAGATGGTGAATCAAGGCATGAAAGCGAACGCGATTCTTCGCAGTTGATATTATGGCTATGACAATGATAAAAGGCTTAGTTATTCGAGACTTGCGACAACCAGCCAGTGTTGGATTCGATGGATAATCGCTACGGCGGGCGTCCTCGCTCAGCGGCGGCAGGAGCAGTGGACTCAATATTTTGGGAACCACCAAGAAAAGGGCCAACGCGACGATAGCTTTTAACGCAAAGAGCCTACATGTGTATTCAACCGGTTTTCAGTAAGATTCGGAGTAGTCATAAACCTTTTTTGGGTTCCTTCTTGCTGATGCTGTGGCTGCTGGCCAAGAAGAAGGCAGAAGGCAATTATAGGAGTGTCTGTAGTTACCGCAGTATGATTATGGATGATGCTTTCAGATTCTTGTATCGCATATTCTACTCAACGAGAACACATACCGAGACAATTGCTTGATTCCAAAGTTGAAGAGACTAATACCTGCCTAGCTACTAACTAGCTACTCCTAGTATGGCAGTTGATTTCGATTTCTTCTTTTAGTGGCATGATTCTACGATCAGGGAAGACTGAACGGTAGTTGACAATATATATTACTCTAACTACAAGGCTGAAAAATCAGTGTCTACCATTGGATGTATCCATCACCTCGTGCAGTACTAGTCAATTTCGGTTTCCAATCTACTAGTACTATCCCATTCGCTCTTCTTGGAATTTAGAAGAAGTGATCATAGGTGGTGATCAACAGCGCTTCATCATCATAGAGGACTAAGGTTGGTCATCAAAACAAGGTGTCTAGCCGCATCGTTTGATACGACAAAGAGAAACTGCTACTGAAGGGCCGTGTGGAGCATTCACTAACGACCTCACTACCGGTGCCGGTACGAACCATTATAAAAGAACCGTTGTGGATCTGAGTCGCGACAAATTCCGATCTGAATTGCGACAATAAATTATTTTTGTGCCCGAAATATACGGAGCGCTCTTTAGGTACCGTAGGTGCTTTTTGCTTGTCGAACTCGGCCGGAGTTCTTTTTCTCTGTTGCTGGCACAGCACCACCGTAGCGTATAGGAACACGACACGTCAATCAACATTTCGACTCGTCGCGCATCCCAGTAAGGTTCTTTTGTATTCTTTACTGAACAGTATTTGTAGAAAGCAGGCTTTTAGGCTCGTCGAAGTTGTTCAGAACAAATATGCGAAGAAAGGATGGAGTTACTTGTCAGCGAGTGGATTCCAGTACCGGTACGGTACGATACGGTACGGTACAAGTGACTGAACATAAAAACTGGTAGTTAGTCGTCATGCCTGAACAGAATTTTTGGTCCCTTGTGATGAAGCTCGTCTCCCTAAATGTTGGATTTCAAGGCGAATTGTCGAAGCCAGGTTCTAACGCACCCTCCCCCCCCTCGTACTGCACAAAAGCAGTCTTTCTCACATTTACGATCCCACAAGTTGCGAAGTTGCGAACTGTGATTCATCTATCTGGCACGGTACAATACTGGCTGGACTTGACACACAAAACTAGAAATATACGAGCATGATGCTAAACATGGACTATTGGAATGACAGCATCAAGCTAAACAACCTCGGAGTTGAAAGTCTCCAACAAGGTCAGCTTGACAGAGCTGCCGAATGCTTTCGGAAAGCATCCGAGTTGAATGCAGAAGCTTCCTATGATTCCCCATTGGAAGGGTACGGTGTCTATTCCAGCCAATGGATCACTTTGGCGCACATGCCGCTGCACCAAATGGCAGTTGGATCCATCAGTGCGACTCCTCCTTGCGTCCTGGCTATTGGGGACAAAGTCCCTAAGGACAGCTGCGTTCATGATTCAGAACGGCAGTCAAACGTCTTTGTCACACGGCTAGACTGGATCATTGAATTCAACCTTGCTACGACGCTGCAGCTGTATAGTACCCATGCCGCATTAAGCGGCTGCTGCTCTTTGTTACTACGTGAGTCGTTCCAATTGTATGGCGAAGTGGCGCAAGATTTGTTGGAGTGGAACAACTACTCCGCTACCATGGACCTTGCCATGTTTCTGATGACGATCTACAGCCACCAAGCATCTATTTGTGCTCAGTGGGGAGAGCGCAAGCTAGCACTACTGTACCGACGAAGGCTCGATCGCATTCGACACTGCTGTGCTCACACCACCCAGGCGGAATCGCAACGTCAACAGATTACTCTTGCACTTTGCGAGAGCCAGTGTGCACCTTGTGCGTGACGGTAAAGAAGCTACTTGTCTACACTAGGTAAGCAAACGAATACAACAGGGATACTCACAATACGAACAATAAAACAAATAGAAAGATAGAAGTCGAAAACACAAACAAATATTCTGTAGGAATAGAGATTAGAAGAATACTAGCATACCAGTGCTCGAATAATCAAGTTACAAATCTTGATTCTACCACCTAGATGGAAAGAAATAGGGCGTAAAGTGGCTCATCCTGGCTCCTGTACTGTAATGGAACGCCATGCTCGATTACAGTTCCCCCATCACTTCTTTTTGAATTTTCCGTTAATTGTCCGCGTGACGGGAGAAGGCCAGACGGTTGAGGTGACGCCTAAAAGACCTTGTCTTGATTATCGGGACCTCCACCTCTCCCTTCCCCGCCGATTAATGATTGCACTTCGAACAAAGCGATGATCGCCATGTTCAATGTTTGATCGCAATCGAATTATGCACGACGTGTGAGCAGAAGACATTTCAGCGGGGAACGATGACCGGATCCTTTTTACTACATTCAAAATTCCCTATATATATAATGTACTCAGGTATATGTTATACATATATGCCGTTCCTTCCTTGAAATCCGAATTCGATAATTCGACGTCATAAAAGTATTTATGTTCATACGGTTCCAATTTTCATTCAATTAATGATTCAAATTTATGGTTCAACCGCTAAACGTTTCGGCTCTCTTTCGCAAAAACGCCGGAAACAGCTTTTTTTCGATTCGACACCGGCTCACAAAACACTTTTATCCCGATTGCAGTTAAACGGGATCAGAGACACGCACTTTTTCCATTGCACTTGCAAACATATAAAACATGAAAAGTGGAACACACACAAACAGGATGGAAACTACCAAAGACGATTGGAATGAAAGCATGCGTCTGAACAACCTTGGTGTTCAATATCTCCTTCAAGGAATCCTAAAGAAAGCTTGTCAGTGCTTTCGTGAAGCCGCCGAATACAATGAGAAAGCTTCCTATGAATCATCTATCGATGAGTTTGGAGTGTATGCCAACGAATGGGTCAGTTTATCACAAGCGATCAATATCATGCATGAAGAACCATTCCGGCCTAGCGTGTTGTCCATTGGCCACAAGATCCAAGAAGATACCTTTTTTTCAGATACAGACCGAAGGAAGTATGTCTTTACGAGTCGCTTGGATTGGATCATCGATTTCAACCTTGCCACTGCCCTGCAGCTCTGTGGAATCTTACTACATGATGGTAGCAGTCTTACGCAAGCTTACAAACTTTACGATGAAATGTCCACAGATGTAATTGAATGGAACGACTATTCTGTGTCTGTCGATATGGCCATGTTCTTGATGACGATATATCAAAATCAAAGAATCATTTGTAAACTGTACCAAAATGAGCAGTTGGCAGTCGTGCTCTTCTTGCGGATACGACACATTCAGCAGTCTTTCAATGGCATGATGGTGCGACCAGATTGCATTGTTATTGACTTGAATGGCGTTGGATCCTCATTGCAACAGCAAATATCGCTCTCAACACTGCTGTGCAAGGATGATCACTGCGCACCAGTTGCCTGAAGGTACCTTCTACACACTTATGAAGAAAGAGAAGAATGATTGAATGGTCGCGAGTGATGGTAATCTAACCCACCACCAGATGAAGTAATGGGGGAAATCGTCGTGGGTTATGACAAATGACAACACACGCAATGCGGAATCGAGCAATGGTCTGATCTGAAGTCTTCCCAGTGATGGCGATGCTTCAAAATACAAGCTCGCATTCTGGCGGGATGTCCCACTGGTGGCCTGCTCCTGAAAACGCTTTATTGAAGTCTGGAAGAAACAAGTTACGAATCACGTATAAATAAGCAGACGTAACTTGGAAAATAAACAGGCCCGTACTATCAAATTCTTGTGCGCTACTGAACTTGCATCAAAAGCCTTTCCCAAAACACTGTTTAGCAACATACCTACAGTACCAATATTGTTGGTCACTCCAGTCAACAGGACGTATTCTGTCCATTCCCGATTTCAGATGCTATGTCTGTCACTGATCCGTCGTACGTGCCGCTTTGATGATTGATCTGACACTTGCGACACATTTTCCATCAACTATTGACTCGATCGACTTGTCTGACTCCGAACTTGAAACTGCGCCACGTTTTCAGTTTTTGCTCGTCAATAACGGATGTCCGCTTGTGGCACAATTTACGTAGTTTGAGTACTATAATACCAGTGACGGACAGTATTTTATTTTATATATTGAAGATTCTTTTTGGTGGGGGGCGCGGAATGAATCTTCAGACCAAAATTCTTCAGACCAACGCACCTACCGCATCGATCGCTTGATTGATTGTGATTCTTCTTTATATTCATTATTCTTGTTGTGTCTAACAAACAGCAAAGATGCCAGTCTCCATCCAGAAGTTCATGACCAGGTCCCTTGAGACTGTTCAGGAATGGTACGCTTTGCCAACACCAGCAGCTAGTACTTCTTCTGCGTTGTCCGCTGGAACCACCGTAACCACCAGAACTTCTTGGGAAACTCAGTCTTCTGATTCCAACAAGAATCAACGTATCTCTGCGGCACACGATGATTCTCTGCAGGCTCCACCACGAAAGGGGTCGTGGGATAACTCTTTCATGCCAGCGCCGCTTGATAACAAGGAAGAACGAGATCTGGAGTCCATGATTCAGTGCACATCAACTTTCTTTTAAAAACGAATCATCCCAAGATTCGGAGAATTATCTCGCGAGGTATCCACATTTCATATATTGCTCTAGATTTTTATGATGATGATTATGGTCTGGGTACTTCAGGCAACAACGAGCCTTCCACTGAAAAGTTCGAATGTTTGTTCTTTCAATTCGAGAATCTGCACTCTTTTCCGAATCCGACCTTTTATATGTATTTATAAAATATATACACTGTATAATAATTTTAAACTTTTTAGTATCACTTTCAATTGAACGGTCTCGTTTCTCTTGGCTTATTAGTAGTAGAGTACACAATTGAGATCTCATCAGCAGTACAATTTAGACATGACTGGTGCATGATGATCACGACCACGACTCACGACTATATCACGAAAAGATAATAGGTATAAATAGATGTCATACGTAATACATGAACAGCTAAACTGTTTACAGCAAAAAGCAAAGCAGGACGAAGTCGAGTAAGGCGTAGACTCAAACATCTTTCCTTTGACTCTAACTGAATGACTCTTTCTACGGCACATTTCCCATCTTGATGCGTGCAAAAACAATCATATAAAATCCCAAAAAAAGAAGCGCAAGAGCAGCGACTGTTGCGCCGCAGCAGCAGTAGCAGCAGGCACAGAAACCGCAATCAAACATGGCTACAGTCCACCAAAAACAACCAAACTATCAACCTCACAGCAGGAAACGGACCAGCTGCAAAAGAATAGTAGCGTTGCCATCATGGTGGTGGAGTTTGAGAGTCACCTACCAAAAGCCGCCCTTCTTCTTTTCTTCCTTGTCTTTATGCTGAAAAATACTTGACATTTCCAAGTGGACTATCAATTCCTGATCCTTTTGGAAGTGATTCGTGTTGCCACGATTCTTGTCCAACATGTACAACAAAATACTCAAGGGCTGATTACCCAAGAATTTGTTGAGATCCAAGGAGCCAACGCCAGGAATGCCCACAATCTTCCAGTCGATCCAATCGACATTGGCATTCCACAGGGCAAAGGTGTAGGTGTCTTCGGTGTTGAAATCAATCTTGACCTTTCCAGACTTTCGTGCCTTGTAGTGATCGAGATCTTCTTCGATGTCTCCTCCCAGTGCTGGAGGTTCTTCACCGGGCTTGGTGATGACGACGCGATCAAGGCCAATTTCGATAAAGTTGGCCAAGTGCGGTTTCTCAAAGGATCCGTCTTCCTTCTTTTCCGTTCCAGTGGTGGAATAGTGAACGGTAGGTCTGGTTCGTTTCAAAAAGGCCAAAATGGCAGCCAGAAAGGTACGTTGGATGATTCCCAGCTTAACTGGTTCATTCCACTGAATGGCATAAAAGAGTTCCTTGTCTTCTGGTTTCTTCTTGAGCTTGACTTGATATTGAAATTCAAAACGTCGTTGCTTGGGTCTAAAGTAATCAGCAACCTTTTGATTCCATTCCGTTCCTTTTGGAGATGTGTCGTCATCAACATTGGGCGTTCGCAACATGACGACCATGTCCATATCGAACCATTCATTGCTAATTCGGACCGGTGAACAGTTGGCTGGAATGTCATTGTTAGCATCTACATCCTTAATGTAAAGTGAAACCAGGGATGGATGAGATAGCTCCCGCTCCTTTTCAACACCGGCGGCAGAGTCATCAGGCTTGTTAACGACAATGTTAATGCCACCGCCGTCACTTCGGCAGGCTTCAATTTCCTTAGAATCAAATTCTTCTTCTTCTGTTGCGGCTTTGGAGGCTTCAGGTGGAGGATTCTCCGACTTGTTTGTCTTTTTCTTGAAGATTCCCATGCTGGATTATGTCTGATAGAGTGTGTATATGTATATGTATATGTTGAGAGAGAGACTTCTTTCTTTTCAAACTTTCTGGCAAATAAAGCGAAAGTGATGAAACACTGATGAATGCAAGGCAACAACGATAAGATTTCCTGATTCGAGACAATGGGTGTGTGATATGTCGGTGTGCTTTTCTTGCTTCAGCACTCTTTTGCGGTGGATATTATACAGTATATTAGTCCAACAGAGGTATAGCTAAAGGGAAACTCACAGACAAGTGTACACACAGGCAGAGGTTACTACTACTACCAGTACCTGGTACTGGTCACAAGAAAAACAGTTGGTCAGAAACTCCAGGTCCGCTGGCATTCTACAGTATATTTTCGTATCAGCGCGCGGTCGGGTAAATTTGTTTGGGGGAGTAGTCATGAATCAATCCCTCAAACTCACAAAAATAGTTGAAATAATCATCTCAACGGTTGTGCGATATATTTGGGGATATATGGTTGGCAGTTCACTTTTGATACCGCCGCTATACGACCTACAGTAATGTACTGCCTTTATGTAGGATCGTAATCTGCAGTTCCTATTAGTGCCCTGTGGTCATTAGTACAAGCTGCAATATAACATTGATTGACTATTTTACATTTGGTAGGGGAGTAAAGTCTACTTTTTGGACTTCTTGATCTTATCCCTCTTCTTCTTGTCCAGCAATCGAACAAAATCTGGATTCTCTTTGAATTCCAAGTTTACCACATGTTGAATATCCTTTTGATAATGCTTGTTCTTCTCTTTACGATTCTTATCCACGAGATACAGTTGCATAAAGATACTTTGATCCCCGAGAACCTTATTCAGTGAAAAATGTTTGACTCCCGGTATGTGGACGACTTCCCATTCGATCCAATCAATATAATGACTCCAAATCGCCATGGTATATGTGTCGTTGGTATTCCAATCGACCTGATATTTGCCCTGTCGTCTTGCTTTTGTGCGCTCGGGATCTTCCGGTATCCCTTCGCCAAGCACTGGAGGTGTCTCTCCTGGCTTGGTTATGGCCAGTCGATCCAAGACTTTGTCTACTTCAAAGGCCATGTGGGGAGTTTCGTAGGTTCCATTTGTCTTGTCATTGTCGCTGATGCCACTGGATGACATATTAAAATGAAAGGATGGACTCATCTTCTTCATGAACATCATGCAGGTGGTCACCAAGGCTTTTTGTAGAAAGTTCAGTTTGGGCAATTCTGCTAGTTCCATGCAAAAACAAAAACTTTTGTCGTCTGGTTTCTTCTTTAGCTTGCCTTGATATTGGAATTCAAATCTTCGTTGTTTTCCCTTGAAATGTTTGGAGAGCATTTGATTTCGAGGAGTGACTTTGTCCACGGTGCCGGATTCGTCGTAATCGTTGTCGTCATCATCATCCACATCCACATCGGGGGTTCTCAACATGATGAGCATCTCCATGTCCAACCACTCATTGTCAATGCGAACGACTTCTCCGTTGGGATGGATCCGACGACGATCATTATCCACATCCATCAACAATAGAGCATCCAAGGATGGATGGGCATGCTGTTGTTCTCCAGCAGCATGGTAATTATCTTCTTCTTCTTCTTCTTCCGTACGGGAATCAGCATAGTCCAGCATCACATCATCATCGGTAATGTCGCTTTCGGACTTTTTCACGGGACTTTCTTCCAAAGTTTCTTCCGTTACAGTGCGGGTAAAGACATTTGGTTTGGTGGGCATAAATGGTGCATCGTCTTTTTCACCCATTTCCTTAGCTTTGCTCCACTTATTGTCGAAGATTTCAGCAACAAGACGTGGTGGCTTCGTTTGTGTTTCAGACATGGCAGCGGTGCTGTTGACCATGTTGATTGTGCTGTTGTCCATGCGGATTTCTCACAAGTAATCAAAGGAGGAGGGAATACGTGTCTGGTATATTGATTGACAGCTTGTTCTAACAAAAGAAAGAAACCGTTGTGGCTCTCAGCTTGTGCTTTGTTGCTTCTTCTTTGTTGAGGACGTGATTACTTCTTGCGATGGCAAGGTGACCTGGATTTACTTGTTCACCTAATATCGGTATGCGATACCAAAGGTTTCTTCTTTGATGCTTATACACTTCTACAATAAACTTTCGTGCAGATGGCAGCAAGTGAGTCAGTCATCAAATATGAATGATGATGAATCTTCCTCTTCGTTGTTCGAATTTGAAGAAAAGGTGGTGTGAAAAGAATGTACCAAATTATGACGCACTCTCCTCACAGGCAGGCTTGTCGTTCGTTTATCGCACTATTTAGGAAAGGTGGCGTCAGATTTCCTTTCATGTACATTCACTACTGGTATGCATGCGATTTTATGCGCTGGCCGAAAATAGCAAATAAACGAAATGTCAACGGAAATTTGGAGACAATTTTGGTGCGGAAATTGGGGAAGTAAGAGAAAATGGGATCTGATGCTATTATTCAGCCGGCGACTGAAACTTTTGTTTTCAATTGTCATCTGTACGAACACTGTTCCATCATCATCAATAAGAGACGCGATAGCAACAAGCAGCAGACAGTGAGGCTAAACCAACAACACCACAATAAGCACAAGAGATTCAATGGAAATATACATGAGCGTCTGATTGAAAGTCTAGTATACTCCTCATTCGGTGCTATACCTACATTGTTGAATTATAATTTCGGGCAATCATGTTTCGAAATTTGTTGAATCAAGGCGCGGGTAGGAGAGGGCTTTTTGGTGGTAAAGATGAGTCGAACGGAGACAAACCACCTTCGCTCCCAGAGCACTTGCAAATGACGATCGATATTGCTTCCAGTATGCAATCGGTTGTGTCGATGCTGGTGGCAGAAGAGGAACCTGCCTCCAAAATTCAAGAAGAAATGGAACCTCTGCACAAAGAGCTGGTCAATTTGCTGAAAGCTTGTATCGAAGTCAACAAAGAAAATGATAAGCGACAAGCGAAAGAAATGGATTCTTCCAAATTCGTCATGGATCAAGTCCAATCTCAACTCATTTCCACAAAGAAAGAGTTGACCGAAACCCAAATGACCCTTCAGAAAACCAAAGGGGAACTCCAAGAAACCAAAGACGAGCTTCAACAAACCAAAAAGGAATTGAAAGAAGCTCAAGAGTCATCAGAGGCAGTTCCAGAAAACATCGCCCTTGGACAACAGCAGCCATCACTGCAATCAGCCACCGACTCGGCAGATGTCCAATTGATGCAATCTCAGGTAGAATCTCTGAATCACAAGTTGGAACATCGCCAGAGTCGAATTGACAACTTGCAGCACATTCTTAGCATGAAAGATCGAGAACACGAAACCGAATTGAATAGACAAAAGGCCAAGGCCATGCTAGGCGGCACGTCCGGATCTGACAATGAAGATATTGAGAATTTGCAAGCCGAGTTGGAAGAAACCAGAGAAGAGTTGGAGCAAGTCCGAGATGAACTGGAACAACAAACTGAGGTCATGATTGAAGCGGAAGACAAATTGAAGGAAGCTGACCAAGCTCTTGAAAACAAAGCGCAGATGGAGGACCGGATAGATCACTTGTCGGAACTCTTGCACCAGAAGAGTCAAGAGGTGAACGAGATTGAGAACGAATTGGAACAAATGCACGTCATGATGGAGCAAACTAAGAATATCATCAATGAACAGGCCGAAGAACTAGAAGAGAAGAACTTCCAACTGAATGCCATGAGTGGCTCGCAGGTCGCCAAGCCAGCAGTCGATGAAGGGGCTGTTTCTACCCTGAAGGAAGAACTTGAAAAGACTATGGATCAACTCAGAGATCGAGAAGATGATATCAAGAGACTGAAGGATGATTTGCAAAATACCAAGGAAATTATGGATATCCAAGCACAAGTCTTGCAAGAACACAAGAACAATCCTCCTCCGCCACCGCCGCCCCCTGCACAATCGTTTGATAGCGAAGAGGAAGATGTTTTGGGAAAGATTTCGATTGAAGAACACATGGAAACTATCCAAGACTTTCAGAAGCAACTGGAAGATGCACGTGAAAAAATTGCGGAGCAATCGCGTCAAATCAACGAACAGCATCAACAAATTAACGTAGCGGCGCCATGGCGGGAGGATGATGAACCAAGTCGAGATGACATGAAGCAGGAACTTGATATTGCTACAAAACGAAACCAACGACTCGAAGAGCAAATTGAAGAGATTGAAGATCATTTGGAAGAAACAATGAGAGAATTCGAGCAACAAGCCGCACTCATTCAATCCAAGGATGAGCAAATTCGATCACTTGAAGAAAAGGCCGAAGTCGGAGTGGGACAAAGTCGGGATGATGTGAGATCCACAAACTCCTCTCTGGCAAATGAAGTGGAGGACAAGGAACGCATCATCGAATCTTTGGAAATGCAACTATTGGAAGCCGACGAGGCCATTCAGGAATTGCAAAAGGAACATTTGGTCCAGCGCAAGTCGATTGCCATCACCAATGACTCAAAACGGGAAGAGCGGGAAGCTTTTATAGAGTCTTTAGAGATGCAACTGGAAGATGCCGATACCGCTATTCGCAAACTGGAAACTCGGGTTCGTGAGAAAGACAAGGAAATTAAACGATTAGAGGCAGATATAGAAGAAACACGACAATTGCTGGAGGAAGCGCAGCAAGCGAACGAAGGGAGCCATTCCAGAGGAATGGATCCAATCGAACTAGAGGAGAAGGATGCAGAAATCGAAAGACTCCAAAAGAAGCTGAAGGATGTGAAAGCAAACGCGAGTCGTTCGAAAGCATTGGATCAGGAGCTCGAGGAAAAGGACAAGGAAATCGCTAGGCTTGAAACTAAACTCAAGGATGCACAGGTCAACGGAAGTCGTTCAAGAGGGCTGGACCAAGAACTCGGGGAAAAGGACGAAGAAATTGCAAGACTTGAAAAGAAGCTCAAGGATGTCCAACAGAAAGCAAACCGTTCTGGAGAATTGGATCAAGAACTCGAGGAAAAGGAAGAAGAAATCGCTGCACTTCAAAAGAAGCTCAAGGAAGTCCAACAAAAAGTAAGAAATTCGAAAGAACTGGAACAAGAACTCGAGGATAAGGGTAAAGAAATCGCCAGACTTGAAAAAAAGCTGAAAGATGTGCAAGCAAAGGCAAGCCGTTCCAAAGATTTGGATCAAGCACTCGAGGATAAGGATCAAGAAATTGCTAGACTTGAAAAAAAGCTAAAGGGTGTCCAAGATAAGACGAGCCGTTCCAAAGGATTGGATCAAGAACTCGAGGAAAAGGATTCAGAAATCGCTAGACTTGAAAAGAAGCTAAAGGATGTCCAAGAAAGGGCAATGTCCGAAGAAGAGTTTGCTGAAGTGCAAAAGGCGCTTCTTCACGCAAACAAATCGATGAAGAAAGGACAGAAGCAAATCACTAAGTTGACTGAGCAATTGGAAGGGACGGAAGCAGCAATGAAACGAGAGCTTGCTAAAGCACAAGGTTTGATAGATGAAAAGGACGCAGCGATAAGTTCTTTGGAGCTCAAGTTGGAAGAAGCCGAAGTAAGGCTTGTCACATCACAAGAAGAGCTACAAACTCAAGCAGAAGAACTAGAAAAGGTAAAAAAAGCTATGCAAGGAATGCAGCACGAAACTCGAGGCGGCTCCGACGAGTCTGAAACCACGATTAATTCGCCAAAAGGAGGAGAAAGAGCAGAGAAGCGGGTATCGGCGTTTGGGGCAAATACTGAAGCGATGACATATCATGAATTGAAGGACCGATTGGAAGTTTTGGAGCAAGAGAAGATTGAGCTTGCTGCAGAGAAAAAAAGGAAGGCGGTTGCAATGATCTCTTTGCAAAAGCAGCTGGACATCGCCAAGGAGGAAGCCCAAAAGCTGGTCCCATTTCGTAACGAGCTGAAGGATGCACTAAAGAAAGTATCAAGTTCTGATGGCATTGAGGCAGTAAAGTCTTTACAAGCCAGCTTCGACCGAAAGGAAATGGAGTCGAACGCGAATTCTGACAAATTGCAAGAAAAGTCTATTCAGTCTTTGGAAAAAGAAATTGGGCTTCATGAAAAGGATGCAATGATCGCATCCCTTGAAAAAGAGCTTCAAGAATTGACGGCGTCAGATAAACAAACAAAGCAAGGAAGTGACAAGAGCGAAAGCACTGTTAAGGAACTCGAAGATGATCTCAAGACACGAAATCAAACCATCAGTACGCTTCAAGGCAAACTCAAGGAGCTCGAAACAGAGTCAGAAATCAGAAGTTCTTTGGAAAAGAAGCTTCCACCCGGAGACACACGCGCTATGGGAGAGGAGCTAATTCGGGCTCAAAAAACAATATCGAATCTTCAGCAAGAAATCGGAGACTTGGAAGGAAATATGAAACAGGCTCTTTCCGCATTGATCAAAGATAAAGACAGCGAAATTAAAAGGCTACGCAGCGAATTCGAAAATGCAGCGAAGGTTGTTGTGGAAAAGGAAGCAGAGATTGCTCGCCTGAAGGAGCAGCTCGAGGAGAATGAGAGGACGATGCAAGTTGTAATCCGGAGTCGAAAAGACCAAGCCAACGAATCGGAAAAAATGAAGGGTCGCGTCAGTGGATTGGAATGCGAGCTCCTGCAAGCCAAGTGCGATGAGGAGACGAAGATAGAAGAATTGAATAATACTATTCAGATGCTGAATCAACAATTGGAGGCGTCAGAAGAGTCGATTAGAGCTCTACAGCGGAAGGGACAGCAGACAAAACGGAAGTCACTGCAGGCTAAAGATGACACGCAAGCCGAGATCGAGAACCTAAAGGCAAAGATCAAGACTTTAGAAGCAGAAGTGAATAAGAAAAATCAAGATAAGATACGGATCACGGAATTGGAGTCGCAACTGGAGCGAGAAGTGGAGCAATCAATAGAAGCTGGACGCAAGAAGCAATCTGAAATTGATGTCCTTACGGCGGATCTACAAAATGCTAATACGAGGATCGAAGATTTGGGAGAGTTGATACGTTCGGAACGGGAAAAACGGGAGCGAAAAGTTAGCAAAGATGAACACCGAATCATTGACCTAGCAGATCGATTGGAGCAGGAAATTGATCACTCTGAATCTCTGAAAAAGCAGTTGGACACCTACAAACATTCTCTCAAGGCAAAGCGCAAAATCATTGATTCGCAAGCTCACGAGCTCCGTGATTGCCAAGACAAATTGGATATGCACGATTCGATCACGCGGAAGGCCAAGCGAAAGATGAAGCAATTGGAGAACGAGATTTGGAATCTTGAAGGTGAACTAGAGAGCATCAACATGTATCTCCGAGGTCAACAACAACAGCGAGGAGGGTTTGGTGGTAGTGGCGGACGGGGTGGGCGTGGTGATCCAAGGGGAATGCAGGATCCTTATGTTGACGACGTCCCAGTAACTCAATACTTGGATCAATTCTCCAAGAAAGTTCTGTCAGCACGGCGTCAACTGGAAGCCGCGCAAGATAAGATGCACCGAGGTAGATAGCACGTGAAAGGGGATGTCACAGCAACTGTGTTCGGAATTTGCATGTAGAAACCATCGTACAAAATGTAGCCAATAGATACTATTTTGTGATTATTGTATTCTTTTGCACCCCCCTGGTATCTCTCTTGAGACTGACGACAATATCTCGAATCATCTCATTCCTTATCCGGAATGCGGAATCCGGAATTAGAAACGTGGATATATTGTGACACATATGTACGTGTACTGTGCTGTAGCGTGATGGATTTTTTATTTGCGATGACAATATTCGAATACATACCGCGTTAGGAGAGTAGTTATTGCGATGATGAAGTGGCATAGCATTTTATATATCAGCTAGTTTCATACTTCACAGTCCGGTTCATCAGCAAATACAGTAGCAAATCCATCAGATGGAATATCACAAGTGCATAATCCTCGCCTTGCTACTGTGGAGTTTTCAAGCCTTCATCACAATAAGCAGTGGTGCCAGTAGTGCTGATCCTCCCGTCAGTTACAACGGAACAACCAATGTTACTCAGATGGTGATCCCTGCTGAGTTCTACCAGGATACGGAACACAGCCTTTTCGTTGCCATTTAAAAATACTCCAAATTTCCCTTTATGCTTGTCAAGAAGTACAATTTGGGTTCTTTTTCCGATGAAACTGTGGGACTCTTTGTTGTGACTTCACTACAAACCATCATGTAGCGATTTGACACCGGGATTACAACCGTAGAACAACAGGAAAACTTGCACGGCGATGCTGGCTTGCCATAAGTGATGCTTCCTGGTCAATATCCCATCCTTAAAAGTGAGGGAGAGTTTTATGTTCTTTGTGTAGTGATCGGTTCCCATATATCACAAGAAGGGTCTCAAAAGCATATAACTCATTGGTAGTTATTGGAATGCATATTACAACAGCGACATTCGCCCATTTTTTACTTAACGACACCAAGTTCGCCAAAACCACCACCAAAGAAACGTTAAACTTTTAACTGTTCCTGGAACACAATGATTTTTATAGCTTCGTCACTGTACTACTATAGTCTTCATACTCGACAACCAGAGATACTAGTATAGTCCTTTTTGGATACTACTGTAGTGCTGTTTTCGATACCAGAATTCTTCCGGTTTTACCGTGTTGGGAAGACTTCCAGGCTTTGGTAGTCTCCGTTCCACCATCGTATACCCTGACAGTAGTATGATGGCCTATTTTACCACGGCGGGTGGAACCTTGTGGTCCATTGACGGTAACACTCAAGAGATCAAAGAGGTGAAGGTCTTTGCAGAAGATCCAATCCGTTGGGTGGGAGAACAAATAAGCTATCTAGACAGTTTCTGTCGATTGAAAGACTCGATCTACTTTGTTGCCAACCGCACAGAACTATGGAAATCAGATGGAACGTCGGAAGGAACCACCATCGTGGAAACGTTGAACGATACCATCATTGGCGTGTCAGCGGTAAATGATCATTATCTACTCTTGGCTGTGGGTTCCAACCAGATGCGTGCCTCGGATGGATCCAGTGCATCGACAATACTCACGATGGAGGCAGAGGCTCCCATTCTTCGTGGATGGAAGCAGGATCTTGTTCCAGGTAGTCAAAAGGCGTTGTTCTTGGCTTTGGGCAACTGAAGGGACTCCCGATACGACATTGCAGATTACTAGTCGCAGAGGGCTACTGTATGAGCATGTTCAACTTGAGGATAGCGTGGCCATGCTGCCGATGACTGGTGGTTACTTGTTTCTAACGAATGGAACCGAGGCCGGAACAAGACCGCTTAACGTAACGAGTGTTTCAAGCGATGTCATAGAAAATGGAATCTTGCAATACCGAAATGATGACGACTTTGGGACAGTGTCAACTTTTCAATCTCTAGCTGGCTTGATATCAACTGCATCAAGTGTCACTGGGCGACATGGGTTTCTCTCCACCCAAGGCGACCGCACGAATATTTCCATTTGGACGACGGATGGTGGTGAGAATACTAATCTTGTGGAGGCCAGATCCCCTTCCCAACAGGCTTGGCTCGTCTGAGCGAGGAAATAGGAAGCGTCCTCTTTCGGAATGAAAACAAACTATGGGTCTTTGATTGGGAACCAGAAGGAATGCGACTACTGGTCCAATTTAACGAGTCTTATGCAGTAAGAAGCCGAATATTCTTTACTTTTGAAACCGGCACAGTCGTCATGTCACTTCAAAAGACTGAAGACGACCCAATAGAGTTTTGGAGGATCCAGATAGCAATGCCAACAGACGAAGAAGGGCCAGAGCCCACAAACGAGGAAAATCCATTGCCGACAAAAGAAGCCTCTGGTGCAATGACGGCACGTAGCATCTGTGCTGCAGCAATTCTTTTGGTAGAATTCTTTCTATTATAAAATATAAACCGACTATAAAAGCACAGAATACGTTATTTTTATTATTTTCAATGGTGCCTTTGAAAAGAGAATCGATATCTTTACATCTTACAGGTACAGTGGCAGACGGAAACTCTCGGTCATCAACACGATTTGAGGGCGGTGGTTGTTCTACCCCATTGTCTGATGCAAATGATTGTCTTATATGGCTTTACAATCATATGGCAAGAAGTCGTGGCAAAATACCTGACAACCGACAGAGCGGCTGATGCAGCGCGCATTTTTCAAAGTGCCGTTGATTTCGGAGTCGCATGGTCCTCCGTTCCATTCAAGGAAAAAGTCATATCTTCTTCGGACACAAAGGTAAAAGGATTTCTAGAGGGGCTATGTTTCTGCACCGATGGAAGCAATATATGAGATCAGATAAACCTTTTCTAAAAAATATTATGGTGCTTCGCTTTGAAATCCAAATCCTTTCTATTGGCGAACATATTGGTGCACCGCAATGCATGTTCTATTTTCCAGTCGGTGTACCAGTAGTAGTTTATATATACCTTCAATTAACTGCTATTTTAAAATATCCAGTGAGTTATTCGGATACGCCCACTAGGCCGCAGAGAGTTCAATAAGAAGTGGATCTAAAAATGATAGAAACGAAACCCGAGTGAGCAATTATTGTCGTGTCACCCCAGGAAAAGCTTTTTTCTCATCCCATCATGAGAAGGTCGTGGGTTTTCAATCAAACATAATTTCAAAAATTAGAATTAATAAAAAACGGTGTGGTATTAATATATCCCATTTAATAAAAAAAAATTAGCGGTCATGCGAAAATATTCGACATCGAAATAGCGGAAAACTATGAGACAGGCGCCGATATAATATACCGGTATACAACAGGAGCATCTTCTTGTGAATCATTTTGAGGATGGAATTTTCACGGGATCAATCGATTACCATGCTATGGAATGGGAATATCTGTTATGTTTCATGGGAGCAATCAATCGCCTCAAAAAAAGGCGGGTTTTACAGCGGCACAAATTTCAAAGATTGACGACACAATTTCCAAATACTTTTCAGGTTGATAATGAGTTTCGCAACTATCGTCAATCAAAGCAACATGGTTGTAGCTCTCCTCAAAGTTCAAGACTTCCCACGTGCCATTCAAGCATCCTCCCGTACCCTAGAATCCCACTATTCACGCAATATAGTTGCCAAAAATACAATCGGAAGTCTAGATGAGTGTATGCTTCTTTCGGAAGTGCAAGAAGAAACAATGGGAATCACTGATACAACATTCATCTACAAGAACGGCATTCTACTGCATCCTAAAGTGACAGAACCGAACATTATCACTACTATTCTTATCTTCAACACTGCGCTAGCCCATCACCTGTGTGCAGCAACAGCAAATGCTGCTAAAGGCAAAACGATTGTACGAGCTAGCCTACAGCGTACATGATATGGATCACGATCCGTTGTTTCAGTTTGCTGTGATCAACAACATTGCCATGATTGAGCAAATGCTTGGAAACACGGCCGTGTCCGATGATTGCATGGACTACTTGGTATCACTATTCATGCTTTTGTTGGACCAAGGATTCCATACACACTTCCACCATGTCCGAGGCTTTGTGGCCAATCTTCCATCGAATTCTAATTTCGCAGTTGCAGCATAGATCACCACTGTCATTTCAGCACATCAATTGAGATGCATACAATGCAAATTTGAATTTATATACATCATTTTGTAGACTTTCTTGGACAATGGTGTCTACTAGCTGTCATAACAACCAATGATCGTGCCCAAGATTTCTACCACTTATACTATGGTAGCAATCCAAAGTTAACTTTCTGATTAGATCCTTGGTGGCATGATAAATCCGACTGCATGTCGAGTCGGAACAAGCGGCTGAAGCTTATTGGCGTATCGGATGTGTCTAGTTATCCCCAAGTCGAACATTCATAGTTTTTGCACGGGGTCGCCATTTCTGATTTCATTTGTGATTGCAACAGGCAAGAGCATTCTTTATCATTATTTCTATTTCCATATTCATTTTGAATCCACCAGCTTTCAATTATGCAGAATGCACAGCTTCAGGATTCTTCTTTGCCTCAAATGTTGGTGCCCGGTGCCGGCTTACTGCATTATCAAGTCGATCGTGCGCAGTCTCCAGCTGGCTTCGAGCATCCCGAACTTTCTTTGTCAATCCATCCAAGTATAGATTGAAGTCTTGATTTTCAATTCCAGAAGAGCGGGAGTTTCGCTTGGCCATTTTCTCTTTAGCATCTCTCTCTCTAGCGTCTTTCTCTTTGGTTTTGCGTCTTTGAACCTCTTCTCTAGCCACTTGTGATTCAATCTCGGCCAAATATGTTTTCGTTTCGTCCATTTCTTTCTCTAGCTCTACCCAATCGGCAAGTTGGTCGTCCAATTCCTCTTCAAGTTTGGAAATCTTCTTCTTAGATCTCTTGTTCATGGATTGTTCCTTTCGAAGCCGGCGCTGGAGATCATAAATTTCTTCTTCCAGCTGTTTGCGTATCGCCTCTTGGACAGAACTGCTCATATCTGATTTCTTGTGGTTTCCTGATTCTCGTTTCTTCCTAACCACATGTTCCAATGATTTGATATGCTCTTCTTTGTCTGCCAATTCCTGTCTCATGGAGTCAATAACGCCAGCCTTGGAGTCCATGGAAGCTTTTAAAGTTTCTAGTTGCTGTTGTAATTCCAATGAGCTCTGCCCATCGGGCAGTTTGCTTTCAAGCTTTGTGATTCTTTTCTTCGCTTTCCTGTGGGCTGCCTTCTCTTTCTTCAACGCTTCATCAACCTCTTCCAATTCTGAATTCAATTTCGCTACTTCCAAAATCTCCTCAAGGTCGCCTTTGGAGACAACAGCCGTTCTCATTTCGACTTCTTCCTTCAATGAGTCAATTTGCGACGCCTGGTTCTCGATCGTCAGTCGGTTTTTCTCAAGCGATTGTTTCAGATGATCGACTTGCTCTTGCAGAAGGTTCGATAGCTCGATTTGTTTCCCCATCAGAGCCAATTCTTCTTCTTTATTCTCCAAGTCGTTTTCCATGCTCAAAAGTTCGAGTTTCGTTTTCTCGTTCGATGTCATCTCTAGTTTCAAACTTTTTCTTGCTTCGCGAAGGTCCTCCTTTGTAATTTCAAGATCGGCCTGTAGGGCTGCTTGATCCCCAGCATTCGCTGTAGGTGCTGTGCGTTGACGTTCGGATTCAACCTTTTGTTCTGCAATCTCTCGTTGCAAAGATCGTATCATTGCTTCATTTTCCTGCAATTCTTCCCGCGTAGCTTCAACTGTGGTGGCCTTTTCAGCCAAAGCATTCTGAAGCGATTGCAGCTCAGTTTGCAGATCATTTGCGCGATCACTTTCTTTTTTCAACTTGCCCTTCAGCTCAGCTATCTCTTCTCCGGTATTGGATGGTACTTTTCGGGCTTGTTTTGCAGCTTCCTCTTTCAGCCTTTCGATCTCTTGGTCCTTCTCATTCCATTTCTTGTCACGATCTTTCACAGTATATCTTAAGTCTTGCTCCAAATCCTCGATTTGATGCTGCAGCTTGGTGATTTGATCATCCTTATTGACTGAAGACGATGGAGTTTCTTCTTCTTTGGCACTTTGTACTTGTTTCATAATTTGTTCTTGTAGCTCGGAAACAGTATTTTCCAACGCTTGAATTGATGCATCGGATTCTTCTTTCCTTTTTTCAAGTGCCTCTTGCAAGTTCTTAATCTTAGTCTCTTTTCCGTCTGATTCGCATGCAGCATTTTCTTTTCCTTGTCCATTTTTCGCCTCTGAAAGCTCTACTTTCAGCTTTTCAATCTCAGCATCCTTTTCGTTCCATTTCCTATCACGATCCTTGGCTGTGTACCGCAAATCTGATTCTAACCTTTCCACGTCTTCTTGAAGCGCCTTGATCTCAGCATCCTTCTTGTCATTAGAATCAAGTGCTTGCGGCATGTCACCTCCTTCAGCTTTCGAATTATTCAACTCAGTTTCAAGCGCCGTGATCCTTCCTCTCGCAAAAACTAGTTCCTCTTCTACTTCTTCTAGTTGATCTTGCATCTGTTTTGTTAGCCGTTCCATTTTCTCTTCAGGGGTTGCCTCGGAAACAATTGTCGCACCGGCCTTCTCAACTTGGCCTGTTGCTTTTGACTTCTCAAACCCTTTGACTTTACCCTCTAACTCTTCGATTGTAGTCTTGGCTTTTTCAAGTGACTCTACTGCTTTGCTCTTTTCGGACTCCTCCTTTTTCGATTTTCGCTGCAAATCACGAATTCTGGAGCGTGCCTCTGTCAAATCGGCCTTGCAATCTTTTTCTTGCTTGTCTAGGTGTTCGTCAGAAGGAAGCTCCTTCTTCAGCTCTTCAATTCTTGCATTTGCCTCTTCCAATTCTTCCTGCGTCTTTTCCAACTTCGCTTGCATATTCTGCAGCTTGCCATCGGACTCGTCCAGCTGCCCCTCTAGCTTTTCAACGAGCTCTTCATTTCGAGTTTGACGCTGCTCAGATATTTCAAGCTTTTGACGAAGCATCTTTATCGTTTTCTCGCCACTACCCCCGGCGGCGTTTTCCTTGTCCGATTCGTCAGATGGAGTTGCACTTGATAGTGGCTTTTCCGACGTTGCTTTTGGAGCCGTTTGCTTTGCATCTCGGAGCTGACGCTCAAGGCTTTGAATCTCTGAGCTCTGTTCCTTGTTTGTTTTTCGTGCCTCCCGTATCTGATCTCGCAAAGAGTCAATCAGTTCATCTTTGGACTTCAGATTTTCAATCAACTCATCATGAATGTCTCGGACTTCATCATTGTCGTTCGAGTCTTCCTTTGTTGAGGTCCCCTTTTTGTCCTTTTGCAGCATGGCAATGACCTTGTCCTTTTCCTGAATATTCTCCTTGTATGTCTTCAGCTGTTCTTTCAGAGATTCGTTCAATGCATCTTTGGCTTTAAGCCGGTCAAAGTGTTCCTTCTCAGCACGCTCGATTTGGGCCTGTTGTCGGCGACACAGAGATTCCAACTCTTCTCCTACTGCAACTAGCTTTCGATCCTTCGTCTTCAAGTTGGAGGTTCGATCATTGGCCTTATCCAGAGCTTCGCGCAAAGCTTCAATTTCCTTGACTTCACCGTCCAGACCGGGGCCTTCCTTTGGTTTCTCCAATTCTCTAGTCATGAGCTCCAATTTGCGTTGTTGATTCCTCGCCAAGGCTTCCAACTCTTCATGGACTGCAATGAATTTGCGTTGTTTCTCTTTGAGATTAAGATAGCGTTCATTGGCCTCGTCCAAAGCTTCTTCCAGGGAATCAATACCAAGATTCTTCTCCTCCATTACCTTTAATATCTGATCCTTCAAAAAGTCATCGACTCCTTCTTTATTCAAGGCATCTTCCAGCGATATAACCACAGCCGATTTCGTACGTGTGAGACCACGAATGGGTTTCGCTTTTTGCGAGGAAGCTGACGGTGGCGAGATAGATAGTGACGTCTCTTGTTCTATTACTTCTTTCGTCGCTTTGGTAGGCGTTTTCGGTGACACTTTTGGTGATTTCGATGCTTTGGATGACTTGGGTGCCTTGGGTGACTTGGGTTGTTCGTCGAAAGTGGTTTTCTTGGGTTTGGCCTTTGTTGGAGATTCCTCGAACCACATTTTCTCACCGGATGCTGAAGACTCAGAGGGGGACTCGGACATTGGAGGTAGTGGTTGAGAAAACGAAAGCTTGGTATCGGCCTTTGGGGATTTCATCGGAGACTTCATTGCTGATTGCTTCGGAGACTTCATTGGACTCTTCTTCGGTGATTTCATCGGAGTCTTCTTGGTCAGCTCTTTGGGAGAGTCTTGGCTGACTTCGTCGGAGTCGGCTTTGGTAGACTTTGGCGTCGAAGGTTCTCCTGCAAAAGAAGCCATGGAAGAAGAGTCGGAAGAAAGCGATTGAAGGTCCGGTTTGGCTTCATCCTGTCTCCACTCAGGAGAAACCATTGGGGAATCTTCCTCCAACTCCAAGTATTCCAAAATATCGTCTCGATCTAGACCCATGATAGCCTCCACTTTATCGTCGAGTTGTTGGGTAGAGGAGAAGGATTGGCGGCCACCACGGGCCCCACGATCGGTAATCAATTTGTTCTTGACCATCGTTCGAACCTTTTCTTCCGTTTCGGCTGGCGACGCAGTGATACTGATACCTTGTAGCTGAAGATATTCCATAATTTCCTTAGGTTTCCCTTTTAAGACCTGTTGGACTCGTTTGTCAATCTTTTTGCTAGTCGCAAACTTGCCCATTTCCTTTTGGACTGCTTGTCGCACTTTCTCTCGGGTGCGTTCGATTGCTTTTTCGTTTAGGACTTCTTCCCGATTGTGCTGAAGGTCGTTTTTGCTCTGCCACAGTTTAGGCTTATTCGATGGCGACAATGGTGTAAACTCGGTGACATGATTTGAGCTTTCATCGAACTGAACCGACCTTGCATCATGCTTGCTGTCATCTAAATCGGAATCATCGTCATCTGAATGAAGAATGGACTTTGGTTTCTTTTCAGATTCTTTCTTCGTTCCTTTCTTGTCCTTCTTTTTCTTTTTGAAAAACTTGGGAAACTTTGCCATGCTGAATGTCCGGCGGAGGCGTTATGCCGAGACTAGAGGGCGATGTCTTCTTTTCTCGTGCGTCTGAAGTATTGTTCTAAATCGGTTTCAGGTTTTTAGGTAGTTCGTTCTAAAGGAGATGTCATTCAGATTTTTCTCCGCTGCAGTGAAGTTAATGATGGCTGGTGTGACGAGATTTCCGGTGGGAGAGAATAGAAACAAGAAGACCACTTGTGATGATGGGTTCTTTGATGGTAAAACTATACTTTGTAGTTCGGTCGACGCCACTGCATCGATATTCGCATGAGATGCTCTTTTGACATTTGTCGATCCACTTGACTGCTCGACGAAAATAACTCTGCAATCGCCGGGCGGACAAGTTTGTCGAGAAACCGTCCTCGAAAATGTCCTAATTGAACATTCGCTAAACTTTAAGTAATTTCAGACCCACATGTATTGGAAGAATCCCATTCGCTCTTTGGTGCAAATACTATAAAAAAGAACTTTTCAACGGAAGGTTGGGTTGCCAATGCCTCGCGGGAGTGTCATTTTTCTCGTCCTCCCAGCCCGCCTTTTATTCAGCAACTTTGCACGTCTACTAAATAAATACTGAGGTTGTGGTTGGCATCGACCTTCTGCACTGCGATAGAGATTGCAAAAACACACTTCACTCAATCACTGCATTGATTCTGTGGCATCAACCAATCATCGTCAGCTAGCACAATCACACACTGATTCATCCAATTTTTCTGAATCACTTGAATTTTGACCTGAGAAAACAATAACAACTTTCACGCACGCACAATTCACACAATATGGCATCCACACAATCCTCTGACGAACAAGAACCAAGCACCCCTGCAGTTGCTCCTGCACCAATGGAGATTCAGCCCCCTCCTCCTGCAGAAGAAGCTCCTTCCGAAGGAAACACGTTCAGCATGGGAGGTGTGGTGGGTGGCAACATTCATGAAGCTGGCTCCTTTGCCAAAGAACGAGCTGCCGAACTCCGGCTGTCGGTGGCAGAAGGCAACTGGTCGCTTCGTATCTTTGTTCTACTTGCTGCTCTTGCTATGATTACCACAAGTTTGATCGGATTGATATCGGATGTTTATCGCATCGATACCATATCAGCGATTATTGACATTTATTGCATGATTCTGGGAGTTATCATGATTATTTTGGAGTACGGACACCAGCTTTCATTCTTCGCCGCCATCCAACCGAGTCTGTACAGAAATGCTCTCTTTCTTCGGTTTGTTTGGGGAAGAGGACTCTTTTACTTTGTGGCTGGGACCATTGAAATTAGTCAGAGACACTACATGAATATTATCGTGGGAAGTTTGGTTTGTCTTCTAGGATTTGCCTTTGCCATCATTGGACGATCGGCATCACAAAAACTTGCTGAGGCGAGACGATCCACCTTCACAATGGAAGACTTACGCTCTAAATTCAATGAATCCGATGAAGAAATGAAGGGTTCTTTGGATATGAATCAATTCAGCAGTTTCATCAAGCTGCTGGGTATGGACATGAATCGCCGAGAGGTCGAAACTACTTTTTTACAACTGGAAGAGGATGGTCGAATCGCTTTTGAGGTTATTGTCGAATGGTGGAATACAGAAGCGACGGAAAACTTCTCGGTCATACCGGGAGACTACCAGCACATGGCATAAAATGACTTGATACAAGAGAGAAAAAAGTTTTTAAAAGAAAGAAACAAGAAGAATAGCGTGTCTTCAAAAAAACTCATGGTAGAAAGGGCAGGAGTATAAAGCATACATGTTTAAAAAATTACAACCACAAGATACTTTGTGCAATATCTTTGTATCCTCTTGATGACGTAGGTTGCAATAATACACCCGACCAGTTTAGGATCCCATTCCAGCACCTTTAACAGATGATGAGTCCTACCAGTATGTCTCAACTGCACGACTCTATGACAATATGCACGGCAGTCCAACAATTTGGTCCGACTATTGGAAAACCACGACGTATGTCCTTACTTGCGACCTCTTATTTTTCGTGGACAAGGACTTATCTAGCCCCTTTTTTTCCCGGGCGAGGAAACTGTTATGCCGTTATGCATGATCTCAAGCGTCCCAATTTTTCTCTTCGAACATAGCTGCGAATCCCATTACGGTATGACTCATCCAAAGTTAAAATAGCTCTATTCAAATGACTAATGGCCCATCTTCCTTCTGTTTTCGTTACCGCAGTGTTATCGAACGGCGAAAGTGAAACGCCGTCAACGAGGCTGCCTCCCTCACTTTTTTCCATCACATGATGTCATCCCGTCCTCATAAAATCAAAATCTTTACAATATTCCTCTTGGATTTTACTTCTGTAAACTGCTTTGATAACAATGAGTCCACAAGACAGCAGTTTTCGCTTCCACTGTTTCCCTCTGAGGATAGTACTATCTTCTTGCCTCCCACTCATTGAGCCATTTTTCAGGCCCAAAATTCGCAGCACCATCTCTCCACCACCTTCTTGCATCTTATCAGATCCGCTAAACAGTAAACTTATTGCTATGGAAGTTCTCGAAGCTGCATTGATTATAAATGTACGGGGTAGAGTCTGCAGATGATGACATACTGTAACGTGCCGTGCGTGAAGGCGAAAATAGAAGTCGACTGAGTCGAATTGCGGGTCGATAGAGTCGTCGGAAAAAGGAAAGAGTATATTATATACCGGTTTATTTTCTGACACTCTAGAACACCAAACTCCACCGTGATACATCTCAGTTTTCACGTGCACATCACAACGTAGGAAAAAGAAGATGGGCCACTTTGCAGATAATTGATACCGACGATTTCCAACACTAAAGTGACATCGTTCAGCAGTGACGAGTTCTAAATCCAACCATCAAGAACAGCAGCAGGCAGCACTGCAGGCTTCTCGTACACGAATCACCAATGAATGAATGGGTCACCTACTACATGCTGCAAGATACAATTTGTAACTATAGAAATCATGAAAATGTCAGTCTATTATCTTTTCCGTAACTGGCTCGTCCTCCTCAGTTCTAAGAACACCGTGGGCAGCAGTCATTCGTCCTCCTTTGTTCAAGAACACCATGTGTAATCTTCAGATTCGCGTGTTCTTGCCATCCTTCAATCTAACGTATTGATACTGCCAGATGTTCTCCAGAACCTGAATTTTGTCGGACCCCGTAGGGATACACACCATACCTCTATGCAGCTGCCAGGTTTTTTTCAAGGGGTACTAATAGTGGACCCAACCGCGGTACCATTGTGGGATACAAAAAAATCTCATTCGCCAGTGATTTGATTCTTGCTGGAAACAAAGGATGGTCTCAAACCTGGACCGAACCGCTGGACCGAACCCTACTTATTGGCGATGGGGCCGCGTCGGAAGAATATATATCATATATATATATATTGCACAGTATTTCATCTTTATACCTTGTTTATTATACCGGTAATATCAAATCCCGAGACGAGAAAAAAGGCCTCTTATGACGCTATAATGTACCGTCAGTCCCTCATATTTTAGAATACATTCAGTGATTCTAAGCGTCGTCATAAATCAAAAAAAAAATCAAAACAATTCTATAGGATTCATCATGACTTTTACGTCTGCTAACTGCTCCAACGCCAATGTCGCTACAAGACAGCATGAATATTTGTCACTGTCACTGCCCCCTGATTCCTTGCTTCGTCATGGCATCAGTCATCATGCCAGTGCCATTGCAAGAATTCGCAACCTTCCTCCACCACCTTGTTTAAGGTTCAATACGCAAGATCGAAAGGTTGATAGTATGGAAATGCTGCATGCCGCATTGGACATCATTCATCCGAAGACGGACCCACTTTTTCAGCACAAATGCCATCACTTGAGTGACATGATCGTGCGCCAATGAGTCTTCCTCGAGCAAACCACAACGTCCAAGACTGATATACAATATCAGATTTTATGCCAATTAGACCTCATCGAGCCAACCATACAACCGACTCGAATGAATATTGGGTTCCCAGTAGTAGATGCAATGTCCAGTTCGTAACTACATAAATAAAATAACCAAATGATGATACACAATTGTTATCTCTTTCGCAGCTATATGCTCCGCTATGAACACAGCAACATCGTAGCGCCTATATCCGCAGCCAGTCCCCAGGCTCACTTTCTGGCCAGGTCTTGTCGCCAGCGAAATTCCATTCTATCTCAGCCTACCGATACGCATACCGGTGCCTGTTGCTGGTAGTACTGAAAGTGTACACAAAAAGTATGACCCAATGCATTCCATCTCAGCCTACTGTGCGATCACAACTACCGGTAAGTACGAAAGCGTAAAATAAAGAACCAATCTTCTCAAAATTCCATTATTCTGGCGCTCATCCTGCCGACGAAGCGGTAAAAACTGACCTTCATTGGAACTGACGTAACTTTTGTACTTTCTCGGCCGACCCAAATTGTCTTTCGTCTTCGATTAGGAAACATGCATCTAAAGGATGTCAGTCATTCCCGCATGCGACAAAAATAAGCGCCAGTTCCCAAAACCAAATGTTGACGCAATAATCAACCGCTTATTTCTCCAAAGAATCAATGGTGAATTGAAAACCACCGCTGAAACTTTCATGACAATCGGTACTAACTCCTGTGCCGGCCGGCCTGTCTTTTAAAACGCTTTTCGTACTCAAGGAAGTCCCAAGCACAATTAAAGCCCACGTCAAAAGTGACAAGGCATATGTAAAGAATATATCAATGGCAACAGCTGACATCATTACTTAATGTTCCCACATCGCGAGAAAAACAGAAACGATCTCCGCACGCTCCCAATCATGTCCAATATTTTTTTTAAAATGCCAGTATAGTATCGTCATAAAATCATTTCTTTCCAACAGCATCATTCGTTATGACTTTCACCTCTCCCAACTGCTCCAACTCCAACAATAACGCCAGAGGACCATATACTACGCAGCAGAATCCCACTGCAGACTTGCCTCCCATCATGGCAAGAATTCGCAGCCTTCCACCACCACCTTCTTGCTTCAGCACCACCAGAAGTACTGGAGATCGAAATCTTAATTCTAGGGAACTGATTCAGGCTGCGTTGAACATTGTGCATCCTCTTTCTCGCCCTACTACAACAAGCCATCACCAGAATGGGATGACTCGTCAATGAGGTGTCCTCGAGCCAACAAGAGCTACTACTACATGAGTACTACTAGACTCCCAGCATGCATGATCATCCGTTATTTTTCCGTCGATGGTGGTGGATGTGAATGAATACCCTTCAGGTCCCCAGAAGCAGCAGACGAATTTTCTTTTGAATAAATATAATCATACAACTTGTGTCTGAAAAAATATAAGAAAAGTAGCATTACCAGTATCATTTCATTGCATGGGCTGCAGTAGCGTGAAGAGGAAACTGAATCAATCATTCAGATTCGTACTCGACACGTTGCATTCGGCGTCTTCAACTTGCTCGCTCGTCAGTCCTCGGACCTCAGAACGGGTTGTTGTTTCAACCTTACGGTGTAGAATTGGGGTCAAAAGTTCTTCTAGTAGGAGCTATCATCGTGCTTCAACATCTCGGTGAAAGTTGGGACCAAAAGTGGCGAACTTGCCAATAACGAGCAATAACATATTCCTTCCAGCTGACGTTAAAAAGAGCCTTTTTCTGCTCCTAAAAGTACGACTCAGCTCTGTTTAACGCCCGACAAAAAATCATGTCCGTTCGGAAGGAACGCGACTGACGTAGAATTCTACGCCAGTAAACTACACAGAACCTCTCACAAACCTCACCCAAGGAGATGTGACTTTCAGCCAGGCAGACGCGTCATGACTCGTTTCAGGTCCGGCGGTAGCAAAACCTCAAATCACAGTTTGATACGGTAATACATAAACGTCTTCCAAACCTCTCTTCAAGACTGCACCATTGCAATCCACCAGTATCAAATCCAAGCTCATCTCTGAATCAATCAGACAGACATATAATACCTCAACTAGCTGCATCAATATGGTGTACGATGACGATGATTTCACCACAGACAGCAACACTGTCACCACCATGGAGTTTCAGTCACAGCAACGAGATTTGCTGAGACGCAAACAAGAATTGGACCGCAAGATTCAATCGTTGGACGATAACTCCGGCCATAATAGTAATGAGATCAGCGATAGAATGCACAATATGCACTTTACTCAAAACTCGGGAGGTTCCGTCGGCGAAGCAAGCACTGCTACTTCTAACGCGACTGGCACCACGGATAATACCGGCTATCCCGGTGCTCCTCCTCCTCATCACAATCCATACGGATATGGTGCATACCCACCTCCTTATGGCTACCCTCCTCCGCCCTATGGTTATGGGTACCCACCCAATGGCGGTGCTGGTGCTGGTGCTGGTGGAAAGTCTCGTGCTGGCGGACATGCTCCACCGCCACCTCAATGGGGAGCACCACCTCCTCCTCCTCCTTCCGGACAGGATGAATCGCGTCTGTTCATCATGCTATCCCAAAAGGAAGACGAAATCAAGGAACTGCGGGCCAAATACGAAGAAGCGCAACTCAAGATTCAGTCCCAATTCATTGAGATTTCACGTCTCGAGGCCAAAGTAGAAGTAGCACAGGCGAATGTGCACCAAGAACGCAAGATTGCCCGTTTGGAAGCGGAAGCCGCTGCCAGTGAACGTTTGGAATTGCTGATGCAAGAACAACGCAAGGAACACAAGGAGACTATGCGTCAAATGCAGGAACAAATGTCCCAAGCGGCAGCGGCCATTGCGTTGACAAGAAATGAAGCGCCACCTCCGCCTCTCAAGTTTCAGTCGCACCCGAGCATGGTAGCTCCGGGTGTCGACAACTATGATGATGACGATGGAACTATCCATCCTGATGCCAAGACGACTGACGAGGAGGAAGCTCATGAAGATGATGATATTTACAACGAGGCAAAGTCGTTGCATAATACACAAGACTTTAAGAAATTGCCAAACAAATTGGCCAAGGCTACCAATTTGCCTTCCCCACTCGATGATGCTACGTTTGATTCGGGCGATCAAGAACCGAGCATTCCCATTGACGAGAATGAAGCCCAAACTAGCTGGGAAGGAGGATCCACACAAAAAAAGCGTTTCAAGGAAAGGCCATGGGGTAAGAATGAGTATCACGATGATATTGACCGATTGGTCGTGGATGAACTCAGTTTGGGAGCGAGTTATATTGGTCGTGGGGATGCTGCCGCAGGCACCCTTCCCACTTCCAGGTCCACCGACCCAGAACAAGCCGTGGAAGATTCTTTTGATGCGGCCGATAAGGACAACAAATTTCAACCCATATACAGTGATCCGAATGAACAACAACCTGTAGTGGAACTAGACAACCAATCATTGGGTCAAACTGTGGCTTCTAGTACCTATGGAGAAGATCGCCAAAAGGTGGTCAACAAGACACTGTTGGATCCTTATGGCGACAAAGGAGTATATACCGGTGTTGTCTTGAGGACCACTGGAATGCCACATGGATTGGGACGTATGGTGTACGAAGAAGATGGCCGTATCTTTGAAGGTGATTGGCGCCACGGACGATGGCATGGATACGGAAAGGCTACATTCAGCAATGGAGATGCCTATGATGGAGAATACAAGTTTGATCAACGTCATGGCAAGGGTGTCTACAAGGTAGGTTTGATTTGCTCGCGCGTTCGTTCGTTCGTTAGGTGGATGGACGATCCATTTGGAAACATCGTGTTTGTATTGATTGCCTACATGACTTTGATTAACACGATACTTTTGTTTGCTTTAGTGGGCTGACGGAAGAGTCTTTGATGGACAATTCAGTGAGGATAAGCGTCACGGACATGGAGTAAGTGATTGACTTTGAATCATTTCTTATAGTGCAAAATGAAGCATTCTAACAGACTTTGATGGTCTTATTTTCGCTAGATCTTCACTTGGCCCGATGGCGCAGTCTACGATGGTGAATTTGTCAATGGGCAACGCCAAGGACATGGGAAATACAGATTTGCTGACGGTGGGGAATACGTTGGGTCTTGGCATGGTGGCCGCTATTCTGGGTTTGGTACTTGTACTTGGGAAGGTAGGTCGTGTTATGGTTCTATTTTTTATGAGCTTGAAGGTGTCTGGCAGTTTCTTTCTCACAGTTTGCTACTTCAATTAATTTCAGACGGTAGACGCTACCGCGGAGAATGGCGTAATGGCATGGCCCATGGCAGAGGTACCGAAACTTATCCCAATGGCGCTGTTCGACACGATGGCCAGTGGGTGGATGATGAGCCAGTTCGTTGAGACGGGTACATGCACATTTTATCACTGCTCAGACGAACAATATCCGTCCAAAGTGTCACCCCAGCTGTTTTGCATTGATGTTACCCACTCAACAGAGATTCAATGATAGCAGTAACTTTGTCATTACTAATATCCTTTGCTTCTTGTTGCGATTGTTCATATGGATATTGCGTGGCAGCATACGCGTTGTAGGTGCCGTTTCCGCTTCCATGCGTGATCGGAACAAATAGACCGATAGCGTTTGATGCTGCGTTTCTTGTCAGGAGCCAGTGGAGGAATAATAAATAAAAATAGAGCGTGAGCGTTTCACCCTCACTGGCGGCGTGGGCGGTCATAACTCCCGTCACCTGTGTTGTATAGTCAGTATGTGTACACTCTAGAAGGCCTCTTATCCTCTTTTAATCCGGTCCGAAGTTTGCGGCGGTTTTGAGAGCAACTATTTTGTCGATTTTTTATTCATTTCGAATCCGAACCCAACCAGAGCTACAGTTACTCGTGAAAACAACGCTCGTGTTCTCAAGGGTCGAAAGTGGGGAAGCAGTTTTTAGTTGATATTATAGTCGCATACGAACCCGCGGTTCTTCCAAAAGGTTGCGTCATCGACAATTCTGCATCTTCTCTGCTTTGAAACAAACTTCCATCTCATAAATCGAAGTATTGTCAGAAGAAAAAAATTCAAGAAAAAAATGATGCGTTGCCTCAAGACCAATAGCATCGATGCTATGTTTGATCCACCAAAGGAGAATGACAATTCGGTAATAGCTTCGATGTATCATCAGCTGCGGGCTTCTTCAAACCAAGATGTTTCGTTGGCAGATGATACCGTGTTCAGGTTTCCAAATGAGTTCATTCCTCAAGATCCTCTCACCCTGTTGCGTGATATCGAAATTGAGATGCCCAGCGATCTCCCTTTCAATGCTGCATCTGACTTACCAGCAGAGCATGTCAGTAAATGGAGCCTTTATTCCAGTGATCTCGAACCCACCCCAATCAAGCCCGACCTGCACAGAGAACGAGTAACTGCCTCCTTTGACGAAAAGGTGCTTTGCAATCCAGACCAAGTTATCAGTGCTTTCGTACCCAACGAAAGCAAATCTGCTGACTGCAGTGGTCTCGCCGGTGTAAAAAGAGAAAGCTCAGCCTCGCTTCCTCCTACAAGGCCAAAAAAGAGATTTAAGACCAGCAGGGAAGAAAAGAAGAGAAAGAGCAAGAACCCCCCAGTCTTCCGCCCTTATCAACAGCAACAATTCCAAGAACAATTCGATGAACTGTTGAAATTCAAGGAAGAATTTGGACATTGCCTTGTCCCCCACTCGTATGAACCCAACCAAAGTTTGTCGAGATGGGTCAAGCGACAGAGGTATCAGTACAAGATGCTTCAACAGGATAAAACCGAGGAGTCTACGATGACCCCAGAACGTATCTATCTGCTTGAGTCTATTGGCTTCGTTTGGGACTCGCACAAACTGGCGTGGCAAGATCGCTTGAAAGAGCTTGAAGAATACAAGAAGAAAAACGGAGACTGCAACGTCCCTTCTACGTATCGAGACAACGCTGCTCTAGCCACATGGGTCAAATGCCAACGTAGGCAATACAAACGATTCTACAGTGGAGAAGCATCTAACATATCACTTGATCGGATCACTTCACTAGATGCTTTGGGATTCAATTGGGAACGAAGACACTGAAACGGATGATACCACTACTGTACCCCGGTTCACAACAGCTGATCAAGGCTCTCGATATGACCTGCAGAGAGGGACTGTCGTTTATCTTTTACATAATTAGATGAATTTTAGTTTTGATCCCATTCTACTGAGCTGTTTTGATACGTCTTTTATCTTAGATATTTCTGTATCAGAGAGGTGACATACGTACACACTTCTGGGTTTACGCACCATAAATCTAAAATTAGCGAAAATGAAAAAGAACGCTTGTTCGCCGGCGTCGAAAAGGAAGCGAAACTATGGTAATTTATACACCAGGTCCGTGTATAAAGTACAAAGTTCTTTCTCGCGAGACGAACCGCTCTTCGAATCCGAATCACAGATTCGGTGGAGAAGAAACTTCACACTCGTATTTGATTGTCACGTTGCAGACTTTTCGTTAGGGAAGAATGTGGTGGTACTTGCTCACGCACACTACCGCTCAAGAGCTTTAAAAATCGGCTTCAGACAGAACGATCGCATTCGGTGGAGAAGAAGCTAATTTACATCGGTATTGATACTTTGAAGATTCGATGGAGAAGAAATTTGAGAGACGATACAAAAGTGCATCAGTATTGATACTTTATCAGGCGCTAATGGGAACGTCTATCGATTCTTTGTCCAAATCGGCTTCTGTCTTCAGTTGTCAGGAGTTCTGATCATCAGCATGTGGAAGTGGGATTTTATGGTTCTTCTCTGAGTTTTCATGATGGAGAAGAAATTTGGGAGATGATGCACAATTGCATCAGTATTGATACTTTATCTAAGGCGCTAATGGGAACCTGTATCGATCGACTTCTCGTCTTCATTTGTCGGAAGTTCCGACCATCATGCGGAATCAAGAATGGGTCTTCTGGAAGTTTTCGGTAAAGAAATCAACGATTACGGTAAAGACTTCCGACTTTTTGGATCCCCATGGCTTCTCCTTGCTTTGTCGAGAGTCCTCTTCACTTTTAATCGGTGATGCCTGTTGGGAAGCATGAACTACTTCTTGCATTGCCACGTTGTGCTGAACGTCTTGCTTGGATGTCGTTGCGCTCTTAGGTAGCTTGATATTTGAGATGGGTTCATTTGGTTTTGCCTTTGTAGTCTTTGACATTGTCGAATAGAGATCACCAAACAACTCATTTACCACCGCCTTTGCTGCAAGATCAACTATCCTGTCGTGGTCTAACACGGCATCGTCTTCAATGTTTCTGAAAGGCTTAAGGATATCCTTGTCGTCATTAGCATGCACCACGTCTTGCATTATTTTGTTGGGCTGAGCTTCTTGCCTAGATGTTGTTGCGTTCTGGGGCAGCTTGGCGTTCGTTGTAGGATCAGTTGGTTTTGACGCTGTCGAATCGAAATTGCTAAACAATTGATTGGCAACAGCTACTACTGCCAGATCAACTATTCTTTCGTGATCCAACACGACGTCGTCTTCCACTTTGCTGTTAGGCTTCATATTGGTTGCGTTACCAGATTCAATAGCACGAATGGCTTCTGTGTCACCCATAAGTGTTATGTTATTGACGTCTGAGATTTTGTAGCCTTTGTGGTTGTCTTGTTGTGCACTCTCTAAATTTGTTGAGTCTAACGATGTTGACAATGGCTTTTCCGAAATGACTCTATGGCTCCCATTGTCTTCTTGTTTAGTCTTCGTTCCGTTTGATGATGTCGGTGAAGCCTTTTCTTCACTGAAGGTTTGGTTTGTTTCGAATGCTCTATGGAAAGATCCGGTATAGTTTTCGTCATTCTCTCCTTCAATTTCCAGCGCGATAGGAGAAGATTCTTTTTCGATTATGAGTTCTTTGCTTTCCCTTCTTTCAACTTCCGCGTTCTCGGACTCCTCTCGTTGTTGGATCTGGCGGAGCAGAACAGTATCCATCCGTGTACTTTTATCAATATCAATGGAAAGGAACAATGTTGGATGAAAGAGCGCAATCAATGACCGCGATTTTTGCTTTCTTAGGTTCAATTCTTCGCCTTGAGGAATGACAATAGTCTTCAATATTCCATCCTCTTTGGATGCCACTTCAATACGTTGTTTGTTGACCGTCCTTCCATAGGAATCTATTTGACTCTTTTGTAGGATGACCATGATATCACCTTGAGTCACAACATCACCAGGCTGTTTCTTCCATTCTACTACTTTGACCATTGTTGTGTGTGATTCGATCCGAGTACCTTCTTTCAGTCGATAAGCCGAACACGCAGTAGACCCCTCGGCACCATCTTCCTCTCTTCCTACTACTATTTGTCGTTCAGGGTACCAATCCAATGGAATCCTAATTTCTCTGTATGAAATTATGGCTTCCGCTGAGGAAGTACCATCGTCCTTTGATTCTGATGTCGTTCTGGATTGGGATCGCAGTAGATCAATCTTTTGGTGACTGAGGACTTCCACATCAACAAAGGCATCATCTTGATAGCGTAAAGCAGTGGAACACGTATGTTCTAGTGATTGCTTGTGAAGTAATGAACATGGAAATGATGTTAGTCCGCGAGCTGCTGAGACTAGAGCGAGTAGGCAGAGATGTTGGGGCTTGGTCATGATGAATTGGCTAATAAGATGAGTGGAAAGGTGATGTTACTATATATACTACCGGTACTGTTCGTTGCGAGATATAAAATGCTACAGCAGTATATATAAGACGACAATAGATACGGCGATGCGATTTTTTTGAATTTAACCGTTCAGTCTTGCTGGCGCGTCCGAGAACGCTCTCGGACAAAGAACGCGGAGACGCGGGGTACTGTAGGTATACCGGTACCAGATATTATATGTATACCGATACAAGCATATTGTACGAATACATTGGCCCTCATGATGATTGTTGTCCACACCACAATCTCACTGTATGTGCCATCAACAATGGCATTGAAACTCGAAGATTCCTCATACGAGTCACAGTGAAGTTGCATCGTTTGTCTCTTATGATTGTACAAATTATCTACAAAATACTTCTCTCTACATTTTGGATCCATTTATTTATATACCATATCTGATAGTTTGCATCATTTGGAACACCATTCATTCATTTGGAACACGATAGACTCTCAGCACTGCAATGCAATCGACCAAGCATCTTGGAGGATTCTTTCTTTCGCTTTCGGAGCTGTTGCTGGAAGATCACGTTTGACAGCCTCCACCACATTGGTCGTGGTCACCCACCAGATATCATTCTTGGAAATGATATGATCCTTTGGCAGATCCTCCTCCTCTTGCCCATGCATTCTGAGGAACTTTTCCGCTTTGCCATACATCTGCTCGGCATCTTCGAGCACTTTCTTGAACGAAAAAGAATTCTTCTGCATACCTCCACCCTTTTGACCTGCATTTTCTGATGCCGAAAGATCGAGGTTCGAAAGCGAAGGGCGGTTCAGTTGAGTAGTCATCTTTCGTCGGTGCACGAAAAGTGCCGACTTCAAGTCGGTGTCATAGAGTGGGAGCAGCTTCCACCCATGTTCGGCGATCTGCAATATTGCGTCGCAGATGAATTCGACTTCTTCGGGAGAAATGAAATAGTTGAAGTTCACTCGAGCCCAGCCAAACTTGAAAGCGTTGTATCCTTTACTGACAATTGCACGAGTCCTCTCACTTATCTCGCTATCGATATCCAGTAGACGGTGACTGTAGGGCCCGGTACACTGGGATCCAGGAAAGAGTAAAATCGCTTGAGATTGGGATATGGAATCAACAAAATCGCAAATCGGAAATACCACTTACACTGCAGCCTGCTCGAGCTTGAATACCATACACATCATTCAGCAGGGCCACCACAAAATGAGGATGCAGCATAACGCTTGGATCTGACATGGCAGCTCTGATTCCCGATGTATTCGAACTTGCTTGAAACGGTGAACGGATGTTGAACGACATGATTGTGACTCGCCTGTGTGGATCAAAGTATGCTCCACGATCGCTACCCACAAGTTGGACCTTGTCGTTTTCGCGAAGCTTGGAGAAGACCATACTGCAGTAGTTCCGCTCGATGGCTTCAATGCGCCGACAGCCCACCATTTCTTTCACTTGGAAGACCAATCCAGTGCGGATGGCCTGGACGATGGCTGGTGTTCCAGCATCCTCTCGTGCCTCAATGTTATCATCATAGTCCTGGGCACAGGGCGACACAAACGACACAGTACCACCGCCAGGAAAGGTAGGAATCTTGGTTGTTTCGAAGATGGAGCGGTTGGCGACCAACAGGCCAGTACATCCAGGTCCTCCAATGAACTTGTGAGGCGACATGAAGATGGCATCCATAGACTCGTCTTCATTTTCGCCGTTCATATTGATCTCAACGTATGCGCCACTTCCGGCAAAGTCGAAGAAAGCCAAGGCGTTGTGCTGGAGCAACGAAAGCAAGAGAATCAATCATCAGTGGTATGAGATCTCATAACAAGAAAAAGACAAAAGCCTCTGTCACACATACCTTGTGTAGAAGACGGGTATACTTCTTAGTGTCAATGCAGATTCCAGTGACATTTGAGCCGGCACAGAAGCTACCGATCTTCATTTTGCGATCCTTGTACTCGGATAGCTTTGCTTCCAACACTTCAATGTCGGGGCAGCCATCATCATCTTCGGGAATGACTACGACGGTGACAATGGACTCTCTCCAAGGGAGCTCATTGGAGTGATGCTCGAATGGACCAATGAACACGATGGGGCGATCTCCTTCCGGAATCAGATTGGGCAGTTTCCATTTGGAGGTCACAAATTCTGGCAGCCAGATACCCAGCAGCTTCATCATCTTTTCGATGGCACCAGTGCAGCCGGTACCCACAAAGAGCAAGGCGTACTTTTCTCTAGGTGCATTAAGGCTTTTGGATATAATGAGACGGGCTTCTTCTCTTAGATTTGTCGTTATAGCGCCGGTAGCGCTGGCTTCAGTGTGAGTGTTTGCGTAGAAGGGATAAACGTTGGTCGTCAGAAAGTCCTCGACTGGCTTCAAACATCTTCCCGAGGCCGTATAGTCAGCATATACTATCTTTCGACTGCCGAAAGGCGTGGTTATGTATTGTGATCCTCCGATTATATTTTTCCTGATCAGAGAGACAGGATCTGATTCATCAAGCATCGATACAGGATCATCTTCATGAAGGTTACTAGAACTCTTCCCTGATGCATCGGGCCACTCACTATCTGAAAACTCACCAGCTGGGTCAAACAAAGTTCTTTGCGGAGCAAGGGCTGGTGGAGCAATCACTTTGCCCGTTGTTGACTTGCAATTACCCATTGTGAAAGTTCTTGGTGTTATGAGTTTATGAGGAGGAGCTTGAATTGCAGAATTCGTTTTGTGACATACTCTCGTTTCAATGTCGTGTCAGAATGCCCACCACCTTTTTAAAGAGGTGGCACCGAATGCGAGGTAAATCTTACACAATTCAGGTACCGTAGAAGCGATGGTTATGTAACTCTGACGAATAAAAGCGAATGTATTTTTCAAAAGAACTCAATGCTTCGCTCCCCTTTTAACAATCAACAACCCTATATACCGCGACTATTAATAAGAGAGAAATACTTTTAAAACGAATTCCGTATGCAGTCTCGCTCCTTTAGGGACCAACCGGTACTCGTATTATCATTAAATCTTTTAAAAAGGCGATTAAATCAATATCTCAGCCCTTAGCTTAGCTATCAAGCTACTCCAACCATTCGTCACTTCTGAACCTTTCAGTTCTTGGTACTAGACTTCCACATCTGATCAAGTAGGATACAGTCGACGTGGACGAAATCGACAATTTACGAATGCGTACCTGGTACGGTCAGCAGTCCACATCAGGCGAAACTTATTCGTAATCTCCTTTCACCTGCCTGCTACCTAACCTGTATACAGGATTGAACCCCACAAACAATTTGGCGAAACGGCAGAGCCAAAAGCGATGCACATCTAAATGCGTGCTAATAAACAACGGTAGCTCTCAACCAAAGATCAGACACGTTTGGTTAACATCTGAGCAACTTCGAACAAACTCGACGAAAGGGTGTATTGCTCCCGCTCCCGCATCTGACCCTGTAGTCATTGTGCAGGACTGAACCGCGTGTCCAGCACTAACACTAAAAGCACCACATGGAGCAATTTGAACCAACTTGTTCTAGCAAAATCACTCCTAACAGTAGCTCGGATAATTGTTTGACCCCCAATGCTGAGCTACAAAGGGTGGAAAGAGATGAGTCCAAGATGAGATCGGAAATAACAAAATTGCTGTACGTATTTTGCATTTCATTGAGTGAATCGTTCACTGTATTTTGCTGGATATGTGCCAACGATATCGCGCTTCCGTCACTCTACTCTATTCCTTCCATCTGCAGTGAGTTGTGTCTCAGAACCCAAGATAAAAAGTCTGACATGTCGAATTTCAGCATATGGAAATTGGCGTGCATGCTAGAAAAGAGATTGTATAAGTCGGCTATTTCCTTTGAAAGTTATTGTGATTTACAGACATTGGAGTCCAGAATGAGAGTTGTTTTGTATCATTTAAGAAATCAACAGCAAGCTAAGAAACGACATAGCCAAACAAGCCGCCAAGTGCTGAAGCAGAAAATAGGATTACAAGACTATGAGCGAGCGGAATTGCTGGTCAGTGAAATTCACCATCGTAAGATTTCCTTGGCAGGTCAGAGTTGCGGGAGCTGTCGAAGTCGCAAGTCTTGTTCCGCATTCGAGGTAAAACCATTTACGGGGCAATTGCCGGCTCCTGTTAAAGACTTGTTCTTTGGGACACCGTTGTTGGATGTCTTTCAGAAGTATGAAGTTAAGCGAATACAATCTCTCAGTAACCATCAAATACTTCGATCAATTGAGCAAGGCGAGAGGCGCATGGCAGAGTTTGATGCTTGGAGGAATAAGACGGCGATCAATGCAGTACGTAATCTGTAACACTGTTGGTGCCAGCGTTTTCACGTTGAATAATATGATTCCGGATATATATTCAAGTTTTCCTGAATATCCATAGACTGTCAGCAGTCCATCACCATGCACTGGTAATCTTGCGAGAAATTTGCTTCTTCATTCGGCGCTGATGAAAAATGGTTACTGACAGTCTTTGTTGTAACCCACCAAATATCATTCGGGGAAATTATATCCTCTGGCAAAGCCTCGTCTTGTAACTTGATTACTTCACGATGGGCACACATTTTGAGCGACTGTTCCGCTTTTCCGTATATCTTGTCGGCATCATCAAGCACTTGTTTGAACAAAAAAGAATTCTTCTGCATATGAGCATCCTTTGGTTCAGCACATTCTGACACCGACAGGTGAAAGTTGGATAGCGAAGGACGGTTCGAACCGGATATTTTCCGTCGGTGCACGAAAAGCGCCGACTTCAAATCGGTCTCATAGAGTGGGAGCAGCTTCCACCCATGTTCGGCGATCTGCAATATGGCGTCACAGATGAATTCGACTTCTTCGGGAGAAATGAAATAGTTGAAGTTCACTCGAGCCCAGCCAAGTTTAAAAGCGTTGTATCCTTTTCCAACAAGGACACGAATTCTCTCACTTCTCTCGCTATTGATGCCCATTAGACGATGACCATATGGTCCCGTACACTGTGATCAAAGAGCGATAATGAACAACACCTTAGATTAAAACAGTCATGGCGTTAGGAATTTACAAAAGCATAAACATAGTCATCACTTACACTGCACCCTGCTCGAGCTTGAATACCATACACATCATTCAGCAGGGCCACCACAAAATGAGGATGCAGCATCTGACTTGGGATTCCTGATTTATTCGAGCATGATGCTTGAAACGGTGAACGGATGTTGAACGACATGATTGTGACTCGCCTGTGTGGATCAAAGTATGCTCCACGATCGCTACCCACAAGTTGGACCTTATTGTTTTCACGAAGCTTGGAGAAGACCATACTGCAGTAGTTCCGCTCGATGGCTTCAATGCGCCGACAGCCCACCATTTCTTTCACTTGGAAGACCAATCCAGTGCGGATGGCCTGGACGATGGCTGGTGTTCCAGCATCCTCTCGTGCCTCAATGTTATCATCATAGTCCTGGGCACAGGGCGACACAAACGACACAGTACCACCGCCAGGAAAGGTAGGAATCTTGGTTGTTTCGAAGATGGAGCGGTTGGCGACCAACAGGCCAGTACATCCAGGTCCTCCAATGAACTTGTGAGGCGACATGAAGATGGCATCCATAGACTCGTCTTCATTTTCGCCGTTCATATTGATCTCAACGTATGCGCCACTTCCGGCAAAGTCGAAGAAAGCCAAGGCGTTGTGCTGGAGCAACGAAAGCAAGAGAATCAATCATCAGTGGTATGAGATCTCATAACAAGAAAAAGACAAAAGCCTCTGTCACACATACCTTGTGTAGAAGACGGGTATACTTCTTAGTGTCAATGCAGATTCCAGTGACATTTGAGCCGGCACAGAAGCTACCGATCTTCATTTTGCGATCCTTGTACTCGGATAGCTTTGCTTCCAACACTTCAATGTCGGGGCAGCCATCATCATCTTCGGGAATGACTACGACGGTGACAATGGACTCTCTCCAAGGGAGCTCATTGGAGTGATGCTCGAATGGACCAATGAACACGATGGGGCGATCTCCTTCCGGAATCAGATTGGGCAGTTTCCATTTGGAGGTCACAAATTCTGGCAGCCAGATACCCAGCAGCTTCATCATCTTTTCGATGGCACCAGTGCAGCCGGTACCCACAAAGAGCAAGGCGTACTTTTCTCTAGGTGCATTAAGGCTTTTGGATATAATGAGACGGGCTTCTTCTCTTAGATTTGTCGTTATAGCGCCGGTAGCGCTGGCTTCAGTGTGAGTGTTTGCGTAGAAGGGATAGACGTTGGTCGTCAGAAAGTCCTCGACTGGCTTCAAACTTCTTCCCGAGGCCGTATAGTCAGCATATACTATCTTTCGACTGCCGAAAGGCGTGGTTATGTATTGTGATCCTCCGATTATATTTTGTCTGATCAATGATACAGGGTCTTTCTCCTCTTGTTTGGATCCATGATGATCATGATCAACAACCTCCTCCTCGCCACGGTGATAATTCCTGAAAGCTGCAGACTTCTCACAGTCTGAGGACTCGCCATGGGATGTATTATCGAACGCAACTGGTTCCAGATCAGAGTGTTTCGTTATGGACTTGCAGTTGCCCATGGTAGCAAGGATTGATTGTACTGTAGTAGTAATTTTTTATGATGTTTTTCTTCTTCGTGAGGTTCTCATTCGAATTTAATGAGAAGAGTTTGACATAAACGTGTCAGTTTGAATCGTGTCTACCGGTAGAGGCCTGTACCGATGTTCGGATGACGATCGGACACCGCCTCTCGCCTCCGTCCGCGTGCGGCACTCCATTTCATCATCATCGCACATCGAATCGCAATCATCATCATATCAATCACATCACGGCACGATACACCAAGCACATCGCATTAGAAACAGCACATCAATCGGGGAAAAAACTCAACTCTTCAACAAGATATTAACATGTTTCGCAAACCCTCCAAGAAGAAAAAGCCATCGAAAATCCGCAAGCGTGAGGAGGAAGAGGACGACGAAGAGGATCTAAGCTTGCAAGACAAAATCAGGAGCACTCAGAAGAAGCATAAGATCTTAAGTTCATTACCACTGGTGACTGGAAATCCATCACGAAGCTCAAGCAATAAGGCTTCAACAGAGGATGTGACCGACTCCGAAAATGCGACAGGGGAAATGACCGTAATGGAGAAGAAAAATCATGAGCTCATGCAAAACTACATTGAACAGAAATTGAACAGTGACAAGCCGACGGGGAGTAGTAATCCAAACTCTGACACGAACACGAATGAGGACGACATGAAAGATGTAGCGGTTACTGATGAGGAGACATTATATCAACAATTGGCAAAGGAAGTCTACTCAAAGAGGCAATATGATAAAGAGCAAGTTCAAGAAGAACGAGGTGCTGTCTTGGTGGGGGGCACAGGTTTGGCCGAAGTCATCTTACCCGCATCACACTCCGGCAAAAAGAACAAAAGCAATCAACAGTTTAAGAATCGCGTCAACCGGAAAGATGATTCCTCCTCGGCTGTACCCGCATTATCTTCCATGTCGAATGCAAAACTTCATGCAGCCCCACAATTTCGAAGTTTCCAACAGCACCACAAGCGAGCACCTGCGGCGCCTCAAGAGGAAAAAGATTCTGAAATTGCTAATGCGGGTAATGAGAAAATACCAGGGGATGGTGATCGCGTAGGATTCGACGCATATCGAGGGAAACCAACCGAAAAGAAGCCAATTGTCAAGAAGCAACGAGACGATTCAGCATTTTCTGATTTTGTTAGGCATCAACGAGATAAGATGATGAACCGAAGATGATACAGTCTATTGTAGGGGCGGAAGTGATATGTGTTTGTTTAATTAAAGATTATGAATCATCGGTGCTGCCACTAACCAACCTACTGCGAGACGATGTCATCTCTTATCAATACACCAGTTGAGCCTGCGTGCTATATTAATTTCACCAATAAGACTACAAACAATGCCACATGATGCGAAGGCCTTTGAAGCTGGAGAGTAAAAGCCTCATTCTTTAATTATAAACTTCTTGAACATAATTGACTGCTGTAAAGAGACTACCGGCTGGTCGGAGAAACGCTTGGACTTTCAGTGGGAATCTCAATGGTTGGGGAATAACTTGGGCTCTCAGTAGGAACCACGGTTTGCACAGTTGTTGGGTCCTTAGAAATGATATCGGTAACAATCGCTTCGCGGAACGGAGCAGAGAGACGTAGTATTCTCCTCAACGAGTTGTTCTCGTCGAGGCTCTGGCTAACCACGTTAGTGATGGGGAAATCCTTTTCCTCCCCTTTCAGCCTTAATTGAAGACTCATTTTCACTGCATGGCAGTTTGCAGCAGTACTCATTTCGCACGATCTCGTTTCATCCAGCTGGACAATGGCGTTTGCGTTTGCAATGACATAGCGAGCGTTGGCAAGCCGTCTCGGACTAGGTGACTGTCCACGCAATGATCGATCTTTTGATATATCGTCACAACCTGTTAGGTGCGGGATCAGGTATTTATTCACTCCCTCTTGTAGATCTGACAATAATGCAACAGCACCACCAAACGCGAATCCATTCATAAGCTCAATATCAATCAGAAGATCGAAATCCCGACGAAGAAGCTCATCTTCGCCCTGCAGAGTTCCGCCACTCTCTATGATATCGCATTCCTTTGCTGTAGGTGGATCATACTTTAGAACTCCAGTGGAAGGTTGAGATGGAATTATTGAAATTGGCTCATCCGAAGAGGTGCTCTGCAGTCCAGATGAAAATGCATTTCGTGTCACAGCAAAAGCGATACCAGCAGCAAGACCTGAAGTGAGGAGAAGGATAATCAAGACGATCCATCCTCGTTGACTCTCGTTTTTCTCCTGTACGATCAATTCGGATGCTTCGTCGCATGGGGACCCTCGCGCATTCGAGCTGGTGTCTTCTGTTGCTTCCAGAATGTGCTGAATCTTTTTTTGCTTACCAGACTCGTTGGCAAGATCATCTTCAACTCGGAAGGCATGAACCAGGATGTCATCGTCAGCCACAATTTCTTCATGCTCTCCGATAAATGAGGATTCCAATGTTCGTTGGTCAGACAGTCGTACAATGCCAAACGCCGACGTTGTCAACACTTGAGGACCCTGTCTGAATTTTCGAAGATTGGATTTGCTTTCACGACGAACGAGAATCGGTCGATCGTGCTTTGAATCAAGGGAAGCATGACGGGTGATGGATGTGGCCCCAGGCGTCAAGACTTCTTCGTCGTCGCTGCTATCAGGATAGTCAGGTCTTGGCCCGGATATAGAGGCTCTTCGGATACTGATGCGACGCATGTTTCGTTCGACGTCTGCGCTTGTCTCGAAACACTCACTTTCATAGACAGTGGTATCATCATTGGGGTCCGGAACTTGAGCAATGAGTAAGTTTGACTCATCAAAGTCGTTGTCGGACGACGACTGTGAAATCTCGACAGTCGTCTCATCCAGAGATCCACAAAAGGAGGGGCCCTTGGTGGCGAACATCAGTGCTGCGAAGTCGGAAGGTTTTTGGACAGTCTCCGCGGGGATCAAGGATGTTTCCACAATAATGCTAGATGACTCTGAATCAATTGTGGAATTAGAGAGCTCTTGTGTATGATGAACATCTTTCTCAGCAGGCATGAGGAGCCTTTCGACTTCTACACCTATTTGTGCGCTCTCTTCATCGTTGGTATCTTGCTCCGACTGTGTACGATCGGCAGTAACTGGCTCGACTTTCGTACTGTCACCTGGCACCTGTGGTGCCTTATTATCCACTAAAGACTTCTGGCCAACCACAGCTCCAACGAGCTGGCTCTTTGCAGCTTCGATTCTACTCTCCTCGGTAATCGGGTCCACTTCAGATGCAATTAGAGTAGTATTGGAGCCGAAGCTCTGTACTTTGTGATCATTTTGATCAAAAATCATGGAGACGGGATCGTTCGATATTTCTAACACAGGAAAGTCATTCTGCGTAGCAGCGGTAGAAGAAATGAGTTGGTTTCCTTCCTCATCGTCTATCTCTTCCGTCACCTTAATATGTGCATCTGCTACACCATTTCCTGAAGAAACCATATGATTGCCTTCGGTCGTGCCATCTTCACTATCTTCAGTTGTGGGAGGCATTGGTAGTTTCGAAAAGTCCATTGCTGCCATTTCCTCCTGCTTGCGAATGGCGTCGTCCAAAGAGACTTTTGGAGATGAAAATCCTCTCTTGGGACTCTTACGGGGAGATGGGAATGATCCAGGGACTGGATCTTTTACATCACTATCTATAGCCATTGCTGACGACTCACTCTTCGCCGCTTCCAGTTCTTTCGCCCTTCGTTTCTCAGCTCGTCTCTTCTCTTTTTTTGCTTTTCGCTTGGCCTCTCGCTCTTCTTTTGTTACACAACCCATTCGACGTTCTCGATTTGTCTTCTGAAGACCGTCTCTTTCAATCAAGGTAGGCATCACTGGTCCGACTTCAAATGGTGCCACTTCTTGAGGAGCTCCCTTGATCTCTGGTATGGGGAATGATGATATTATGGCTCCACCATGTGCCTCTGAGATCGTTGGCAACGATTGCTGCCGACTAATCCTCGTTCTCTTTACAGGCATGATAGCAATTGTGCGCGGGGTTGTTTACTGTCGCAACCGGTTTATCTCTTCGCCAGTTAGTTCGATATCGTACAGAAGGAGACAGAAAGTGGAGACATTCATCAAACATGGAAAAGAACGAATTCCAGTCATATAGAAAATGGACGAGCATAAGTATTTTTTTAAAATTAGAAAAGAAGGTAGTATTTTGTTAATAGCGTGGAACGAGAGGAAGAATCAATCTTATGGACCGCACTAAATGACATTCTGCTCGACGCATTTTAAGGGTTTATTGGGGAAAAGGCAGATACTCAATTGGTCGAGGAGGTGACATTTGAAGTATTTAATTAGGGAACTCACAGAGATGACATAGTACTCAACCGTAGATCTCTACGTATCTCTACCAATTTATACTCAAAACAGTAGAAACCTACAACACAACAGGGATTTCAGCAAAGTATCGGTAAACCGAGATGGGTTGGAAACACAACGCGACTATTCAAATTACGGATTTTGCAAGTTTTTTCTCGACAGTGACAACGAACACAACACAATGAGAGGAATAACAACATCGCATCATAGATAAACCAATAGATACACAGTTCGAATTCCTTCCTTATACATACTATCAAAAATATGGGGACGTTCTGTAGCCCTGGATGCCAACTTCATCTGTCGAATGGCTTGTAAATGAAAAAATCCTTGATGGAAAGTTTTGCAATACATCCATGCTTCGCTTCACTATTTTCTATCAATTGCAGCCGATATTCGTAGCACAACTTAATTGTAGAGGCTTTTTACTCATGCGATAGTTTTTCCCAGTTAGTTCGACCAGCTGGGACGAGAAGGAGTGGCTTCTTGTCTCATGGTGTGTATGGTGTGTTGGTTGATGCGTCCATTCATTTATTTTTATTCAATATCGATATTGTTGACTAGTCGGACCCATGTGTGAGAAGAGCAACAGTGGAAAGACTACTGCTATTTCTGTCAAATTCGCTGTCTTTCCCTATCTATTTCTGTCGAGATCTCTACATGCAGGCTTGTAGAGTGACGGTGTTGTGATTGGTGGGTACGGTTTTTACCCATAAAGGCTCCCCCCAGATCACAACTAGATTTGAAAACTGTAACTAGTTTCATTGGTTGGATATTTTGTTTTGCGATACCGCGATCACCGCAAAAGAACTCTTGAAAACCTCCTTCTTTTTTTCTTCTTCCTCTTCCTTTCCCCCCTCCTTTTCTGCCCTTTCCCCCCCCTAAGCCATTTTAAGGGTTTATTGGGGAAAAGGCAGATACTCAATTGGTCGAGGAGGTGACATTTGAAGTATTTAATTAGGGAACTCACAGAGATGACATAGTACTCAACCGTAGATCTCTACGTATCTCTACCAATTTATACTCAAAACAGTAGAAACCTACAACACAACAGGGATTTCAGCAAAGTATCGGTAAACCGAGATGGGTTGGAAACACAACGCGACTATTCAAATTACGGATTTTGCAAGTTTTTTCTCGACAGTGACAACGAACACAACACAATGAGAGGAATAACAACATCGCATCATAGATAAACCAATAGATACACAGTTCGAATTCCTTCCTTATACATACTATCAAAAATATGGGGACGTTCTGTAGCCCTGGATGCCAACTTCATCTGTCGAATGGCTTGTAAATGAAAAAATCCTTGATGGAAAGTTTTGCAATACATCCATGCTTCGCTTCACTATTTTCTATCAATTGCAGCCGATATTCGTAGCACAACTTAATTGTAGAGGCTTTTTACTCATGCGATAGTTTTTCCCAGTTAGTTCGACCAGCTGGGACGAGAAGGAGTGGCTTCTTGTCTCATGGTGTGTATGGTGTGTTGGTTGATGCGTCCATTCATTTATTTTTATTCAATATCGATATTGTTGACTAGTCGGACCCATGTGTGAGAAGAGCAACAGTGGAAAGACTACTGCTATTTCTGTCAAATTCGCTGTCTTTCCCTATCTATTTCTGTCGAGATCTCTACATGCAGGCTTGTAGAGTGACGGTGTTGTGATTGGTGGGTACGGTTTTTACCCATAAAGGCTCCCCCCAGATCACAACTAGATTTGAAAACTGTAACTAGTTTCATTGGTTGGATATTTTGTTTTGCGATACCGCGATCACCGCAAAAGAACTCTTGAAAACCTCCTTCTTTTTTTCTTCTTCCTCTTCCTTTCCCCCCTCCTTTTCTGCCCTTTCCCCCCCCTAAGCCATTTTAAGGGTTTATTGGGGAAAAGGCAGATACTCAATTGGTCGAGGAGGTGACATTTGAAGTATTTAATTAGGGAACTCACAGAGATGACATAGTACTCAACCGTAGATCTCTACGTATCTCTACCAATTTATACTCAAAACAGTAGAAACCTACAACACAACAGGGATTTCAGCAAAGTATCGGTAAACCGAGATGGGTTGGAAACACAACGCGACTATTCAAATTACGGATTTTGCAAGTTTTTTCTCGACAGTGACAACGAACACAACACAATGAGAGGAATAACAACATCGCATCATAGATAAACCAATAGATACACAGTTCGAATTCCTTCCTTATACATACTATCAAAAATATGGGGACGTTCTGTAGCCCTGGATGCCAACTTCATCTGTCGAATGGCTTGTAAATGAAAAAATCCTTGATGGAAAGTTTTGCAATACATCCATGCTTCGCTTCACTATTTTCTATCAATTGCAGCCGATATTCGTAGCACAACTTAATTGTAGAGGCTTTTTACTCATGCGATAGTTTTTCCCAGTTAGTTCGACCAGCTGGGACGAGAAGGAGTGGCTTCTTGTCTCATGGTGTGTATGGTGTGTTGGTTGATGCGTCCATTCATTTATTTTTATTCAATATCGATATTGTTGACTAGTCGGACCCATGTGTGAGAAGAGCAACAGTGGAAAGACTACTGCTATTTCTGTCAAATTCGCTGTCTTTCCCTATCTATTTCTGTCGAGATCTCTACATGCAGGCTTGTAGAGTGACGGTGTTGTGATTGGTGGGTACGGTTTTTACCCATAAAGGCTCCCCCCAGATCACAACTAGATTTGAAAACTGTAACTAGTTTCATTGGTTGGATATTTTGTTTTGCGATACCGCGATCACCGCAAAAGAACTCTTGAAAACCTCCTTCTTTTTTTCTTCTTCCTCTTCCTTTCCCCCCTCCTTTTCTGCCCTTTCCCCCCCCTAAGCCATTTTATGGTCTCTTTGGAGGAGAGGCTCTTTTGCTGACGTTTCTCATTTCGAACCCCTGTTCGCCACTTCTCCTCTATTCCGTTCATTTCAAATTATCAGCATGCGAATGTCTTCAGGTTCTGATCTAGTGTCGCAATAATGATAGCATTTCAATCTAAGAATTTGAATCGACATAGGATGAAATTGGCAACTCTTCCCCCCGCAGACGTTGTTGCTCCTTCTTTTTCAGAGTAGCATAGGAATCGGCCGCACTCGTCCATCGACTCTGTGCTCCAAAGTTCAATTCGGATACCAGCACATCGACACGAATATTTTGCGACTTGAAGCCTTCGTTGCCAAAAGGATCCAAAAAGGATTTGGAAAGTTCCAACAGACCCTTAAAAAAGAGTGTCAGCAACCCAACCAGAGGAACAGAAAGCGAGCCAACATCGCTGTACAAGCAGACAGGTGCCAGGAACACCAAGCTGTCAACAAGCACCTGCACGAGTTGGACGTACGCCAAGCTCATTCTGCCGGCAGCGTAATCGCCTATTGAGAAGTACTCGGCTCGCAGTGCACTCATCTGTCTCAAAATATTCTCCTCCAAGCCACTATTTCCATTTTGCAGCACATTCCGCTCAAGTCCGTCCATGATGAGCAAGCCGACCCATTCCAATAGAACATAAGTATACTGAGATGGGGGCAAGCCTGAGGACAAGAGTGAGTCGACCTCTTCTGTTGTCAATTCGCCAACATCCACCAATCCCTGAAGTCCTTCATTACTTAAAAGTATCGGTCCGATTTCAATATCGCTGTGAATATCTTCATCATTTTCCCAGCCACCATCTACTACACCATTGGACGAAGTTGGAGTCGACGCCCAAAAGAATGTATGACTCAACTTGATGAGCCGCGTACACTTTTTCACAAGTTCATTCTTGTCTTCTTCGTTTGGAGTTGTAGCGCCAATGGTAACAAGCATACAGATATCATTGATCCGCCCTTGGATTCTTCTTGTCGCAAAGTAGACATCTTTCCAGTGTTTGTAAGCTTCCGATGTGAAAAATGTCAATATGAATGTCGTCAATGTCACCTGATAGCTCCAAATGAGGTTGAAACCATGTAGTTGCTGAATAAGATAATCATCTTGTGGTGGAATGGCAAATAGTGGCCATGTGGAATCTGCAAATTCTCGTGCCGAATATGCAACCAAGATGCCAACAAACGTGTTGAAAATTACAGCTGGATAAATCAACTGCAACACTGTGCCTTTCCATTTCGACCAAAGATATGTTCCCTCTGGTTCATATTCACAAATCACCGGTCGATTTGCTTCATCATTGACAGCCCAATCAGTAAGCCGGTCTAGTTGGCCTCCTTTCCATCCTGGTGTTGATGGCAAACCTTCGTACGCCCGACGAGGTGGCACAGAATTCAAACTAAGCCAGTCTGTTTTGGAGGAAGAAATGTCATTTCGGAGGCTACACGTCAGATGAAAGGATTCCACATTAGCCGGGCATAGGAAGATGAGCAAAATCGCCAAGAATCTGGGTTTGAAATCCATTTTAAGCTCAGGTCATTCGATGCAATGATGATAATGACAGTAATAAATGTGTAAAATTGAATGGTTCAGAATTCTGACAAAATGATTCGAATTATTCGCGGCATATTGAATATTGAAGAAATAGGGAGATGATTGCGATTCGTTCATGGTTTCGTCATTCGGACGGATAGATTAGGAGAGAAAAACGCCTCAATTTTTTGGGAGAAACAAAAAGGAGGTGCAAAGAACAAGAAACAAGGACGACGTACACTTGTGCATGTGTGTGTGTTTGTGTGTGGTTGGGAAAGTTAAATCTTTGATATAATTTAATTGTTCTATGAAAGTTATTCACTGTGAGTGAATTGGTTTTTCGAAATTTGTACAGAAGGAGGAAGGGGCAATATCATGATATCATTGGTTTTTGTACAGTAGAAGAGCATGACATCACGAGCGTCTCCTTCGGGTGGCATTCGGTAGTGTGCGTGTAGCTTGGAAAGTATTATGAACAATGTTCTTCGCCAATGCCTAAGCTTGAAAAATGGCATGGTAAAGGTAGTAGGCCACACACCAGAGGAACTCCGATATATGTATAGTAAGTTCTTCTTTGTAATAGTAGTAGTGATTGTTGTGATGTATAGAAAGCGTGCGTTGGTAGTTCTGGGATCATACTGGTATTTTCTTTACAGTGTGTTCTTCTCAGTCATGAGAAGTACTTGATCGAATCCGTTCAGTTCTTGTTTGTCGTCTCCTCTTGTTGTTGTTGATGAGGATGAAGAGGACGAGCCGGAGAGACTTCTTGGAACAATCCTAGTCTTGTTGGCAATCATCGCAGGAGACAACATTTCAAAGGAACTGTGTCTTCGGGGTACTGTGTGATCGTCGGGGTTCGCATTGTCTTGGATGATATCGACTTGAGAAGGCACGATATTGTGTTCGAGGAAAAGTACGTGGAGAAAGTCGTCCATGGATCCCGTGGAGACCCCCCTGCTGCTGCGTTCTTGGTTGGCCATCATTCTTCGAGTGTCTGTCATTTCCAAATGTATCAATAACGTTGTAGTGTAGTGTAAACAGGTGTGTGTGTCAGCTTCTGTGCAAGAAAGAGAAAGTGGTATGTTTTAAAATGGTATCGTGAGATTTTATGAAAAGTGAGCTTGAGAACTACCGGTAGTGCACCGTTCCAATGAGAACACAAAAGGCTCATTCTATGCTTGTGGGGATATATCGCTTACATTCAAAATTCTGTGTCCTGTTTCCAGTGTTAAATGTTATCCGAACCTTTTGATAATTCATTGAGTTCGCTGCACTCCCAGATAAAATATTATTGACGATCGTCGTTTTGGACCACGTGATATTGACGTATGCCACTGCTTGACCGAAAATGATGTCATCCGCCGATTTCCACGAGATTAGAAAAAAGCATAGAAGTACCTCTACCGCCGACGAACTTCTGGGAGAAAGAATCGCAGATTGCGGCAATATCCATGCGGAACACAAGGGGGAGAGAAATATTCCCTTTTTCACGGAATTCGTAAGTAATAGTGTCAGCAGTACGTTACTCCTTACTTGCGAATTTAGCGAAACACTAGCTAGAAACGAAGGATTGAATCCCAGCTTGCCCTATTAGCCACCGCGCATGGAACAGTATTCCCTTCCTTCACACTAGCTAGATTCGTTCTTCCTTCGAAGACCTACAGTAGTCTTGTGAAGGAGAATCAATCCTACCGTAGTTGCGCCCCATAATCCTCAGCGGTAGTCGTAAAGCAGGAGGGGGGCGGAGGAGGGGGGCATAGATAGAGAGTAGTTAGAGAGTAGTCCTAGCCACAACCAATATTCCATTTCGCACTTAGAGTAGTTGTTGCGCCCTAAGATGTTGAAGGTACCCGTCAACATTGAAGCACATGCAATTTGGAGGAGGACGACGACGACGAGAACCTCAAAGAAGGCAATGAACCACTTTTGAACTTTTCTACAAAATCATAGATCTAACGTTGGCTTGCTCTCCATTTATAAGACCACTCGTTGGTCTTCATTCATCTTTGTTTAGAATAAGGTTATCAGAACACGCCTCGTTATTAATACCAAGTATCATGTCAATCAACATTATATTATACAGTACCTATACTAGGTTCCATTCATAACAGTGCCGTACATTACGTGAACCTCTTTCGTTTTCGATCGGATCCGTGACTGAGCGCGTCAGTCACTCGGATACAACTCCCGGCATGCGACATGAGCGATGTCCAATCCCGAATTTTTCTGCCGGGAATAATTCTAAGTATCTATATATTTAGCGATTCGCGCCTCTAAACTTGTCGCAAACTGGTAAGTAGAAATAGGCGTTGGCTGTTCATGTGCACGTGACAAGTGTCGTACCACGACCGAACACCGAGACTGTTCGGAATTTCTTGGCCATTTGCTGCCGCCACTTGGAAACATATCTCATCAGAATCACCTATCGTGTGAAAAAAAAATTAAAGCAGAAGAACTGTATAGTGACCATGATACTGCAGCCCACCACAACCGAAAACACGACGACACCGACAACGCCAGCAATCACATCCAATAGTGCCTGTAGAAATACCATGGTTGACACGACCAATAATACCTGTAGGAATTCAAATACCATCAACAACAACAGTACGAATACGCATACGATTCAAACTCAGACTGCTGCTTCCTTTCCCCTTCTACCACCTCCCACTGAAACTGAGGCTGACAACATGCTGGATTGTCCCATTTGTCTGAATGCCATGACAGAATCGGACATTCAGCACCCGCTGCAATGCAAATCCAAACACTGCGACTACAACTTTTGTATGCACTGCATCGAAAATCTTGTAGCAGCTTCGAAAGATGACTTTCAAGAAGCCAGCGATGGCAACCAACATGTCAAGATTTACTTGAATTGTCCCAACTGTAGAAGCAATCTATCCGAGACTATCCGAGACACTTTGCTGATACGCAAAGCCGACTACCTAGTATCCCCGCAAGGCATTCGATGCAAATCAACGTGGACACCTTCCCAGCAACGTTTGCACTCGGTGCTTCACCACGAAGATATTAAACAAGCCATTGCCAAGGCACGGCACTATGAAGAAGAGTTTTTGCGGACTCATCACATTAGTATTGCCGAAGAATGGTCACCGCTGAACTCTTACGATCACTTGTCGCCTCTGAATGCAAGTGATACTCTTTCCACAGTGTCAGACAGTGAAGGGGACTATAGCAGCAAGGAAAATTATGATCATTTTGCGCTGAATGATGGATATTTCTCTCCTGACGAGTATGACGATCATGATAGCGATGATGATGATGATGAAGCATCGGATGCCGAGGACGAATGTGGATTTGAAATGGATTTGGTACAAGGAGTACACAAGTCGTTTCGACTACCAAGGACAGAGCGTCTGTTGCAAAAGACTGCAAAAGTCAGAGAAGATATGATAGACAAAACTCTTCTGAGAGGATTAGCTCCGGTGATGACCAAGGCTGAACAAAAGAAGGCAACTCAACTCATGGTTTCCGGAGATGTCTCCAAACTGGTGGAAGCCGCCAAGATGCTCCGAAGTATGGAGCGAAACACAAGGCGAGGAGTCACCAGATGTCAGCTCGTCAAGCGAAGCAGCATTTACGGTCTCATTGATGAATGCGAACAAGCCCACAATCGCCGCAAACCAGCAATCACAGCAAGACCCTCACTCCTCACACCACCACCCATGCCTCGACCCAATCCCGTAACGCGGGGACAATCGTGTGTGCGCAACTTGGAAAATGCCGAGTTCTTACAAAGCCATCCTCTTCCAGTGCGCATGCCCAAATATGTGGAATTTGAATTCTCGGATTTGCTGGGACCCTGCCAGTTGCCCTCTTTGGTAGGGGCTGCTGGTTTCAGCAGCGTGGTTTCCAGTTCCCTCTTTCCGGCCTGTTTTGTAGACGACGTTTGGAATGGAACCATCAGGGATGCCTATACTCGCACCACACTCATGCCACTGACGGGGTCCATCGTCCGCCACGAACCACCACTGAATCATAAGGGTGTTTTAAATGTCCTCGGAGAAGGAATGCTGGATCAAGATCTAGGCGTTGGACGATTTGACGTTCCCAAGTCCAGAGTCATGATCCATTCCCTCCAAGGCGGAGGTTCGGCTGGAAAGCAAGGAATTCTCCCAGGAGATGTGGTGACCCACTTGAATGGCCAAGAATTCCATGGTACTGCCAAGGAACTGATGAAAGCCATTGAGGCAAGTGTTGGTTCTTCCAACCGCAATTGTGCTGACTTTGGAGAATGCTGTGTTTCGCTGGTACTCAACGCTGAAGCTCCCATTGCCGAGGCCTTACGACGAAGAGGAAACGTTGCCTGTTTGTACACGTGATAGTCCTAATTTATTGTGATGTACTGGCAAAAGGAACAGTCCTAGGGTCATGTATCGTGGAACTTCATAAGCTATATTCTTTCATAATGCGTGTATAAAAATTGAATAAAATCATTCTGGAATTGACTTTCGTTGTTTATTTTCTGCATGCGAAATCTAACTGCTGCTTCCCGCCTGCTCCGTCATTTCCACAACTTCAAATCCACGCTCCACTTCTTCCAATTCCAAATCATTCATTTCCACATTCTGTTGTTCGTTCAATCTCTTCAAAGCTTCTACCTGCAATTGAATTTCTTTTTGATAACCCTCCTTGCCATAGTCCGTGGGGGCCGTTTTCTGGAGCGAGCGCATCTGGGCAATCTTGTTGAGGATCAGTTCTCGTTGTTTGGAATACTCTTTGGGACCCAGTTTCCCAGCTGGTCGGACATGAAGGGTGGAATACATACTCCTGTATTTGTAAATTGGAATCTGTCTGCTTGGCAATATGCCAAAGTGAAATGGCGAAGAATAAATGGGGCCGGCCTCCCCAACGCGAATTTCGATTTGCAGTTTTGCCATCGGAGATGTCCACGATGAAGAACCGTTGGATCCAGGATTCGTCTGCCTAAGAAAACGTTACAAAAATTCTTTTATAATATCGTTTACATGATATCCTTGCAGTTGACATATATAGTCGATATAGATAACCAAAATAGGAAGCGTTGGATGCAGTTCTTTATCAAAGTCGTTGAGAAAGAAGGAATTGCAGTGTCAACCCTCTCCTCTCATTCATAAGCTTTTTTGGTGCCAGCCGCCATAGCGTAATAACCAACACTGTTTTGTTGGTCCATTGTGACGGAAATTGTGGTGAGGGAGGTCTTTCTGTTGAGGTTCTCGTCTTTTTGGCTCTCATTCAACGCGAGTGGGTAGTAGTACCGGTAGCTTTCGCTCCTCTTTCAGCGCTTGCATTCGGGAGACATCAATCGTCAGGCTGAGTCTCAGTTTGAAATCATTCTACACACTTTTTCTAGTCCATTGCATTCAATATCAGTTGGGTCCTCGAATGATTGGCAAAGTCCGTCATGAAACCCAACGCCAGGTGCAGACCCAGGAGACACAAGACACCCGCAACTTCTTTCCAGCATGCCATTAGTTTGTACTCGCAATCAGTTAAGCATCCATGAGAAGGATGATCTTTTTCCAAATCCATGTCCATTGTGGAGGTTGTCGTATTGGCTAGTAGTACTCGGAAGGTGGACATGTTGGTAGCTTGACCTTTATAGTGTGGTGTTGCAATAATGGGTCTCTTCGCACTGTGTTTGATCGGATTTTTAGCAACGAAGTTCAAAAAAATGGGAGCGTCACGAAACTGTTGATGTGGGTGCGACACGAATGGGCCAATCGGCGTTGAATCTGTCACAGCAAAATGGAGAAAGGAGTAGGAATAAAAATGGATTCTTCCGCTTCATGTGGCGTGGGATGGACGGAAGCAAATTCGATCAGTTAGACTACAGATTCAAGATGACATGCTTTTCGATTCCGATTCTCGCAAAGAATGGTAAAACTTCCCATGTCCAACACAGTAGCACGAGTATAGTATGAAAAGAACAACGAACCAAAATGACAGAACCAACTCCGACAACTACTACCATCCCCATCATATACTTGAATGATCCAGACGAAGCATCCAACGTTGCCAAACTGAGACAATGTTGCTTGGAACATGGTTTCTTTTATTTGGGAGGTCACGGAATGGAAGATATCTTTCCGAAAATGTTTGCCGAATCCCAGCGACTCTTTGAATTGTCACAAGAGGAGAAGCTAGGGTTGTATGACGCCAAAATGAGTCGAGGATACCAGGCCCTTGGATCCGAAACCTTGGATCCAGTCTTGTCCAAGCATGGCGACTCCAAAGAAGGATTTTACATTGGCAATCACATTCCTGTTACTGACAAACGATACAATCCAGCCAAACTCAAGGGACCCAATGTATGGCCTACTGCAGACAACTGTTCTTTGGAAAAGCCTACACAATTTGTCGACACCATGCAAGAATACCATTCCAGGGCATCTGCAGCTGGTTTGCAAGTCATTCAATTGCTAGCTCTGGCGCTTGGTTTGCCGAACAAGCATGATTTGGACCACAACTTTACCGAAAATTGGGCCACGGTACGATTGTTACACTATGCCGCCGTCCAAAGCCAACCCCAAGAAGGATTGTTTGCCTGTGGAGCCCATTCGGATTATGGAATGATTACCTTGCTGCTCACGGATGAGAATCCGGGATTGCAAATTCTGAGCAACCAGGAATGGGTGGATGTTCCACCCAAAAAGGACTTGTTTGTTGTGAATTTGGGAGACATGTTGGAACGATGGACCAATGGTATGTTTCGTTCGACCATGCACCGGGTGGTGACGACTGGTGATCAGGAACGGTATTCCGTGCCCTTTTTCTACGAACCCAACTTTGATGCCCCTGTGGAATGTTTGTCCGTGTGTTGCTCGGAAGAGAATCCGGCCAAGTATCCACCCACCACAGCGGGCCAACACATATTGGACAAGTACAATCAAACCAGAGAAGATTTCAAGTCGGATTGATTGTGAATGTAGCTACAGGTACATATAATAGGTCAAAGCTGATTTTATTTATTATAAAAAAATAGTAGGAATAGTAGGTAGGTGAAAAAGGCAAAAACGAATGGTTGGTCTCAAAAGAAAGAAAATTTCGCTCCACTAAAGGAACGAGTCTAATCGGCTAAGCCATTGTATGAACGAAGGACCAACGTTGCTTGTGATATTGTTTTCAAGTTTGTTCTATATTTTACATAATAAAAATTGCATAAGATTTACTTCATAAATACATGTTTTGTGTGTGGAATAAGCATTCAAAAGAGGAGATACACAAATTACATGGTGGGTTGGAATGATCCAGCACCATTCAAACCAGCACCTCCTGATTGCAATGACGCAAACAAGCTGGGTGGGAGTCCCGCCATAGAAAATGCAGACATGCCTCCCAAGGATGCTCCGAGTTGAAGCAATTGGGTAGGAGTCAACGACTGGTGGACACCAGGTGCGCCAGTGTTCATGGCCTTGACAGCGGCAAGGGCATCTGCCATGCTTGTCTTGGGAAAGTTTGTGGTGGCAGCATTGGTTTCATCCCCTTGCTGGCCCATTCCGAGACGATCATGCAAGGAAAATTGTCCTCGCAAGGCAGCATTTTCGTGCAGGGCGAGACGTTCTCGTAAAATGGCATCTTCGTGAAAGGCAAGTCGTTCTCGAATCGTGGCATGCTCTCTCATGGCCATTCGCTCCCTCAAAACGGCATCGGCAGTTTGTCCTCCCCAAGCTGCGAGTTCTCGAAGAGCAGCATTCTCTCTCGAGGATGCCGATTGACGTTCTCTCAATGCCGCATGTTCTCGAATGGCAGCTTCGAGGTAAATATCATTCGTAGCACTGGGAAAGAGCGATGAGACTGCGGGTGGATAGGCAGCCAGTGGTCTGGCAATGCCAGTCTCGGCTGCCGATGGCTTGGCGATAGCAATGGCTTCCTTGAGGGCAGCTTTGCCTCCTACGGTATGGGTAGTGGCATTGTTTGCATCACCACTACCAACAATCCTTTGGAAAGGAACATTGCTCACTGGCAAAGTTCTGCGGCGTTTGGGACTATCTTCTTCTTCCCCTGAGGAAGAGGAGGAAGAACAAGACGTAGTCTTGCTGCGAGCAAAACCAATGGGAAGTTTACGTCTTCGACTGGCCATTGACTTGGCATTTGCCGCGTCGGCTTCTGCCGAATCGAGCTTGCCAGGAAAGACCAATCCACTTTGTTGTTGCTTCTTGTCAGCCTTGCTCTTTTTCGAGGGAGTGGTTGTTTTGGAGGAGGAAGCAGCAGCAGCAGCAATGACTTCTTCGCCCATATTGGCCTTTTCTCGCTTGGCCTTCTTGTCAGCAATCGCCCTTCTCAGGACATAGCCAACGCGTTCTCTGGCTCGTGTCATGCCAATAAAGTGCCACCGTCCAGTAGCCTTGTCTCGATTGACAAAGCCTGTCTGCGTGGGACTGCCAGCCATCACCGTGAGGACAATTCGATGAATGACTACGGATCGTTCCACCTTGGTGGTGCACTTTTCATAGTTTTCCAATTGCTGTTGGCACAATTCCAAGAATCGGGCATTGCCAGCTGCAAAGAGAGAGGATAGTGACAGTTGTGACAGTTGTGAGTGAGCGATCGAGTCAGTGTGCAGTGTGCATGTTTTTCGTGTGACTCTTTGGCAGCAGCTAACTTACAATGTTCTTTGCTCTTGACCCATCCGCATGGAATGGTAATGTCCCACTTGGATGGTTCAAAGTCTGCGGGTAACGGAAAGGGCTTTTCTTGATTCAATAATCCTCCTTGCATCTTGCTTGTTGTCTTGGTGTTGTTAGTGTTTGGTTGTTTGGTTGTTTGAAGTAAGTTATTACTGTTGTGAATTTCGCTTTTTGTAGATTATGAATCAAGCGCTGAGAAGAAGTTGGGAGAGCTGACTTTTCCCGCAACCCTTTGCAATCAATCCATTGGGCGGACAAAGTCTACTGGAGACAATCATTTTCACGTGTGTTCGTTCATCTATTCTCCAGTCAAGAGTACAAACAGACCCAGCGCAGATGTCCCTTGCCAGTGGCTACTTAACACTTTCCAACAGGTTTTTCTGTTCACCGCTTAAACTTCTGGTCAAGAAGTGTTTTTTGGTACCAATCAGACGACATTTCCTTCCTGGCTTCTGCGGTTCTCCGGTTGTCGTGAACGTTTCACTGGAGATAGCCAAACTGCATCGTTTCTGTGCCTTCACACTTATAAAGCGGGTAACAGATTGACTCTTTCGCATTAATTATTTTGTATGGGATCAGATAGGTGTTTTTTCTAATTAATTCTTCCTGTACAGCCGCACCGATTTTCCAGTCTCCTTTAACACTTGATCGGAACCGAAGAATGGAGATTAATCAAATGGCGCTTCTATACGTTTCGGGAAGAGGAGGGTCGGCTAATTTTTAATTAAAACAAAGATGTAATAAATTTTATTTCGGTTTATTCGGCCGGTCTATCTTGGGCAGTTCCAGTTTCCGCTCGGACTTGAAGCAAAAGTCGTCCCACATGACACGCTCCCTCACTTGAAAGTGAAGTCCCACGACACGCAACCTTGGTTCAAGTGAAGTCCCACGACACGATGGTTGATCGCGGGACTCTTTGGTTTTCCATCGAGCGAATCCACTGGAATATCATGTTCCTGCAAATGGTGACTTGTACCCGCCCAGCCGGGTACACCAAGCTGTAATATCGTTCCAGCTAATAATGAGCCCGAAATGAGATACAGTGTTTATATAAGGAACCCGCCCTTTTCTTCCTTCGGTTCCGTCGGGAGCCGGAACGAAGAATCAAGTACAAGTGACACATTGTTTCGACTGGCGTGGCAGCGGACATACCGTACACTCACACAGACTGTCGTGGTTCACTGGGATCCTTTAGTAAAACGAGAAGTTTTATTTATTAAATACTACCGCCAGTAAAACATTTATTGCAGGTATGCAAGTATTAATACATATTATAAAAAAGACCGGTAGGGGTACGTAGGGGTAGTAAGCCAGGTCTACATTACTTGAATCACTCTTGCTTGAATCCTTGCTTGAATCGGCAGTTGCTGTCTTATTCGACTGTTCTTACTTGTGTGGAGAAGGGACGGTACTGGTACCACGGACCGGTACCCTGGTACCGGTAGGAGTTGTGCGAACGCCCAAAAGTAAAACTAAAGAATGCAATAGGTATATCGTAATGCAACATATTGAATATATATTATATACAGTACTTCTATAGAGTAAAACAATTTACTCCTGTACAATGTGAATTTTCATTCTAAACCGCGAAGTTAAAAGTTTCATGTTGCAACCGCGCCTTTTCAAACTTATTCCTCTTCATCAATCATAATGTTTGCAAGGAAAGCGGAACTGACGTACACTACAGACTCAAAGAAGAGGTACTCGAATTGGTGGGCACCAGCTACATTTCGTGGTGTGGCTGGATCAGTCGTGGTATCCAACGAGACTGGACACATTTTGAGAGTTCCAGAGGCAGATTCCAGCTCGGTACTTCCTCCAGTGATAGTCAATTGCGAGATGGGCTTGGCAAAGTTCAAACGACCCTCGCTTCGAAAGGCCGCCGACACGAATCCGTCTTTGGCAATCACTTCAATGTCCATGGAACAGGTGTAGGTTGGGTCTCCGACGGAAGTGTGGGCGCAGGTACCTTGGGCTCGTCCTCTCACGGTTCCATAGACATCGTGAACCTCTCGGTCGGCAAAAATAAAGACGCCCTAGTGTGTGATCACCAACATTAAAAAGGTTAGCTTCTTGATTCAATACTATGCATGTCAAATACCAAAAAATCACATCCATCAATCCTCAAGAACAGCAAACTCACCTCTATTGAATCCACTTGAAGATCAATATATCCTCGAATGACCACACGGGTTTCACTCGTGTCATCGTACATTTGAATGAATTCATCTCCTCCAAAGTATTCCATCTTGCGGGCGCCCCATTGTCTACCAAACAACGTAGCAGCAAATTGACCGGAAAGACTGGTGGAAGTATCCAAAATTTCCACAGTAGCGTCGGGGGTTTCAGAAAAGTAGTTTGGATCACCCAATCGGCGTTTGGTGGTGGTGCCGGGTCGTGCCTTTTGGTCAGCATTTGCAGCACAGCATTGGGATCCGAGGATCGTGGCAATGGTCAGCAAGGTAGTGGTCTTCATGGTAAGTAGTAGTGAAATAGTTGCAAACGTCTTGTTGGAATGAATGCTATACTGCAACGTTATTGAGAGCACACTTGCGGTTTCGTCCAGAATTCACATCCCAACGATGAGATTTATGCGTTGGGAGTAGCCGGCAGGCGATTTTGATAGGGAATGGGTGCGCCCATGGAATTCCGCTGGTGCACGAAAACTCGCAAATGGCGAAAGGAGAAGAGGAAGTGAATGGACAAATACGAATGACAATAATAAAAACAATAGCAACGCACACAACGCAACAAAATTACTGTCAATTGTAATGTCGGGAGCATGCAATGGTCCATATCCGAAAACAAAGTTGGAGCTGGAATCTTGATTCGGACACTTCGACATGTGAATAATTCAATAGGAGAAGAGCCTAAAGTTGGCGACATTGTCATCGTAAGTGTAATTCGACCATTTATTACAGATGGACGAGTCAGTGCATATTTAGTGTTTCATAGAATGACATTTTCTTGCGTATTCTCATTTTCCTGAGTGGTTTAGGTACATTGCGAGACGTCGTTGGAGGATGGGCCGCTTGTTGATAGCACAAGAAAAAGAAAACAGCCTCTGGAGTTTCAAGTTGGGGCTGGCGATGTGATCAAAGGCTTGGAAGTTGCAGTCCAACGAATGCAGGTTGGTCAGCTAGTGGAAGTAACGGTCCCTCACATTTATGCATACGGTACCCGAGGCCGTATGCCTGAGATTCCATCAGAAGCCACAATTGTGTTGAAGGTGGAGCTGCTAGAGATCATCCCACAAAAATCTTAGTGATGTGATTGACACAGATATACTTTGTTTCATTGCTGAAAGCTTTATTGAGTAATAACAACATTGACATGAACTTATCTCAATCAACCTAAAGCACACTTTGTGTATTACTATTAGCACACAGTATAATTAATTTTACTAGTGAGCGTATTGGGAAACAACAATTCCCCCAATGCCACCTAGTTCCTAATGGATTGTGCTACCGCCCTTTAAAAATACCAGAAAACATGATGGTATCGGGCAACGAGCCATTGGAGCAAACCTCATAAAAGTCTTCAATCACATTGGGTCGCACTGCCAGGTCGGAAGGCTTTGCGGCTGCATTAGTAGCATCCTTGTTCTTTTGCCCAAAGTGAAAAAATCGCGACAGTCCAGCATCCTTATTGTTTTGCTGGTGATTCTTATTGTTGCTGGTCGTTGTTGGAGAGTCCATAACAGAAGTCATATAGGAGTCTGGAACAATCGCGCCTTCGTCCCATGTCGGTTCGACCTTGCATCTCTTATTCTTGTTGTTGTTGTTCTTACACTTGTTGTTGTTGTTGTTGTTGTTGTTTTTGGACATGACAATCCCTTCGAACACGCCTTCGGATCCAGCCGAGGAAGGATAGCTCTTTTCTTCTGGCGAAATGCTTCGTCGCTTGGGTTTGGATGTTTTGGTCGTCACCTTTTTTGGTTGCGTATTCTTCATTTCTTCCTTCTTTTCTGCCACAGAACCCAAATCCACGATTGGTTGCTGTTGTTGTTGAAAGCTGGCTACCTCTTGTTGGAGCACCACCACCTTCTCGACCGCCTTGCACAATTTTTCTCTTGTCATTTCCAATTCGTTAGTCCGACTCATCAACTCGTCTTCCAAAACATCAATACGTTGTCCCATGCGGTCGACCGAATACATTTGCGCTCGATGCAGTTTGGCAATCTTGTCCTCGTAAAATTTGGTCATCTGTTGTTCCATGGTGGCATTTCGCTCTTGACTCTCCCTGAGTGCTTGCTCCAATAGGACAATTCGCTTGGCAGCCACGCTCATCATACGACTTCCCATTTCGATCCCATGCATGTATTCCCCCTCGGCATCCTCTGGCCTTTTCTCAACAGGAGCAGGCGCCATCACTCTGTTGCGCCTGGTTGTTCTTGGTTCCAGTTCTTCTTTTTCGGCCTGTCCTCCTCGTTGTTGTTGTTCCACCATTGCTGCTTCTTGTTTATATTTGATTTCGTGCTTGTAGGTAGACAATAAGGACCTGCAGTTGCAAAAGAGGAATGCGAATTGGCGCAATAAGCGTGATCATGACGATGCGATTCATTCATTCGTTCCAATAAGATATTTTTATGATTAAATATACCATGCGTGTCGTGTAAGAGTTGCCGAAAACGGCAAATTCCGCGACGAATTGTGAGTCGAGTTTCGTCTATATAAATAATATATACGCATTGAAACCTACAGTACATACATAGTATTGTATGTCCGTCAGAAACTACCGAGTATATGGCGGGACACGAGCGGACTGCCCGAGAATTCTGTTTCGGACCAACGACCCCAGCATTTGGTGGAGCAAATAACAACCACAATGCTGCTGCTGGTACTCCCGAAGGTGAAACAGTTGGCAATTCCAATCTCCCAAGGACCAGCAGTGAAGACGACCAATGGCCAATACGATTACACTTGTCCGTACCACTACTAGGTCCTACTGACTTCTATTGTGTCAAATTTGTTGCATCCGCCATGTTTCAATCGTGGTATGATATAGCGGGCTATATATGTATATATTATTTATTATAGTATCGAAATAAGAATATTTCTATACTATCTAATTTATAGGACCTTCTATTATGGGTAGCTAGCTAGCTGGTGTATAGCACTATAGGACTAATCTATGTAGTTTTACATATGATTTGTTCCTATAGTCGTTCGTTCTGATCAATCATCAAACTCATCATTCGTTCGGGGGCATCCTGGTAGGTAGGGAGGGAAGAACAACAAAAACAATGCATATTACTTTTAGGATAAAAAATCTCCTACTAGTTTACAATACATTGCACAGAAAAATTGAATGGTGTATGTGGTCGGTATGTAGTAGTATCCAGCCTACTCACTCTTTTACTTTTTGTCACAGAGTAGTCGTAGTAGTAGTCGTAGTAGTAGTACTTTATCATTGACCACTATATATTCCAAGCATCAAATTCTTCCATATGTCTCTCTGCTTGATCCATGAGCCGTTGCAATTGATGATTTGGCAATTTCAAAATTCTGTCGACTGGATATTTGCCAAAGACATCCAACAGGGGTGTTCGAAAGAACAAATTCTTGACGGGTGTCGGCAAGTGTTCACCAAACGAAGCGAGGGGTTGGGTCGTCGTTTTTCGTCTTCCTCCTCCTCTTGGCAGTGGCAGCGGACACAATAAGGAACCATTCGGCAGTTGACGACATTGACCACACGATTGACCTGCTAGAGTAGTCTTGCGTTGATGAATTTCATAAATCAACCATTCGGCTCGAGCGTATTCTTGAGCTCCCATGATTTGCTGGAGGACTTGGCTCCGTTTTTGGGAAATCCGACTTGTTTCTTGACGCTTCTTTTGTTCTCGTTGATTTCGCAACTGGTACAAGACGACTCGCATTCTGGATTCCAATGTCTGCAAATCACAATAGGATTCAAAGGAAATGGCCGATTGGTACAATCGTTGTTCCAGCATGGACGCCAATTTCCGTAGGCTGTCACGTGATTTGGATGGTTTCATGTCATTCTTATTGTCTTGGGTTCGAAGACACATTTCACTATATGTATATATGTGTGTGTGTGTGTGTGTGTTGGGGTAAAGGATTAGGAATGAATATATAAGAGGGAAGGATGGATAACATGCAGTTAGCGCATTCAATTGCAAGGCAACACACAATAACCCACTGCAAACTTATTTCGATAGAACATTAACTTATAATATAATATAATACGTACAGTAATTTTGTCATTTCCCTTCTCATTTTGGACTCTTGTTCTTCCCTTTTGACTTGCGCAATACTTTTAGTCTTCGTATTATCATCATCCTTGCTATTGTCAATGAGATTAATGGCACTGAATTGATGGTGAATGTCATCAAAGAGAGACAATTCATCATCGTCTACCTGTTTTCCACCCCAAAGGGGCATGGTTAGAAAATTTTGATCGAGCGGACTTGTCGATGAGGAAGTGGTGGTGGCGGTGGTGGTGCCACTGCTAGTGATTTGGTCAGCAACGGTGATGATTGGTTCCTCATGGTTCATCGTTAGCGGTAAGGCAACAATAAGGCTCATTTACACCTGCGGTGTCGTTGCACGAAAAAAAAAAATATGTTAGTCCGAAAGTGATCATCACGCTGTACACTTTATTGTATGATGTGCGTGTGGAATAAAAAAAACTCCGCCGCCATATTGAATATTGCATACGTGTACCTGGTACCATAATACATATTATGCTTGCTTGCTTGCGCAAAAAAAAAAGGGAGTTCCGAAAACGCCGAAAGGGGGAAATAATGGCCTTTCATCTTAGGGGGTGTCACAAAAATTATTACCCCGGCATTGCTGAACCAAAAAAGCTTTCTCTGATCGTGAGAAGCGCTTGATCAGAAGCATTGTGGACAAACGCGACATCATTGGTAGGATCCTCGTAGTTTCAAGTTTTCTTATTGGGGTCTGCCACCAAGAATATAATTTTATATAATACGTCACACGTGTGGACTACCTGGTTCTATTTTTTTTGTCAAAAGTGACGGAAAAAGACCACTGCCAGGTCGAAATTTCATTCGAATTTATAGACCAGAAGTTCGCAGGAAGCCTTTGGAAAGGCTCCTTCCTGTTTCCAAGGCACCGCACGAACCAAACCGTGATCTGTCCGATCTTCTCAAAACCCGATCCCGTCTCAAGAGTCAGCAGAACAAAATACTCAAAACACTCAAAATACACCCATAGTATCAATTCAAACAACAAACGAACCAAACATAAAAAAAACACAACCAAATAACCACCATGATGAACAACGATAAAAAGCAAGCACCTAAGGGAAACTCTCCCATCTACAGAAGCGTCAAAATGGCGTCCAGCAGCATGGCACCACTGCCATCGGTGCTACGATCGCCCTTTCAACAAGACTTGGGGAACGGCAAGCAACAACAACCGCATCAACCCATGCTGCGACACCAACAACAGCAACAGCAACAGCAGCAGCAAGAATCATCGAAGACGTCTTCCAGCGACCATTCGATTCCTTCGCTTTGCAGTCCGTTGCCTTGCGTTCCCGCCGAATACATGTTGGAACGCAATCAGATTCACATTCAAAGCACGCCACCCACCGAAATTGCCAATCTGGTGGTGGAATCTCTCCACGTACGATCCTACACGATTAGTGAAACCTCCAGCGAAATCAAGGTATGTAAACTGAATGTTAGACATGGTGTGTCGTTGTGATGCCATGCTGCAAACCACATCCTCACACTCATCTCACACTCTCTCCTCTTTCTTCTACTTGTTTAGAACGGCATTCGGGCTGAGAGTGACAAGGGATTGCTCTTTCGAGTCAATTTCTTCAAGGACAATTCCACGAATGGAGTCTTGGTGGAATTTCAACGATTGGCAGGATGCTCCTATGAGTTTCAACGTGCCTTTCAAGCTGTCCAACGGCATGTTACCTTGAGCAGTAATACTACCTCTGCTGCTGCTGCATCATCATCATCATCATCATCATCATCATCACTGTTGCCAACAGAACCAGAAAGAGCAAACGTGATTGCACCAGTCATGCAAGAATTGAAATTCCCCACGTGTTGCATTCCCCCACAAGACATCAACCAACACAATGCTACCGAGAAACTTCAAGAGACCTTTCACATTGCCTTGGATCTCATGCAATCGGAACGAATCGATTCTCAATTGTTGGGTTTGGAATGCATGGAACCACTCTCCATGAAACACGAGATTTTACCATTGCTCTTTGAACAAGAATCATCTTTGGAGGCACTGCTCAAGTTTTGCACGCCACCCAACGAAGCACTCTCTCAACTAGAACAACAACAAGATTGTTTGCTCAAGAGACGAGCCCTTTCCATTCTTGCCAATGGCTTGGAATTGGCCACCACACCCAACGTTATGGACTCGACCGATCAAGTCTTGCAAACCTTGCTCGAGTGTCTCTTTGCTTCGGCCAACAAGGATGCTCATCAATCCTTTCAAGTGGCACGATGCTTTATTGAATTGAGCAAAGAAGACGAAGCCTCTCAAGCCATTTTGAAAGAGTCGCAAGTTTTGCAGATTTTGACCCAGCAAAAACATTTGGCATTGGAACAAGAATGTCAAAAATTGCAACAAATCTTGTCCGATGAGAGTTGATTCATTCATTCAATTGATTCTAGTTCTATAATTATTATAATATTATTATTTTATATTATATTAAAAAAAGGGATTATAAAAGGAATAGGACTACCAATACGAGTAGAGCTCGCTTGATACAATTTTGTAATTTTTTTACTCTAGAGTGTTACTTTATCCTACACGGTGTGATGTTCCAACGCGGTATTGTATTGTATTTTACACTGGTTATTTGGCGAATGGAGAATGTGTAGGTATATGACTATGACTGACATGAAGAATAAAGAGAAACGGGCAAGACTGCAAATAATAATGACGACTGGAGCAATCAATAATATATATACTGTAGTTACTTTTTAGGGACCTCAAAAGATTGGACGCTGCATCATGGAAACGGCATGATGGAAAACTGCATGGAAACTGGACTAATAATAAACAAGGAAGGATGATGGAAACAATAATGAAAATTCTTACATCACATCTAAAGCATCCAAAGCATTTAGCTATTTTTTCAAATCCTTTGCTACCGTATCAGTTGTGGTGGTATCATTATTTATTATATATAATGAGTATCATAGTAACAGCTACACACACGGAATGTCTATCTATATTTTCATTTCGTGTGTCGAGAGCTGTCATACCACCACTACTACTAGTACTACTAGTACTACTAGTACTACTACTACTTGTTGCTGGATTTCAGCTTGTTGGACAAGGGCTTCAAATCCTTTACCATTTCCACCATGTTGGACTTTAAAGGTTTTGCCACCTTTTCGACCTTGTCGACCATGTCATTCAAAAAGTCACGAGACCGGGACCTAGTACGTTTGAGCCCATCTTTGCCAATGGTCTTTTTTCGACGGGTCGTGGACTCTGGTTTTAGCTCCTCCTCTTCAATGTCTTGGTGGTGGTGGTGGTGGTGGTGGTGGTCGTCGTCGTCGTCAGAAACCTCTGCTGGCTCCATTGGGTGGTGTTGGTGGTGGTGTTGGTTGTGATGATGACCCTCTTCTTCTGGTTCCATGGGTAGTTTGGCTTCAAACTTTTTGGCGCGTCGAGAGGACTTTGGCTTTTCGGCAGCAGGCGATGTGAGCAGAGGATCCTCGTCTGGGTCTTTTGAATGCTTGCTGGACGACTGACGAATCGATGATGGCGACCTGGAGCTGCTTCGGCTTTCGGAACGATCGAATCTTCTCTTGGGAGACTTGGAGCTGCTTCGAGAGGATGAGGATGGTGCGTCAGCCTTATTATTATTCTTGTCCCTCTTTTGTGACAATCCATCCAGCTTCTTCTTAAAGTTGGATGGAAATTTCGACTGATCTTGTTTCCCCAAGATTTCTTCAAACTTCCTCATGGATTCTTCTCTTGCTTCCAATTTTCTTCGCTGCATTACAGATGGTGATTTCGAAAGACTTCTACCCATACCAGATGAATCTACTTTCTTTCGCTGCATGGACGAAGGAGACTTTGACTTGGAGGGAGGTCTCAGTCTATCAGGTCGTTTTCCTCTCATTACCGGTACTCTTCCACCACCACCACTCTCATGATTGCTTTTGCTCAATAGGCCGGTACCTCTGCGACTATTTCCATGGTCACTTTTGCTGAGGCCTTCGCGCGCCGATCGTTTCCCGCGGCCCCGGCTTTGAACATGATCCGATGACGACATCCTATTGCCATCGAGTTCGTCATCACTGAGACCCTCGAGAACACTTTCACGGATTGCTTTTGTGTTGCTTGTCAACGCACTGAGAGAATTCGACCTCGCCTTTGTGCCTCCAAGTTTCGGCCTAGTGGGTCGGGGTCTACCTTTGCCGGACGACTTGTTGCTACCAACCGAGTCTGTTCGGACATCGGGACTGGCTTCGCCATAATCCATATCGAATGATTTCAATGAACGTGAAGAAGCCGATCTCTTTGATCTAGAATCACTTCCACTTCCAAGTGTCCCACTGGACTTTCGTCGTAAAAGTTTATCTCGAGTTTTGGGGTCAACCGAGCCAGACCTTGATCTTGATCTTGCAGCCTTGCTCTTGATTTTGATCCTGGTCTTCAATTCTTCTTGGGGGAGATCCTTTTCAACATCGGCATGGGATTGGTAAATCAGCTCCCTGTTTGTGAAAATTGCTTCGACTCGCTCCTCAATGGATATCCGCGGACGTTCTGGCTCAACATATTCATCATCGTCGGGTTCATAATCGACTCTACGCCCACGCTTCTTCTCAATCTTCTTTTTCTTGCCGCTTTTCTTTTTGCCTGTTGCTTTTTTGCCTTTCTTCTTCCGGCTGCTCTTTTTCACTTTTGTCACGCCTTCAATCGAATCCATTGACGCAATCGAGAAATCATCGTCAAACATGAGAGAATCATAACTTCCAGAGCTTTCTTCGGTACTAGTAGTGTCAGCTTCAGATTCAGCACTGGGAGTAGCTGGAGGAGTTGGAGCTGTCGGAAGTGCTTCATTCCAAGCGTCGCCTCCTTCCTCTTCACCATCACCCTCCAAACCTTTCTCAGCAAAGAAGTCCATGGTCTTGTTGAAGGCTTGCAAACGTTCTCTTTCCTCCCGAATTACTTTCTTTCGCTCCTTTTTGGCCATCAACTTCTCCTTCTTTGATCGGTAGGAGTGATCCACTAGCGGTCCTTGCTTGGATGAACTGTAAAACATGGGGTTGTACCTCGACACTGTGCCACTAGCTTCGTCTGAAACGTCCATCAAATACTGCTTCTTTCCAAGCTTCTTCTTTCCACCCTGCGGAGGAGTCGCAATGGCAACCACATCCGGGAGAGGAACGGATTCCTCGACAGGAGTGGACAATTGTTCAGGAGTTCTAGCATCAGGAAAAATCAGTTGCTTTTGGATTTGATCTTGTGGAACTGAATGCACCGATCCATTTCCGAATGAGCTACCATCTGATAGACTCTCTTCATCTATCCTGTCATCTGTGACAACCTTTTTCTTTGCTTTTGATTTTGTGGATTTTGAGCTTCCGACTTTGATTGTTTTCTTTTTTAGAGATTCAGGTGATTTCCAAATATAGTCTGGAACGCCAAGTGGGACCGTCGGTGGTGATTCCGTACGAATATTTGCATTTTGATAATCCGATTGCAACAAAAGTTCATCCTCAGTATCATCGTTCTCAGTTGCATCATGACCCTTTTCCAAAAGCGAAGATAGCCGATGCACCAAAACCCTAGATGCTTTGTTGCTCTCCGAGCTATGGCTGTCTGTATCACCCTGGGAATCGGCATCGGCTTCCCAATCGATAAGGTTTCGGGAATCAGCGTCAGACTCGTCATCAGAGTCTCCCGTAGGAAAGCTTAGATTAACTTCTCCAACCGACAATTCTGAGATTTCTGCTTCACTGAGACTCCCAACACTGCTAGCATAATTGATTCTCGGAACGCCATCCTGTGATCCATCTTCAGATTTTAGTGGAATGAGGACATCTTCTTGATCGACGAAGTCATCTTCAAAGCTCTCTTCTGATAATTGTGACTGTTCCGAAACTCTTTGTTCTGGGAAAGGCGGAGCAACATTATCTCTCTCCATCATCTGCCGGATAATACAACAGGGAATCCTCAAGGAGGTCACTACTATAGAAGGCAAGATCGATCTATGCGATGATGATGACAAATTGCCAAAATCTCAAAATTTTGAAGTACGTTTCTACACGAATTGCCTACCACAATCCAGAGTCATCATCCCACAGTAATTTTCTCAAGTTTATGTCGATCAAACCGATCAGCATAGGAACAATAAATATCGTAGTCTTCGTTTTCGTCGAAAAATACTTTTACCTCACGGAGATTTCTTCAAACTGATTGCATTTAAGGAAAGAATCAAACACTATTATCTTCTTTGGTGGTACTCATACCGGAAAACTGCAAAAAAATTAAAAATAGAATTGATTTCATTCCATTTCAATGTTGTTACAAATTTTCGATTACCTAAACATTCGATTACCTAAACATTCGATGGAGGAATCTAGACAGTGGCCTTGGTATTTGTTTCTGTTGTGGCGGAAACAGCTTCCTTTTGTGGTGCTGGTGTGGGAGCTTGATTTTCATCGGCAACTGGCTCCTCTGCTTGTGGTGTTTGTTCATCATGGCCTTCTTCAGCTGTGTTGTCGCCAGTGGCAGGTGCGATCTTGTTGGTAGTTTCTTCCTCATCTTGCCCAGCGCTTTGGCTGGATGGCTCTGTACTGCTGTCCGCTGGAGCGGCATCAGTAGCATCTGTTTCCGGCTCGTCCAACAAATCAGGAGGTGCCACCACAGAAACAGCACTTTCCTCCACAAACTTGCCCTTGGCCCATACACCTTGTCGTACCAACTTATCATTTTCATATTCCTTTCCTTCGCCATCAAATACACCCGATTCAAAGTTGCCTTCGTACCGATGTTTGCATGTTTCACGGGTAATTTGCTCGCTGGTTGGTGTCACCTTGCGAGTTTCCTTCACCGATTGCCACGTCAATTGGCCCTCGCCATTGTACATGCCAACTTTCCATCCACCTTTGTATTGGCAGGTCTTGTTATGAAATGTAAACGTTCCAAATCCACAGCGTTGTCCATTTTCAAAATGACCATCGTAGATATCACCATTGGGGTAGGTAAAGACACCGGGTCCATGTCGTTCATCGTTGTCATATTGCCCAACAAATTGTCGACCATCCTTCCAATAATAGGTCCCTTGGCCTTGTCGCAGATTTTGCTCATAATTTCCCTCATGGAAATCCCCAATCTGCACAAACAAGCATCGCCCATGCCCTTGCCTATGCCCAAACTCCCAAAAACCCTCGTGGACTCGATTCCCATCGTCGTACACCATACGACCCACTCCATGTGGCTTTTGACTGGCCACATGCAAAATCCCCGTGTATCGGCCTGGATTGTCTTGGGCATCCACCAGACTCAAATCGACAACCGCCTTGCAGGCAGAAGTACTCAAAAGTTCCAGTCCCTTGGTGCTGCCAGCGAAATTGGAATTGACTGGAGCTGCCGTACGACCTTGTTGACGCGACTGGGCGACATCCAAATCCAAGGGTGGTTGTGGAATGAGCAAGAATTTCTCGGCGTCATCCATTTTGACAGACTCGTCTGCGGGTTTTCCTTCCTTCCAGGCTCCTTCGTAAATCACTTGTTCCGTCAAGAGGTTCATCAATGTGCCTTGTCCTTCGTACTTGCCATTTTGAAATTCTCCCGTGTACTTGGTATGGGCAGTGCCCAATTCACCTTTTCCATGGTAGAGCCCTTCTGCCCAAAATCCGTCGTAATATCCTCCATCGACCCAAGTAAATCGTCCCCTGCCGGAACGATTTCCATTCGTGTATTGGCCGTGAAACATGTCATTTTGTGGATAGACGACACGAATCTTTTCTTCGGGCTTGTCGGGTTGAGTATGAGGCAAGTCTTCTAGAAAGGTTCCCTTGAATTGTCGACCATCTGATAATTTCCATTCGCCCTGTCCTTGTTTTTGGTTTTGGACAAAGTCACCCTGATACGAGTCACCGTTCATGTACAAGAGTCGGCCAAACCCATGTTTCATGCCCTTGGCCCAGAATCCTTCGTAGTCCATCATTAGTTCGGGATGATGTTGGTACTTCATGGTACCCACGCCTTCCGGGAGATTATCTTGCAAAATGCCCTTGTAGTATCCTTCGCGGCCTTCGCCGTCAATGCAAGGTTCTGGCTTGCTGAGTACGATTGTCTGTTGCTTGGGTGTTACCGGTTTGCTTGGAGTAACAGTGTCAATGGGGTCCATCAAAACGGGATCCTCTTCTTCTTCATTCGACGGTTGGTCGTTGCGCCATCGGCCTTCATGAATGACAGTGTCCGTCACTTTGCCCGAGGCAGCATCCTTAGTGTGTTCCGTTTCGACACCACGACCATGTCGTTGGCCACGATGAAAGTATCCTTTGTAGGTCTTGCTGTTGGGAGAATTGGCAGTATTGGATTCCAAGACACCATAGCCATGATATTGTCCAGCCTTCCATTCGCCCGTGTAGGTCAGACTTGGCGATTGGTAGACACCATGACCTTGTCGTTGGCCATTGTCAAACATACCAACGTAGGTAGATTCACTGATTACTTCCAGTTCTTCCGGCTCATTGGGAGCATTGTTTCCAGTGGGTTGCATAGTTCGCCAAATGTACTTGCCATGACCATGTCGTTGGTTGTGATGAAACATACCTTGATAGAGACGTTGTTTGTGATTGGCTCCGGTTTTCCATAGATATTCACCATTGCCATGGCGCTCATGTTGTACAAACTCTCCTGTATACGAATCGCCATTCTTTAAGAGACACATGCCGTGGCCTTGCCAGAATCCGCGTTCCCATTCGCCTTCGTAACTTGCGACAATCATATTTGGATTTGCCTGAACATTACTGTCAGATGTGACATATTTCATGGTTCCTCTTCCGTGAGGCAATCCGCTATCCACATGAATTTGACCAGTGTAAGAACCGGATTGACCGACGGCGTCGTTCATATTTTGTGCCGTCACTTGCAAAAAGGATGACGACGACATCTTAATATTTTCCAGTCGCGTATATTCTTTGCTGATGTCTTGGTTGCAAGGTTGAGAGTGCTTGGATGAAAGATCGGACAGCTTAGTCTTCTAGAGTAGGCGATGTTCTTGCTCGGTGAGGAATGAGATGAAGAAAACTTGGTTGATCTTCAATTCTTCTGAATAGTTGAAGCTGGCCTGATGGTTTGCAAAATAAAAACTGATCTCGTCGTGTACCGTATGATTATTTTGCGGCAAACCGGTTATTAGTCACGCCTTCCACTGCGATTTTTTTCGGAGTCGTGGTTCTCTTCGACTTCGATGGACAGACTACGGCAGGTACTGTTCCTACGGGACTTCTTGGGCCTATCGAAGGTTGACTGGCGTGCGAAACACATTCAACAAGATTCGACACGGAACGTCATGCGTCTCACTGTTTCAACACGATCGACGAACGGAAAATCGTCACCAAATTCCTAAACTGATGATGCACACTGGTGACGAGAAGTTCGGGAGCGAGGGCGGAAACAAGGGAAGAAACAAGGCGCACCCTCGCTCCCTTTTTACGAAACGAAACCAAACGATGCGCACAATCTGCGCGAAAAAGGTCGAAAACGAGGGAACGAGTGGATAAACGAGGGTAATCGGTACCAATCCTGGCGCAAACAAGGGAGCCCTGGCGCAAACAAGGGAGCCCTCCCTCGAACACTCCCTCGTTCCCTCATCTCATATTCATTTTAGCAATCCCTCGTTCCCTCGTTTACCACCATGTTCCCGTCCTCCCTTGTTAACCACCTTCCAGTTTAACGGTTCTCATATAGTCCGCAACTAAGAAGCACTGGCCATCCTATTTCTACGGTTCCATTTGAATTCAAACCTTTTGCTATGTAGTGCGTGCAATATTACAACAATGATAAAGGAAAATTAATTTACATTCGCTGTTACTAGTAGTACACATCTCATTTCAGTTCAACAGCAGATCATCACACTGTGTGTATGTTTCGCCTTGAATGCCTGGTTTCCATTCATGCTTGCGCCGCCAGTAAAGTGTTCAGTTGCGCTTGTGTGTTCATCAATCAAACAGTCTTGTTTGATCACACGTCGGAAGCCCTTCGAGTGCAATCAAAGTTTTTGACTAAAGTCTGGTTCGACAGTTGGACACTCAGCTTTCCCCCTAGTTCTCTGGCCAACGATGACACATCGAAACAAACATTATAAAATAACTGGCATCCTACCTGTGCAGTAATGTGAAATGATTGCGGTTAGTGCAATCCAGGAGATAGTCACTGCAAGCATCCTTGACTTACCGTCTCATGTACCAGACATCGACCTTTCCTGCGCCGCCGAAAACAACATTTTTCATTAGAAACGCCCTACGATGATCACTCACAAACCAAACTGTCACTTACACTGCGTCTTCATCCTGCGAAAGTTTCGAGTTATTGTGGCAAATTGTCAAGTTGCTTTGCGCTTGACGCGGGATATGACGAGTTTTTGTCTGTAGAATCTACGTCGACAGTTCATAAGTACCACTGTATCAGTAGCTATTATTTTCAAACAAGAATGTCCCGCTCAGACACTGAGTGGCAGGACATTTCATCTGTACGTGGACTTCGTGGGTTGGACACAATCGAGGATGCCAGCTTTTTTGAACTTTGTCAGGTTCAGATTTGCTGGCATGCTTATACAGTTATGCAAGCGTTATTTTACATAGAATATTGCGCGCGTAACGAAACAATAATTGGCGAAGAATCTATTCGATTCCTCTATACAATATTCACACATCCCATTTGTTCTACACTTGTCATCATCAGCATCACACCACATCGTCAGCAAACACAATAATCATCAGGGCCCATATATGGCGTGTTTGACAAAGGACGACTTTAACCAGTTTACAGCAGACAATTTCTTTGCCTGCAATGAATGTTCTCAGGATACGAAAGCCATCGTCCGTGATAAAAAGAGGAAATACCTTGCTGTATTCAAGTGCAGCAATATCAATTGCACCCGTGCTCCCGACCTAGTTTGGTACAAGTGTCGCGTATGCACCCACCAGAACCAACAACTTTCTAAAAGATTGGAGCAGCATCTGGGGAATAGAGGGCACCAATTGCAAGTTGCCGCCTTCGAGCGCCGCAAATCCAAAGCCTATGTGGAGAATGAATCAATCTGTGCTGAACCCGAACATTACTCCCAAAGTGGAGAGAAAATGGTGACAAGTACAGATTCTGGCTTAGCGCACCCAGCCGATGATAGCTATATGGAAAATGAAGCCCCCTTTTCTCATCTTCACGAGGATACGAGTCTGTCCCCATTTCTTGAAGATCAGATTTCAACTGTACAAGATTGGAGAAGACAAGTCATCTTAAGGAGTCCGCAACCAAATCTTGACCTTTCAGTCTACTTCCCCAACCGGGATGAAGCTACTCCAACAGAGGGACGCATTAGAAATCCTGAAAATGCTCAATACTACCAATGTAATCGGCAGAACTCTGGATATGGGCCGAGGCTTCTCACACTACTTGCCACCAAAGGCAGTGCTTCGGCGTCTGAACTCAAAGAGACTCCTGCTACCACTGCTCTATGGTGCATGCTTCTTGCAAAACTGTCAGATCGCCTTCCAATTTGTGATCAGCAGATTCTCGTTGTACTTTTGGCACACTTGTCAGCACAGAATCCTCTGCCCAAGTTGTTGCCAGTTCCAAAGGATTATGCGGAGCTGAGAAGGCAATTTATTTCCGGACGGTCTTCCATTCCCAACCTACTACCACGACCTATCATCCATAGCATGGACCACGGTTTTGCCTATGTGCCAATCCGCGACATTCTCCAGTTCCACCTAGCAAATGGTCAGCCCTTGGATCCATTGGTTGACTTACCCTATTGTTTTGGCAGGCTGAAGGCCCGAGCACTTCATGGCTCTTCCCCAAGAGGGAAGGCTCTTCTTGCAATTTCAATTGACCATACTAATAATCCGCAAGCTGGTACCAATGCACAATCAATGGTCAACTTTCCAACTGAAGTTGTAATTTGGTCAGATGGATTTGAAGCCAACAACACAAAGAAAAACAGGGGTTCTGCACATATTGTTCTGGTTTCTATTGGCACACCCGAACACGATTACCATTCGGGGTGCAACACTTATCCCGTGTCCCTTGGACCTTCCTCCAGTGACAAGTCACAAGTTCTTGACTTGATGGTTCGGGACTTGACCCAGTTGTTCTACAACCAGTCCGATGAAACAAACAAATTCTATGATGGGGCATCGGAAAGAGAGCTTTCAATTCTCCTGCGGGTATTTTGCTTTCTACAAGATCGGCCCGAACGTTGCCAATGGCTGTGTCTTGCCCACTGCAATGGAAAATACGCAGCTCGATTTGGTTGGACTGGCGACCTGTCCCAACCCGCTGCATACACCTATCTCCCATCATGTTCAGTGTGTCATGAATTAAGAATGGCAAGACTACAGGAGCAAGAATGTGACCATTGTGCCAATTGGTGTATGGATGGGCTGTATTTTGAAGCTCCAGCTGACTACCCTACCACTTTCAAGGATTGCTTTGATGAGGAAAACGCAGTTGGCGACATACCAATTAGTGCACCCAGCGACCCACGCTTATTGTTCCGTAACTCCAGTGTCCACTTACCATTCCGAAAGATCTCTTTCAAGGATTTGATGGCTGCTTCTGATGCGGCTTTTGATATGGTTCGCAATGGAAAGTGGAAGAAAAAGGAAGGCAACGCATACCTGGATACCTTTGCACTTTCCCCAGACTATAGTTCCAACATTTGCCAAGCTGCTGAGGAGGGTGTTGGAGAGAAACCTTTGTATCCGGCCACCTGGAATCTACCGGGAGTGGACATCTGTCACCACATTGACGTGGTAATGCATTTATGCTTTCTAGGGATCACAAAGGCAAACTCAATAGACCTAGTGAGTGGTTGGCTAAAGGTACAACGGAAGTCGACGTCATTCTACAACAAGAGCCGTCCACTGTTAAAGCGCATCAAAGCTCAAAGTCTGTCATGGTGTAAAGCAGAGACAAGGTTTGGTGGATATGTATCTGAGAACTGGGTCGCATACTGTCTGATCTCTAAATTTCTTCATCAACTACTTTCAAATCTTGCACCCATAGATGTGGAGTACACCGATCCACCAGGAGTGCCCTTATCTCAATACAATTTGAAACAGAAGAAAGCCTGGCTTTTGGCAAGGGAGATAGAGGGGATTGATGGCAAATCAAGCAAACTTATGGTGGACACGACATTCCTTTGCTTCAAGTCAAAGCCTGAAGAACAGTGGCCAGATATTGTCAAACCAATTGCCTCCAAGGCCAGCCTGATTCAAGTGAATCATATGATAATATGTTGGCAGGTTTGTATGGCACGAGTAATGTCTCTTGATCAGAATCCAACAGAAGGACAAGTGATGGATATTGATAGGCACATCAAGTTGTTCTTGAGTGCCGTAGATGAATTTGATTCCACGAGGCGCCAACAAGCTACAACTAAGGACAAGAAAGTACCTGTATGGCGTCGCAAACCCAACTATATTGGTCTTCTCAACTACCAGGACACAATCCGACAGATGGGCCCTCTTAGTCAACTCTCTGAGTTGGACTACAAGGGTGAAGCCTCCATCAAAGACATCAAGAGACAGATCAAGAATGGGCTGAGTGGAAACTGGTCTTACAATGCAATGCGCGGGTACTACTGTGACAAGTCATACCAGTATGTCATGAAGGACTCTGCAATTGATGTTGCTGCCCAACTACAAGCAACAAAACCTGGAGAAACAAAACCTGCCGTGCTTGATTCAGCTTCCGCCATGCTTGATGTCGCAACTCACATTGCTGGAAAATCACTTGGTGGTGGAACAAACAACACTGAGACCAAAACCACATTTGTTCCCCGACAAAAGAACTACACAAGGTTCAAGGATGAATTTACCGCACTTGAAAGACTTAATGGTATTGGTGACACAATTTTGGTTTCGGGATTAGTCTTGGACAATCATTTTTATTTGATACTGAGGGAGGGCATCAGAAATTGTATTGAAATAAAGCCAATTGCCTTCCAAAAGGAAGTGTGTGGAGCTTGCTACTTTTCTTATGGCAAGGTGGACAACGCCCCAACTTATGATGTGCCCCCAGTGTCCAAATCGTCTGAGTTCTTTTTGCTTCTACCCTTTCTTCGTGACAATGGGAAAATACCAGAGGATGACAGCAATAAATTCTACCTAGTCACATCTAAATGGAGGGAGGTGACACTAGCAGATGGAGACGGCTATAGGCTGCAGTTGCCAATAGTTCCTGGTGCTACATATGGGGAATAGTGCTTTTGTTATTAATAGCAGTTCTTGTTATTGTACAACTAATGATTCAAACTCTTATGTTTGGCACTGGGAACGCGACGGCGAGAAGAAGTGGGTGCATTTTTGTTCTTTGTACTGTAACAGGAAGAACAATACCACGAAAGTGACAACTGGTGGGGTTGCCCTTCTGGCTTGCCTCCAGATTCACTCACACAAGCCAGGCAATAGTGGACCTGGGTCGACAAAGACTTTCCGTAAGATTGGCATACCCCTTTGCACCTGGAATGTTGGAGAAGCTTGCTCAAGGGCAAAACGGACGTTTCCTTTGTGTAGTACTGGACATCCCCTGCTTCCATGACATGTAAATCTATCAATTGTTTGCGGTGACAATGACAGCCGTCATGGTTAATTGGTACAGTCGCCTTGCCTGCTGGTGCCTTCTTTGTGACTGTGACCTTCTCCTTTTTCTTCTTGACCGCTGCCACCTTCATCTTTTTGCTTGCGGCATTGTTGTTACTGCTCAGGTGTGCTGCCAGTTGCTGCCCCAGCATCTGCTGTGCCTTCTTTGTTTGCTCTTGAATCTTTGCTTGAGCCTCTGCAGCCCCAGCAGCCAGTTGATCTTGTTCGGCCAAGTGGTTCTTTGCCGCTGTGGCAAGTTGCTCCTGCTCGAGCACCAATCGAGTCTTTGCTTCCTCCTTGTTCCGTTCCTCTTCTTCCGTCTTCTCTTGGGCTGCAGCAGCCAGTTGATCTTGTTCGGCCAAGTGGTTCTTTGCCGCTGTGGCAAGTTGCTCCTGCTCGAGCACCAATCGAGTCTTTGCTTCCTCCTTGTTCCGTTCCTCTTCTTCCGTCTTCTCTTGGGCTGCAGCAGCCAGTTGATCTTGTTCGGCCAAGTGGTTCTTTGCCGCTGTGGCAAGTTGCTCCTGCTCGAGCACCAATCGAGTCTTTGCTTCCTCCTTGTTCCGTTCCTCTTCTTCCGTCTTCTCTTGGGCTGCAGCAGCCAGTTGATCTTGTTCGGCCAAGTGGTTCTTTGCCGCTGTGGCAAGTTGCTCCTGCTCGAGCACCAATCGAGTCTTTGCTTCCTCCTTGTTCCGTTTCTTCCATTCCTTCTTTGCTTTAGCCTTTGCCAATGCAGCAGCAAGTTGATTCTTCTTTTCCGCTTTCTTTTCCTTTTTCCTCCTCTTTTTGGTTCTCTTCTTTTCACTGTCATCATTGTCGACACTGTCCCTTTTGGCTAAAGCCTTTTTTACACTGTTGCCACTCATGGATGGTGGCGGCGCCGAGGTGCCAATAGTTGCAAGAGAGTCACCAATTGTTCCTGATGTAGCACTTTCATTGAAATACAGGTCAGCAATAGACTCCAAGGATGTCAGTGGCTCAACACTGGTGAATGAGCCCAATGGAACCACAATTCGAGCAACTGGGAGGGGAGGGTCAGCATTTTGCACTTCTGGAGAAGCATTGTGTTTCTGCAATGCCTCTCGATATGTTTGCCTGACAGCGTCAACTGATTTGGAAACAACCTTGAAAACATCTGAAGAACCTTTGATAACACCGTCATTCCGGAACTCAATCTGACAATTTTCCATCAACTCGGCTGCGAGGTCATCACGGGAGAAAGGGACATTGACAGCAAGATAGACGTAGAGCCCGTCAACAAATAAACTCAAAACTTTCTGGCAGAATTCAGCATCAATTCGGGCCAACGCCATGACAGACATGGTTCTAAGTTGGGGGGCATACTTGTTATCATCCATCGATTTTGCCAATGTTAACAATCCCCTGTTCACACCTTCTTTTGCAACCAGGGTTAAGAATTTTGTCAGAACACGAATATCTTCGATGTAGGCATGGATTCTGTCTTTAGTAAGCTGTCCGGAAGGTAGACGGCGGGAAAGGAGTGATTTGGCATGGTGGAAATCGCATGCAGCCTTTGTTTGTGGTGGCAAGACTTGCAATTTCTGAACATTGTCTAGAGATGCCATGTACTTTGCTGGACTCTTGATAAAGAGGAAGTCACTTGGTACAGCTGCGGTGATTGCATCCAGAGCTGGTTGGTTGCCTGCTAGCTGGAGTGCCGATATCATATCGCCGTCCATCCCGGGGGAATACATCCCGTAGAGGGATGCAAGTTTAGGTCCGAAAGTTCTAAGCTTTAGGGCATTCAGGGTTTTTGGATTGCTCATTATATAGTTGTGCTCCGAAGATAGATGATTGCATCACCAAATTTTGGAATAGAATACGCATATATTATTGTATACCTTATTATTGCGATGTATCGAGATTCACACAAGTTTTTGAAAATGAACTTTCATGTGTATCGATTTCGCGGGCAAAATGGATAGTAAGGAGGAAATCTTCGAGGGAGCGAGGGTCCGTTGATGGGTGTCAGGTGCAAAACGAGGGGGGAAGGGAAATTTTGGTGGTTTCGTGTTGCGAAAGGGAACGAGGGAGAAAACAAGGGAAAAAACGGTTGAAGGAGGGACGAAACGGCCCTCGTTCCCTCAAATGCTCCCTCGTTCCCGAACTTCTCGTCAGCAGTGGCATGCATCCTATTGACACAATATACTATTACGAGATTATCCTAGCATTTTCTGAAGTGCATAAGCAGAATCTCTAATCTTCATTCATATGTCATCATCAGTTCTCTTGGTTGCCTTCTCTATCATAGATCATAGGCAACATTATTCCAGCCAGCAAGCAGGCCTAATGAGCCAATGTTATTTTTGTCTATTTCTGGATTTGTAGCTATTGCGAAATGCTTGTGCAACAAGCTTCCGAATTTGTTCTTTGGGCAACTCTTTCCATACACCGCCTGTATGCTGTTTGAGAAACCGACCTCCGGGTTCATGAACCGAATGAATAGCACAATCGACCAAATCACGCCTTGATTCCTTGCTTCCAGCTTGGTAGGCTTGGGACATGCTTTTGACAGTAGCTCGCAGGACTTTGTTTCCAATGTTATTACTCTTATTTCCACCCACAACGAGAACATCAGTCTCAGTGGGACTAACAAGCTCGTTGGAGACTGCTGCGGCGGCTACTGCTGGGGACAATGGACGGTCGAAATGTTCCATTTTGAAACGAGACTCAAGCCATCTGAAATGGCGTTGCAAACAGATTTTGTTTGTGTTGGGGGGTACTGGCAGAAAAGTTTGTGGGATGCCATAGGTAGACATTTGATACAAACATTCTGTTTGGTTCCCATAGTGGAATCTGGATCTCGCTCTTAGCTTCATTGAAGCTACTTTAATGATAGAATGCAGGCATGCGTGATATTTGACTTCGTCTGTGCAGATATGAAGAGCCGACATGTGAATGGGGATTGCCTGAAAATTGAACAGCAGGATAAAATTTAGGATGTGCCGTACAAAGGTGGATGACAAAATACTTTCATGTGAACATGTATTGACAAACAGCACAAGAGGAGCAAACCTACCGTAGCGATTCTCGCGTTCTCAGAATATCCACTGTCACGGAATCTACTCTTCATATCACCAACAGCGTGAATGATAATGATCGTCCCTTTGATTTGCGTTTCCTTTGATTCCAGCACGCTCATCTTCATGTAATATTGCGCCCGAAGTTCATTCTGGAGCGTCATCTTATCTTCTCTCAGCCCCACGAGGTTCACAATAATATGTCTACCACATCTGTCTTTTCCCGCAAGTTGTACCCACCCAGTCTTTAGGCATTCAATATCACCCTCATCGAGATCATGAAGAGTGATATCTTTTACCAATTTTTGGCTTCCAAACAATTGAAGCTTCATTTCAAAAAACGAGAGCATCTGATCTGCTGCAGCTTTGGAGTCGTAGCGAGCACCTCTAAGAAACATCACTTGAAATGCTCTAGCGGTAACGTAGTCAGGGTCCATCTCTTCAGCCATCTCATATACACTTCCGTTCTTGATGTTGCTAAGATGACTTTCTAGTTCTTGAAGTGAAGCTTCAATGAAGGTTGCTTCCTCGGCAATCTTTGCAGCAACTCCATGCAAGATCTCTTGCTGCTCCTGCCGTTCTTCGAATGTGAGTGACTTTAACGCTTCAGATAGTAGATCGTCTATCTCCTTTTTCTTTTCATCTTCTGGTGTGCTCCGCCTGCTGCGCACCAAACCACCATGTACTTGTGATCGTTGTGGCCGGCGAAGAGCATTCGTTGAGGGGACCCTCCTTTCATTGCCAGTGCCAAAATTACAGTTTGAATTGTTGAAGGAGTGATTGAAGGCACTCATCTTGTCGGTCGCTGTTTTTGTATTTGTTGTTGTATTTGTTTCATAATTTGTGTGCAAAAGCTGACTTTCTTCACATCTATGCAGAATTTGAATGCCGGTATTAACAATCGGTATTGAAGCTGGTAAGTGATTACTGAATGATACCACTTTTGTAGTTCCGAATTACGAATTTGTCTGAACATTAACAAAGCAAATGGCGAAACATTGTTCTCCAGTCATATCATTAGCATCCACCGTTATCTATCGTTGGGAGCGCAGGAAGCATTTATAGCAATGCGGACATTTCCAATCGTTTGTATGACGGGAGTGGAGGTGGGAACGGTATTCATAATGACTATAAATACCGGTGCATTTTCATCGATTTGACTTCTTCGACACGAGGTTTCCACCAATAACGAAATGCTACTTGCAGCTGTGGCGACCATCCCTCAATGACATCCTGATTTTCGACTTTTGCTTATTTCAAATTATTTGAATGAGCGCACATACTGTGGTCCAACAAGTTTGAGCCAAAATAAGATATGACAGTTGTTGCTTTATCTATTTCTGGCGGCGATAGGTGTTACGGAATGCTTGTGTGATGGTGTTCCGAGTTAGGTCTTCGGGCAACTCTCTCCATAGACCATCTGGATGCTGTTTCAGAAACCGACCTCCAGATTCATTTATCGAATGAATTATGCAATCTACTATGGTGCGTCTTGATCCCCTGCTTCCAGTTTGGTAGCCTTGGGACATACCGTTGACAAGGACTCGAAACCGTTGGTTTCCCAAGTTTCTACACTTTATGCCACCCATAAAGAGAACGTCATCTTCAGTAGGACTGATAAGATCCACTTGTACAGGGGCGACAACTGGTGACAAAAGACAGTCACCCCTTTCCTTATTGTAGCGAGACTCAACCCATCTGAGGTGGCGTTCTCTATTTATTGTGTTTGTGTTGGGGTCTACTTGCAGAAAACTGTTCGGTATTCCGTAGCTAGACATTCGATATAAGCATTCTGTTTGGCTGCCATAGTGGATTCTGTATCTCGCTCTAATCTTCATCGGAGCTAGTTTGATGATACAGTGATGGCATAGATGCTCACTGATTTCATCTGTGCAGAGATGAAGGGCCGCCATGTGATTGGGGATTGTCTGAAATTTAACAGAAGGGTGAGATTCATATATGAATCATGGACGAACAGGACAAATCCAACTTACAAAAGCGATCTTCGCGTTTTCATAGTACCCGCTGCCACCGAATCTACTCTTCTGATCACCAACTGCATAAGAGATGGGAACGATCCCTTTGATCTGCGTTTCCTCCGATTCTAAGGCGCTCATCAAAATGGTATATCGCATGCGTAGTTCATTTTGGAGCGTCATGTTATCGTCTCTCAGCCCTGGAAGATTAAGAATAATCTGTCTACCCGATCGGTCTTTTCCCGCAAGTTGAACCCACCCAGTCTTCAGGCACGCAATATCACCCTCATCGAGATCATCTAATGTGATATCTTTCACTAGTTTTCCTCTCCCAAACAATTGATGCTTCATTTCAAAGAACTTGAGCATCTGATTTGCCGCAGCCTTTGAGTTGTAGCGAGCGCCTCTGAGAAACATCACTCGAAATGCTCTAGCGGTAACGTAATCAGGGTCCATATTTTCGGCCATCTCATAAACGCTACCTTTCTTTATCTGTCCAAGATGACTTTCTAGCTCTTGAAGTGAAGCTTCAATGAAGGTTGCTTCCTCGGCAAACGTTCCCGTAACGCCGTGAAGTATATCCTGCTGTTCTTGCCGCTCTTTAAACGAGAGCCCCTTCAATGCAAGAGAAAGTAGATCGTCGATTTCCTTTGTTTTTTGACGGTCTTCAGTCGTCAAGCCATCATCTACTTGTGGCAGCTTTTGGCGATCAGGAGAGACTGTCCTTTCATTGCCAATGCAAAAACAGGTTGGATTGTCAAAGGATTGACGGAAGGAACTCATCTTAACATGATGTATTATTCGTCGCTTGCATTTGTTGTGTGGTTATTGTGATAAAAAGTGTTATTGCAGAGCGCGCAGGCAGGCCAAAGAGGAATTCTTCACTGGTCTTCAAGAAGTCTGTTGGGCCTGCTATCGTTCAAATCGATACATTTCGTAGACTTTGTACAAATTCTACGTAGTCAAACTAGTCAAAATTATGTATCTAAAAAGTCAGGTCCAGATCTGCTGTTTAGAGGCATTGTCGATAACACGACAAGGGCCCACTATTGAATACAATAGATTTGAAAACACTTTCCTATGTGCTTGATAGTTGATACTGTGTTTCCCATCACTGTAGCAAATGTACTGAATCTACGTGAAAGAAACTAAAAAAGCCCTTTGATTGAACGTCAAAATAGGAAAGTGACTTCCAACAACAATTTCCCCACATATACTCTTATCAGACCTCTTTATTGATATAAATGTCTTTGATCTGCTGTTAAGAGGCATTGAGGCAGTGGGAATCCCCGGATTTCTCCCCTAGTTGCGAGATTTTCCCACAGCTCAATTTTTCCCACAACTCAATTTTTCCCACAACTCAATTTTGCTTCCCACAACTAGTTGTGGGAATTCCCTCAACAGTTGTGGGAAAACTGTCATTTCTACACAGAAAACCACGTAGGATATGTACTGAGACAAATTTGAAGTTTCCCACAACTCTAATTGTAGTTGTGGGAAGTTTCCCACAACTCTAATTGTTTTATTGGGAATTATGGGAAAACTGTCCGTTCTACGGAAAACTGTCCGTTCTACACACAAAACAACGTTTGATATGTACTGACTAGAAATTAGACAACTACATATGATGTTTCCCAAAAACTCTAATTGTTTTCGTGATATTTCGTGATACATTTAGGGCAAAAAAACGGACAGCTGCGCAACGGAAATTCCCACTACTAGTTGTGGGAAATTCCCATAACTAGTTGTAGGAATTTCCCACAACTATTTTTTAAGATTCCTACAACTAGTTGTGGGAATTTTTGGCAAAAATCTGTTCCCACAACTAGTTGTGGGAAATCGCGTTAAATATCGCGGGGACGAAATAAAATGAAAAGGGGGAATCCCACTGCCTCATTGTCGATAACACGACAAGGGCCCACTATTGAATACAATAGATTTGAAAACACTTTCCTATGTGCTTGATAATTGATACTGTGTTTCCCATCACTGTAGCAAATATACTGAATCTACGTGAAAGAAACTAAAAAAGCCCTTTGATTGAACGTCAAAATAGGAAAGTGACTTCCAACAACAATTTCCCCACATATACTCTTATCAGACCTCTTTATTGATATAAATGTCTTTGAACTATGTGCTTAGTTCTTTGGTGGCCATATTTGGCGAGTAGTATTTAGAGGTTTTAGGTACTATTTTGGAGAAGTCGGTGTAGTCGATTTCACATTCATTTTGTACTGGCTCTACCAATGCATTGTCGGACCAGGAAACGGTTAAAAACAGAGCTGCACGCTCGTTGATACAAAATGCAACCCCCCAGTACCTGGTACTACTCTAGCCGATGGTACTTCATGTAACTCTTGGCGCTAAGATCTCCAGGAATCCTTGCAGCGACTCGAAATGTTGCTGTGACGATCATCCCTCAATGACAGCATGATTTTCGACTTGCTAATTACAAGTTATTCAAATTACCCTTCGTTTTCCAGACTGTACGCTCCAGCCAGTTTGAGCCAAAATAAGATACCACCGTCGTTCCTTTTGACGCAATGCTGATTATACCAAGAAAGACAACATCATCTCTATCTATTTCTGGCGGCGATAGGTGTTACGGAATGCTTGTGTGATGGTGTTCCGAGTTTGGTCTTCGGGCAACTCTCTCCATAGACCGTCTGGATGCTGTTTCAGAAACCGACCTCCAGATTCATTTATCGAATGAATTATGCAATCTACTATGGTGCGTCTTGATCCCCTGCTTCCAGTTTGGTAGCCTTGGGACATACCGTTGACAAGGACTCGAAACCGTTGGTTTCCCAAGTTTCTACACTTTATGCCACCCATAAAGAGAACGTCATCTTCAGTAGGACTGATAAGATCCACTTGTACAGGGGCGACAACTGGTGACAAAAGACAGTCACCCCTTTCCTTATTGTAGCGAGACTCAACCCATCTGAGGTGGCGTTCTCTATTTATTGTGTTTGTGTTGGGGTCTACTTGCAGAAAACTGTTCGGTATTCCGTAGCTAGACATTCGATATAAGCATTCTGTTTGGCTGCCATAGTGGATTCTGTATCTCGCTCTAATCTTCATCGGAGCTAGTTTGATGATACAGTGATGGCATAGATGCTCACTGATTTCATCTGTGCAGAGATGAAGGGCCGCCATGTGATTGGGGATTGTCTGAAATTTAACAGAAGGGTGAGATTCATATATGAATCATGGACGAACAGGACAAATCCAACTTACAAAAGCGATCTTCGCGTTTTCATAGTACCCGCTGCCACCGAATCTACTCTTCTGATCACCAACTGCATAAGAGATGGGAACGATCCCTTTGATCTGCGTTTCCTCCGATTCTAAGGCGCTCATCAAAATGGTATATCGCATGCGTAGTTCATTTTGGAGCGTCATGTTATCGTCTCTCAGCCCTGGAAGATTAAGAATAATCTGTCTACCCGATCGGTCTTTTCCCGCAAGTTGAACCCACCCAGTCTTCAGGCACGCAATATCACCCTCATCGAGATCATCTAATGTGATATCTTTCACTAGTTTTCCTCTCCCAAACAATTGATGCTTCATTTCAAAGAACTTGAGCATCTGATTTGCCGCAGCCTTTGAGTTGTAGCGAGCGCCTCTGAGAAACATCACTCGAAATGCTCTTGCTATGACGTAATCAGGGTCCACGTTTTCAGCCATCTCATAAACGCTTCCGTTCTTGATGTTGCTAAGATGGCTTTCTAGCTCTTGAAGTGAAGCTTCAATGAAGGTTGCTTCCTCGGCAATCGCTCCCGCAACGCCGTGAAGTATATCCTGCTGTTCTTGCCGCTCTTTAAAAGAGAGCCCCTTCAATGCAAGAGACAGTAGATCGTCGATTTCTTTTGTTTTTTGACGGTCTTCAGTCGTCAAGCCATCATCTCCTTGTGGCAGCTTTCGATGACCAGGAGAGACTGTCCTTTCATTGCCAATGCAAAAACATGTTGGATTGTCAAAGGATTGACGGAAGGAACTCATCTTATTGTATGTTTTATCTATGTGACTTGCCACTGCTGCGTACTAATACGTGTTGCCTTTTCCGAGCATATACTGCACGTCCGCACTTGGGACTATAAATAAAAATTATGATAAAAAAGATGTATTTTATAATAATTTCCAAAATTCTAACGTGTGTTTCTCCGGAAAACAAGCACATTATATTTACCAAAAGACACCGGCACGGTCAGTCTGACCTCCACCTCCAACACAACGACTACACCCGGCTTGCTCGCAGAAATACTGCTCGCAGAAACAGCGAAGACAAAATATTACACACATCACACATCACCACATAAAAAACATCACCACCAGAACGCACTGTTGCTGTCCTTTTGTTTTGTGTTGTTCCAACCCAATCCGTGAACAAGCTGAATCTTCCTTCTTCTTTCATTAGTACTAGCCAGTGGCACTTCCAATTCCTCAGAGACGGGTTCTTCCTTCATCCGCTTCTGCATACTGAGCTTTTTACATATCTGTTCCTCAACTTTCATTGCGCAGAGTGACAAACAGTATGTAGCATAAAAGCTTCATTGTGTTGTGCCAAGTCCTCGCTTTAACAGGTTGGAGATTTGGTGCATTGGAGTAATGAAGATGGCTGGATCGTCTGCAGGTATGGATGCTGCTGTGCTACTGTCATCAAGAAAAGGAGGGCTAGGGTTTGACTATGACTGGTGACATCTCAGTTTCTAGCGGCCCCACACTTTCCTACACTAGTTACAACTGGGACAATGATACCGCCACTAGATTTTCAATTCAAGCCATGTTGTTCACCATGTTGGGAGCCGGCACTCTGGGAATGGTCAAAAGTTGGTCTTGTCAGACGGTATTGTCAGACTGGGACTTCATTTGTAAGGATATGCTGAGTTGCCTCCACCATCCGCAGCTTTCTTGTCGTCATCTCCTGATACACTGCGTTGCCTCTGCAAGCGCTATCATGGATTGTCATTATGATTGTCATCGTTGTCTTCATTGTTATTGTGGATCTTGGTGAATAGGTCATCCTCCATTCAACCTATGTTTTGTGTGTGTATGCTGACACCAACAATGTTTTGCCTTAAATTGTCATCACCTGGATCTGCTACTACTATTGATACAGCAGTGTATGTAGTGTCTGCTTTATTTGACGCAAAACAATACTCGGCTCTGCATCATCACCACCACACAGATGATTCAGAGATGGTTCAATAGTCTTGTTCGAATGGCTCATTGGCTTCCTTCAGCCACCTTCGTCCCTTGTTGGCAGCACCTGCTTTTCAATCTGCAACATGTAATCATTCTACAAGGCGGCAACTGCTTTGTTGCTTTTCAGGTTTTGCCCTCTTGTCTAGTTTGATATTATTCATATTCCCCACACTGATTTGTGTGGACACATTGCAAAGACGGAGGGACCAGTGTACCGGTACCAGCGCCAAAATCATATTAGATATAGTATATGTACAGTCAAATCGTATCTAGTAGAGCCAACAGCTCTTTTACTTTGTCTTCAGGTGTTTTTAAAAAGCTTCGATTCCGCTACCGACTTTTGAGTACAAATAGTAACTATCGTATCATACAGTATAAAATACAAGCAGTATTTTCAATTTGAATACAAGCAGTATTTGAACTTGTGAAAATTCGTGAATTATTTGATGGGTCTGTCCTTCCACTCCGATTTGGTTCACCAGATGTGGGAGGTGGAGGTCAGACTGACCGTGCCGGTGTCTTTTGGTAAATATAATGTGCTTGTTTAGGGCCTGATGTGAAACCCGAAAACCCGACCCCAAATATAACCCCCCGCACTACTGTATGTTATCCGATAATGTTCAATGCTGTAGTAGGGATGATCCTTCCGAGTTGAATGATAGTACAGTTAGGATGATCTTTCCCAGTCGCTGCATCTGTAAGAAGCTGCGATCATTCTATCTATTTCTGACGATGATAGGTATTATGGAATGCTTGTGCGACAATCTTCCGAATTTGGTCTTTCGGCAACTCATTCCATTGACAATAATCATATCAATGAATGACGCAATCGACCAAAACTTTTCTTCAATCCTTGCTTCCAGTTTGATAGGCTTGGGAGATGTCTTTGACAAGGGTTTGGAGGCGTCGGTTTCCCATATTGTTATACCTGTCACCGACAATAGCGAGAACGGCATCTTCAGTGGGACTGGTTCCTTCTCTCAGCTCAACCCTGCAGCCTCATTCTGTTTAGCTACCATAGTACATAGAATCTTCATCTCGTTCTCACTTTTATTGAAGCCGCGGTGATGATGCTGTAATGACGCACATGTTCGCTGATTTCGTCGGAGCATACCTAAAGAGCTGCCATGTGATTTGGAATCAGCCAAGGTTCAAAAGAGCTATGAGGTCATTGTGCAATCCAATGCATATCAACAATTACAGCATGGACTGAAAGCTACGGTTCAGTATTTGGCGTTTTCGTTGCATCCACTGCCCCCGATCTTATCCTTCAGTTTTCGTTCCGTTGATTGGTGCTCCTTGGGATTCTACAGCGCTCATCGAGATGTAATATCCCATCTGTATTTCATTTTGGAGCGCAAGACATTCAACGAAGACAGATCAAGAGCTACCAATGCAAGTCTCGTTCCATCATTTCTGAAAGAAGGAATCTTCCAACTTCAGAAAGGCATACTCCACACAGCTTCCTTGTGCAAACTGAATGTTGGGTTCTTTATGAAATGTGACATATCCGTTCTCTTGCATACCCGTAAAGAATTCATTGACTGTATCGTCCGGTGTTTTGTGTACTTCCACCAAGATCTGTCGAAGTGTAGCCCCCGAACGGAACCAGTCCGGAAATGTCGTCCACTCGCATCCTTCGCAATCGATCTTGAAAATATCAATTTCCCGACCGACATGGCCCAAGGTTTCGATTGTTTCCTTCATTGTCTTGTAAGCAGATTGGAACTCCATGGCATTCCAATAGTATTCATTCTGGGCTTCTTTGGAACTCTTACTCATAAATCCCCAATTGTGGTAATGCACTCCTAACGGTGCTAAATGGCCATAGGATATTCCTTGAATCTCTGGATCAAAAGTGTGGATCTCGCAATGCTTTCCAATTTCCTTCAGTAAAGCATTTTCAAACATAAAGTTGCCTTCCGAACCGACACTATAGATCAGGCAGTCCTTCTTGTTGGTCAGTCTATGAGGATCGCACACCCATTTGGGTCCATCCCCCATGCCTCCAATGCGACGTTCGTGCAGACACGTAAAGTCTGGTTCAAAATTTTCTTGATACCAGCCTTCGGAGGGTTCCAGATGAAATAAAGGGTCGTCCATGTGCAAGTGATTCTGTCGAGTCTGGACACGATCCTTCAGCATCCTCCAATCGGACTCGGAAATGTCCTGAAAGAAGCCGCCGCTGTCTTTATAGGCGAGTTCGTAGGAGTTGATCTTGTTGGATGTGCCATCGAAACTTGTTTTGGGGTGTTGATTGCAGTTTACATGAGCCGAGGAGTCTTCCAACAGCGTGAAAGAAGAATCCACTGGACTCCGATCCATTATTGTCATTGTCATCATCATCATCACCAAAACACCCAAAAGAAACCCAGCCACAAGACTGACACTGGTAGGAATCTGACGATTCCCCTTGTTGGTAATTCTCATCTCATGTCTCGCGCTATTTCTGTGGCCGATCAGATGGCTTGTTGCCTGTAACAGTTGAACCTTATTATTTCAACGACGATCGATAATTTATGAATCGCATTATGTTTGGATCTGAGGATGTTGTCGGTCCATAGCGAAGGACAGACGACAATCCAAAAGTCACACAATATTACATTATACCGGTACATGATAAGCATGATACAGAGATGATGAATTGCGACTATAATCACATGTCCTTAGCAATTGCGGAATAGAATACTCTAATAACATTTCTTCCTAATGTTACTAATCGTCTTGGAAGAAGGAGTCTTCCAATTTCAAAAAGGCATATTCTACGCACCTTCCGGCGGCATACTGAATGTTTGGCTCCTTGTGAAAGGTGACGTAGCCATGCTCTTGCATACCCGTAAAGAAATCAACCACCGTGTCTGCCGGAGTCTTGTGTACTTCCACCAAAATTTGCCTTAGGGTGGCGCCAGAATTAAACCATCCCCGGAAGGTCGTCCACTCGCACCCTTCGCAATCGATCTTGAAAATATCAATTTCTCTCCCAACATGTCCCAGCTCTTCAATGGTAGTCTTCATTGTCTTGTAGTTGCCCTTGAATCGGTTCACGTTAGCGTAGTATTTCGCTTGGGCTTGCTGGCCATCAGTCTCACTCATGAATCCCCAATTGTGGTAGTTCACACCCTCTGGCGCCAAATGTCCATATGGTCTTCCTTGGATCTCTGGATCAAAGGTGTGAATCTCACAATGCTTTCCAATCTCCTTCATTACAGCATTTTCAAACATAAAGTTGCCTTCTGATCCAACACTGTAGACTAGACAGTCCTTTTTCTCTTGTGGTGTTTCTTTGGATTCCATCAATCGGTGAGGATCGCAAACCCATTTGGGCCCATCTCCCATTCCACCGATGCGGCGTTCATGCGAACAGGTAAAGTCTGGTTCAAAATTTTCTTGATACCAAGCCTCTGGTTGAGCAATGTGATGGTTATTCTTGTCTGGGAACATAAAATTGGTGCGAGACTTGACACGTTGCTTCATGAGCGCCCAGGCATTGTCAGAAATGTCATCAAAGAAACCGCCACTGTCCCGACTGGCACGTTCGTAGGAGACAGCAGTAGTGCCTCCCCCATCGTCATTTTTCTTATTGTCATCGCTGCCATCCTTCGCTTCTTCCGATGATGATGATGATCGCACAGACTGGACAGATGGAGCCCGGACTCCTCCAGGTGGAGAATGAGTGGCAATGGTTGACGTAATGCTGGTAGAAGTGGTCAAGACGGATCCATCGGATAAGGTATAGTGACTGACTTTAGTCTGATTCGTCACCATCATGACCAGCATGGCTCCCAATAAAACTCCGCCCAAGAACACGACGCTTGAATTATTTCTACTGACTTGCTGATAGCTTTGTCCAGCAGTGAGCTTTTGTTTGATCTTCATCTTGTTTTTTGTAAGTAGTGCTGTACGGTAGATGACTGATTCAGTCTTGAGACGTTCAAGATTAGGCTGTGTTTAGACTTCAGATTTGTCTAGTAGAGGGAAACGTGTTGTAGGGGCTGTATGCACACACTACGTTCTTCTGTTTGGTGAGATGATGGTTCAGTAATACGAAGCGACTGAAAACAATATAGCGACCACGAAAACTTTCAACCAGTTTTTGTTCTATACTGAATACTGTCATGAAATGTCCAATGATGATCACCGACCCACGTGCTTTACGTACACGTACATTAGCGCAGACGTCGCATGTCAATCGTCCGTCGCATGTCAATCGTCCGTCATATAAAAAAACAAGGATGACACACACGTGCCAGTTTGTGGAAAAGTTTTCAACCAGCTGAATTAACGTCGCCATATTTTCACTCCGAAACGGAAACTGGTAGATACAGTTTGAGGTCCACAACGGAATATATCGTGGCAAAAAAGTCGCGAACCTGACCAAAATTGTCTTACGCGACCAGTTTGAACAGAATCGCAAAACAATACTCCAACCAGCATTTCCGTCCATCACAATTTGAAATGGCATCAAGACCAAAACAATCTCAAATCAAACAGTACTCATAATCTCACAATCCCAACAAGTCAAACACCCCACCACACAACTATACAATGTCATTTCAAGATCTCCTGCAATTGGAAGCCATGACGGACTCCTTCTCCGACTTGTCAGCCATCTCGGATGCCAACCTAATTTCTACCACCAAAGACGACATTACCGTCTTTGTTTCCGGTCAAACATTCTTTATGCTGCCATCTCTCTTCGAACAAGTGAAAGGGTTGCAGTGGTACCAAGTTGGTGGCTTGTACCATTTGGATGCCGAATCAGATCTTTTTGAAATTATTCTTCAATTCTTCTTGGTCGGAAGTCTTCCATCCAAGGCGCTTGTCAAGAAGCGAAAGGAATCTCTTCAGCAATTGGTCTTTCAATTGGGCAGCGACGCCGATGAATTGAAAATGTGTGTCATGCAAGGTGGTGGCAGTCGCAAGAGCCATTCCAGATCTCCCTTATCCCTCAAGAAGGCGGGTTTGTCTCTTCGAAGCAGTTCTTCCAACCGAAAAAGCCCAGTTCCGTCTTCCGCTGGAAGTTCAAAGAAGGGTTTCAAGTCACCCTTCAAGAGAAAGGCAGAACTGTCGGCATCCGACTTTGTCAAGTTGTCAAATGCTTTGTTGTTGGATGACATGGACGGTGATTCTGGCTCTGAAACTGGAGCTTCTACCATTTCCCAGAACTCCCAAAAGGAAAACTCCTCTGTCAAATCCAAAAAGAAGTGGAGTCTTTCCAGCAAGCCGTCTACCCAGGAGGTTCACCAATCGTGGTGTGAATCAGAATACATTGTTTAGAACAAAGCAAAGGGGTATTACTACAGTGCTATGCATGACGGGGAATCGTGATCATAGAGCAAGAATACTGTGGAATAGAGGACAATGAGCCGCCGCAGTTCAAAACGTGCATATATTTATTTGATAGAGCAATAAACAAAATTTAGACGAAATTAGAGTCATAAACTATTCTTGTTTTGATTGTTCGGACAATAGTAGTGATTGTAGAAGTGACAAATGAGGAGAGAGAGAAATCATGCTTAGTGCTTGCGACTATGATTGCTGCACTATTTTGATCAATTGAAGTTATTGTAGTGAATAGTTGTGCATATTATTACCAATTTTGAAATTTAGCAGCATCGTCCACCTATAATATCACGCAGCAAATCTTCGGGTTCGTTTGGTTCGTGAAGACCGTTTTCGCCCTCTTGAAGCCTGTTTTCTTCTTTCTTCAGCTGCTTTATCATGTCCCAATGCCCCCACCAATCGTTGTAACAGACGATCATAGACTTCGATGCGATCATCTACATAATCCTTGACGACCTTAGTAGTACATTCATCACAGTATGGTGTGCTGGGCCTGCTCCTCGGTATATCCTTTCGTTCCTCTGTCTTCATAGTATCAGTGGATGGATCTGGTATGAGCTATCCCTCTGCATCTTCCAACGACGCGCATATGAAATCCGAGGTGAACAGGATTATCAATGCATCCTCTTTTGTTCTTCGTTATTTCAATCGTAAATGTTTCCAGCAAACGGTCATAACAGCTTTAAGTAATCTATAAGTGTTTGGTCGCGAGTTGAAAATATAGTGGAAAAAGGAGACATTCCTTCGTTTCAAACCTCGTAGTTTTCACAATTTACTCCGGAACATTGTTCGATTTCGTTCGGATCAAGCTCACAATATCACGTTTACCAAAATTCAGCAGAGGATGTCACAGTTTGATGATATAATGTCGGCTTCATTCTCTGATTTGTCGTTAGACATCACCGATGAGCCGACACAAGACCCAACCTCTGTCACTGCCGTTCCAGAAAACGACATTGTTGTCTTTGTGTCAAGTCGTACATTCTTGATCCAACCATCTCTCTTCGAACAGGTGAAAGGACTACCGTGGAGCGAGAGCGGAGGCTACAGTCACCTCGATGCTGAACCACAACTCTTTGAAGCTATTCTTACATTCTATCTTGCTGGATCCTTTCCCGGGAGAGTTCTCGTAAAGGAGAGAAAGGAAGCGCTTTCGAATTTGGTGTCACATCTGGGCGACGATGCCAAAGAACTGAAAGCTTGCATCGCCCAAGGCGGCGGTGGTCGAAAGGGCAACAAATTTACAAAGTCTCCTATTTCCATGAAGAAAGGACTCCGGATGGGCCGCAGAAACTCCAATGGTTCTGCTGGTTCTGTCAAGAATATTCTCAAGTCTCCGTTCAAGTCGAAGAAAGCAGCCGTCGGTGATGATGTCCAGCCGTCTAAGATTGCTGACTTGGCCAATGCTCCTCTATTAGATGGTGAGAGTGACATTGGATCTGAAGCTGGAACCTCGACTCTTTCCGACTACTCCCACAACGAAAAACCCCATAATCATGAAGAGGTTAAGCAAAGGAGATGGAGTCTAGGCAGGCGCTCCTCCAGCAAGAAGCTTCACGAAGAGTGGTGCCAATCTGAATATATCGTTTAGGTTAGGAACGGAAGCGTCAATGCATAGTTACTGTACAATATACATAAAAAATAATCATGAAAGAAATTGGGTCAAAGCAAAGTGACCAACCATCAAACCCCCCTATCTAGTTGAGTTGTAATAGTTACAGAATGTGCAACAGTCGCAATCCAACTTGTCACAGTCAGCCTGCAAAACATCCATTTTCAAATTACACACTTCGACGGGCATCGTTCCAACGAGGCCACTGTTGAAAATGAGGTTCAATTGCTTCAGATTCGAAAGTTGACCAAGGGTCGTAGGCACGCCGCCCGTCGCGAAAGCGTTGTGGTCCATGTTCAGTATTCGAGTCTCCACCATATTTCCCAGTTCGCTTGGTATCTCTGTAAATTGGTTCCATTCGAGACCAATCGTGTCTGATAGTAGGCGAAGGAATAGCGAGGGAAAGTTGGATTGGTGAATGAATGAATGAATATTCAATTATTCACGCAACGACCTGGCTATTTGCGGGCACTTACTTAGGCGACTTAGCTTGCCCAACGAAGTGGGGAGAGGCCCTTCGAACGAATTTTGGCCGATTCCCAAGAATCGTAGAGTGTCAAGATTGCCCTATTGGATAGGTGAAGTGAGTGAGCCAAAATACACTCGTCGAAACAGAATTGGATGCGATGTCAATCAATCGATTTCTTACCAGCTCACTTGGTAATGGGCCTACCAAATCATTCTTGGTCAGTTCCAATCGTTCTGTATTGAAATAGCAATAGCGTGAGCGGATGAGGTATACTTTTAACATCGCGAGGAGCTCTCCCATCATATTGCGAAATATCGTACCTAACTTTGTCAGCAGCCCGAATTCAGTGGGCAAAGTTCCTTGAATTCGATTGTCAAATAAGTGAATGTAGCGCAAGTGATTCGATAACAAGGCAATCTCGGACGGAAGTGTTCCCACCAGATGCTGCAACCTCAAATCGAGTCTCACGTACAGTCCATCACTATCACAGACCGTCTTGCCATTATCATCTCCCAGAGTGTAGAACCAACGGGTACATTCATCTGTATATCGGACCCAATTCTGCATGGCTTGTGGGATGGACAATTGTTGTTCGTCTTCTTGTTGTTGTTGTTGTTGACTGAATATGGAATTACCGCCACCGCCACTTTTCTCGGATGATACCATTCCAAAGGCAAAGGTGGCCAATACCCAACGTTGCAAAAGACGATCATCCGTGTAGGAATAAAATCGGGGATCCCGAATGAGCCAATTTAGAGCCTTGGCCTGAGGAGTGCCGCCGTCTCCATCACGAGTGACCGTAAAGCCAGAAGTGGATCGGGATACCAAGATCTGTTGAAATCGATTTCGGGCATCCTCAATGAAGAAAGGCTCAATCGTAGGCAGCATCGTCGAAAGAGACGGAGGATTGGCCTGTGGCAATGGGACTGTGGGGGGTCTCGACTGAAAATTGTCATCGTCGTCATAGAACAAGTTGGAGGTTATGCGAGTTGGATTCTGCGTGGGCTTTTGTGTTGGAAAGGACAAAGCCAGGTCATCATTATTATTGCCACCAAGATTTTCGGTGAAATCAAACCAATCTTCCGGCGAACTCGGTGCCGAAGTGACAAGCGCCTTGCTACTGTCATTGTTGGATTTCAACGATATCAAGTAGATTGTCAGGCCAGCGGCAACTCCCAAAAGGATCACAGCTGGGAATGACATGACCAAACAAAGATACCGATGTGGCTCCTCGTCTTGTTCTTCAGAGGCGGCAGAAGATGGTCTCTGCAAACCTGGATTTTCCTGGTCTGCTTCTGTCACTGGACGCTGTCTTCTCGCCATGGTTTCGGTAATGCTAACGATGAAACTATTGTGTTTCTACAATAAAACAATAAACGCGTCCTCATTTTGTCTGCTTGACATCTGATTTTGTTCGTGTTCTCATTGGTCTATAAGTTGTCCACGTGCATATCGTTTTTTACGTCACATTCCTACCAATAATTCCTGTCGTTAAATGTGGATATCACGCCAATTCGACAAAGGAATCTTCGCACGACCTATTCGAAACGGAGAATCATGTGTTCCAAATTTGGCGATGTACCGCCGGTGTACTGTATCACAGTACACGTGTACGAGTACACGTACGTGTACGTGTACGTGCATCAATACTGCGTATTGCGATGATACAAAATGTCAGTATCTAGTAGATCGTCTGTCCATACATCACGTCGTTCATAATCACATTCATCAAATAAAAGACTCCGACACGCAATAAAACGTTAGGCCCGAGAGCATAGCATATCTTTTGTCTCCTCGTTCATAATATTTACCAACAGGATAAGGTTCTAAACAGCTCGAAGTCTGATATCAGATTGCTGTTTAGACGATATCACATTCATCAATATCTGTACACGTACACGTGTACCCTCCTCCAAGACATAAAGCTGAATAAGATGAGAGGAGGGCAGAGAACAAATCCATGAATTCAAATGACAAACATGATCGGCAAGATGACACCAGTAGATTTTCTCCACCCAACAATAAGCACTGGAAGGTCTTTTTCCTGCTTGTTGCCGTCTGCACCTTTCAATGGCTTCAAAACACCTACACAGGCCTCCCATATTCATATGCATCCTTCGTTCCAACAAGATCAAGCAAAAGTATCGAAATTGATAGCGACAATGATTCAGGAAATATTCAGCATCATCGTCATGATTCGCAGAAACAAGAAGCAGTAGTGGACGAAACAACGAAAACAATGGCGTCAGATGAGGATGCCACCACCATTCTATTCATTCACTATCACAAAACGGGAAACAATTTTGTCGTTGACCTATTGAAACAAATTCATCGAACCCATGGTCGGTACCACAATCTGACCATGAAGGAACCGTCCGTCTTGAAACGAATGAAAAATAATAACAATAATAATAACCAAAATACCAAGGGGCATTTGCAACGTGGTCAAGAAAAACGTGCAAGTGCCATGATTGGGAAGAACCACGACGACATGGACGATGATGAATTTGAGGACGAAGGTAGCCATAGCGGGCAGAACGAAACCAACGTGGGAATTCTTAGGAAACGATCTCATGATCCAATGACTGGTTGTCCCGTTTTTGGCGACGATACGGACTTTGAGATTGGAGCAGCCTATCGCCTGGTGGCACCCAATTTCTTTTGTAACTTGAGCAGCATTACAACAACAATGTTAAACAATGCTGCTGATAATGATGATGATGATGAAATGGAACACGCGACGGCGAAATTTGGCACCAGACAAAACCTTCCTTTTCCACCGTGGAAAACTACCAAGATTGTACATTTCGTGCGAGACCCCATCGATATGGCACTTTCTAACTATCTTTATCATTCGCAACATCCAACGCCAGAACCATGGATCAAGAGAAAGGGGATCAATCCATGCAAGATTGACGAAGAGTTTCTGAACTATACCTTACAGGAGTTGAATAGTGATGGTAGTCGCAAGATTACCGAAGAAGATCTATTGCGAGTCAGCACCATGTGCCGATACTACAAGCACGAGCATGCCATTGCTGCCAATACGAGAAAGAAAAACAATACGACCCGATCCTTTTACGGAATTATGCGTCGGTTGCCACCCTATGACGGACTACGCTTTGCGACTTCTCACTTTCTCATGGCACAAGGCGTGGAGAGTGGTGGAGACTTGCTGCGGATGCCAAACAATATCTTGAGGTTGCGTGAATGGGAACAGCAACAACAACAACAACAATCATCGGAGCAGCTGCAGCACATTCTGACCATATCCATGGAGAACATTGTGAAGGACATGGGAAAAAGTGTTTTAGAGATTTGTGACTTCATTTTGGGGCACATTTCCAATGTCACTGCAAGATCTGCAATTGCCCAAGAAATTGAGAAGACGATGGTGGCGAGATACCAGGCAAAGACCAAGGCTTCGAAATTCATTCATGCGGGTAGACAATCCACGAGTAATGAGACGGCAGAAGCTGAGCTCAAAAATAATAAGAATTGGACACTTCGCCAACAAAGTCATGTGACGCAAGGAATCATGAATGAAACCGAGCGTGAACTATTGAAAGAGCAACTGGAAAGCGATGCAAGCCTAGGGCATATCTTGTTGCAGTTACGTGAAGTTGTTGATTCCTCATCATAAGTACCGTATATATAGACGTGGCGAAACTTGACAAAGATGAGCAGAATTCGGATCGCCGGGGTATTACAACAATGAGCAGAATACTGGGAAAAAATGAACAGATCTACCAGTACCATCGACTCGTAAAGCTCTAAAAGGGGCGGCCGAATCACTAAACCCTTCCAAGACTTCCAGTGGATTGAAAGTGCTTTTCTTTTTTTAAAAGGAGGGGCCGGGGGTTTCCAATCAGGTTCATGCGATATCAGAACTTCCAGTGGAACCATAACTGTCACTAAACATAGTAGGTGTACTAAGTATTTTTCAAATATAATGGCCATGCTTCTTACTTATTGATTCGGCCAGTGGAACCAAAACTCTCAGTAAACATAGTTGTTTTTAAAAGTAAAAAGGATATGATTCCTTTTTTAAGGGTTTTGGTGCCACTGGAAGTTTTGAAACTTCAATAACGTGTGCTAAATGACTGGTCCCACGAAACTTCTTGAGAAACCGGCAGAAGGTAATACACGACGCACCAGTACTGTTTTGCCGTTTTTTTTAAATGTTTATCCCAGAATCTCAAGTCACATTTCATTCCATCGCTCATGATATTGCAAACCAGCAAAACGAGAAACAGAGACTCACTCACCATTCGCCAGCCACCACCACCACCGTCGCCATGCCTCTTTTCCCTTACAAGCTACACGAGCTCTTGAGTGAGATGGAAAAGAATGCTGATCTCTCGTCCATCATCTCATGGACGCGATCTGGAAACGCATTCAAGATTCACGAGCCTTTGCTCTTTGAAGCGATCCTTCTCCAAAAGTACTTCCCACGTCAAACCCAGATCAACTCTTTTAAGCGTCAACTGATCTATTATGGTTTTGACAATCTTGGCAATGGCATTTTCGCTCACCCTTGCTTCTTGAAGGACAGGCGCCATCTATGTGGCCAGATCAATCACACGGTCCCCACCAAGAGCCAACGTGAGGGAAAAGCGTTGATCTCATCGAGAAACACTCTTGGAAGGCGAGCCAAGCATGCACTTCGTCAAAGACTGGAGGTATCTCCTGCTTCTATTCAAGCCACTACTACTACGACCACAACCAAGAAGAAGGAAGAAGCCCCAAGATCGAGCGCAACTGGTGATCCCACCCTTCGTCATGTTATGACATCGCCAACGCCTCTGCCTCCAGTGCCCCTCCCTCTTCAGTCCTCGTCAAGCCCTCCTATTCTTGCACGTTCTGCTCTCGAAATGCCAAATCAATTCTGGAGTGGTGGTCACATGAATACTTCCTCCTACACGCCGCCAGCCACGATGATTCCGTTGCGGTTGTTTTCGATGAATCAGCCCAAAGCGAACCAGAACCTTTCTCTATCGACACAAGGATCGATGTTTCCTCGAATGAGCCACCAGGTGTCAGGCAATGGTGGTGGCGGATTCTTCTCTCAACTAGATGATGGTCTTCTTGTCACCATGTTGCTTCAACAACAACCTGCTGGCGTTTCTGGTGGTGGTGGTGGTGGTGGAGGAGGAGGAGGAAGAACAACCAGTGGAATTGTTGCACTGACCAATGGTGGTCGTGTCACTCCTACTGCCGTCGCTACTGGTGCTGCATATCCTGATCCAATAACAATGTCTTCTTTGTTCGATGATCATGATGATACACCAGCAGCAATCGTCCCACAGCACCCAATGGCTACTGCATGGTCTCAGAGGGTTTATGGACGATAATTTGGAATGGATTCACACTACCTACAGGTATCAAATAGGTAATCCAAGCTTTTAGGTAATACATTTTGCATGATGATGATCATCCTATCTTGTTGTTCAAAAATATGAATAACAAAATGAAGTTATGTACACCATGGTACCACCCCGATGAGCTATCTGGTACCGTGAACGAAGAATGTATAAATCATAGGTATTCCAGTGACAGAGTGCCGCTGTATTGCGTACAGTACAGTATATATTAACTGTGTCTATCAATAGGTATCTACGCTATGCTATGCTATGCTATGCTATGCTATGCTATGCTATGCTATGCTATGCTATGCTATGCTATGCTATGCTATGCTATGCTATGCTATGCTATGCTATGCTATGCTATGCTATGCTATGCTATGC